AGGTATGCTGCACATCTTTATCTTCTAAAAGCAGCATGGAACTAATGCCATTAAACCAGGGCCGCTCTGTTTACCAGAGGGCACAAATCGCTCCAAAGTGTTTCTCCGCTCATGGTCACTGACCTTTAACATACCACAGTCCAGAGAGGCTGAGCTATTAATTTACAAATCAGATGCTGTTGAATGAATACTGACATCCCCAAATGTACTCATGATGGTGAACGCAACCTCTGATCTCCTCCCTGAGAATTAAAAAAGAAGTTCAACTTCATCTACATGTCAAGTGGCCGCAAGAAAAGAATCCTTCCAGATGGAGGTTACTGATCTTCCAAAAAATGAACCCTCCATTTTAAATTAAAACCAAAAAGACTGCTTCAAAAAAGCACCATCAAAAAAAAAAAAAAAAGACAAAACACCTTCAAGGCACAAAAATTCAATAAAGCAAGGATAAAGTCTAAGGCAAATAGGGAAGATTAAACAGGGACTTTACCATCAAGCTGGATTGCAAGAGGAAACAAATTGAAAAGCAGGCTAATTACAAACTCCTAATTTTGTCTCCTGTGTACTTAAAATTTTATTGCATGCTCATCTGCAGCAAGACATACATGAAGGAAAGCCTAAGTTAATACCAAGCAACTATCTATATATGGATGCACTCTTTGTTTATGCAGTTGAGTGACAGGTTTGGCAAAACAGAAATTCTATTTGGACATATTAATTTTGTCTCTCTTTTTCTGCAACATCGGTGATATGCTAATGTTAAGAAGGTCATAATTAGGTAATGAAGGATGCTAAAATGTAATTTGAACACCCCTAAATGATTCCAATACAACTGACCAGACTTTCTTCAGGAACATGGGTCATTTAGACAGAATCAATCCCAATTACATCAGCCAGACATTCAGCTCTAAGATGTCACTGAACCTTTATTTGGACACAGTCAATGCAAAGGTGCCAAGTTAGTCTCTTTCTGACCAACAACTTCAGACAAGCCAGCCCTTTTTTCCCCTAATTTTGCCTCCTACTTATAAGGCAGTCTTGGATGGGTCACTTCTAGTTCTCAAGTAATACTTGAAAGCTGAAAGTTGGTTCTTTAGAAGTGTTTAATTTGTATTTCTAAAACACTAAAAGTTAAAAAACAATAACATGAAAACACAGCAGAAAGGTTACAGAAGTTTTAAGTTGATCTCAAGCACATCCTTCAAGAACAGCTCATGAATGGTCAAACAGATCCCATAATACATTAATGTCATCATGGAGATGGCAAGGAAGGACATAAGCCCAACTTACTGATGTGATAAACTCTAAGAGTTGGACAGAGCTCCTGTATTTTAGCCGACATATGTATCATGCCACACTGATCATGGAGCGGGATAGTACAGGCCTGGGGGACTGGGAAATCACCCCAAACACAGACTTAGTTTTGGGCTTTCATGGGGCAAGTGAAAGAACAGAGAGTGACTTGCCTTGAAATGTCTGCATTTGATTAAGATGGTGAGCTGCCTTTAATGGACAAATTTGTCTTTGCACTGAAGTTTTACTATATCAATTCAACTAAACTTGAAACATTTCAAAAAATTAAAATAATTAAATAAATTAATAAATAAATCTTGTGCTTTCTTCATCTGCTCTTCTCTCCTTTGGAATGGTCACACAGAAAAAAGTAGCAAAGGAAGAAACTTAGCCTCTATGGCAAGTAGAGAACATATTTGCTTTTCTAATGCTGAAACATGCACAGCCTATTACATGGCAGCTGTTATTACATAAAAAGAAAGGCACAGAAAGCACTCAGTATTACTCTACAGCAAAGTATGGAATAGACAGAGAAGGGTCAGAAACAGAAAAATAAATTCTTAAATTATTTGTCAAACAATGGAGACAGAATTTTCTAGTGCTGGGAATCCAGGAAATGGAAAAGTCCTACCCAAGCTTATGATGAGACAAGAGTATGAAGGGACACAATCTGTGTGCAGTTTCCATTTGTGCTACTCTGTGATTTCATCTTGGCTTCACAACTATTTGAAAACCATTAACACTGTCCCAACTCAGGACAATCTCCACAGATACAATGAGACTGAATGGCAAACACAAGACAAGCTTTACTGCACCCTAAACCTCCTCTCTCTGAACAAGTAACCTTCCTCTGAAGAAGTCAAGCCAACCAGCCATGTATTTAAACCCTGGGCATTGTCTCAAGCATCTAAGACATGGTGAACCTGTTAAGCTATGTAATGGTGCCATCTCGTGGTAAAATTAAGATGATGCCAGATCGACTCCACATTTCAGTAATAAAGCGTGTCCATTAAAGACAACACATTGAAATAAATACATCTTAATTCCTGTGTCGTATAATTTTTACAGTGTATGTTCACCACTAAGACACCCACCAGAATGAAAGAATCCTGTGATGATTTACAACCAGAGGTGTCAACAGCTGGGAAATGCTAGCCTATAACTGTCAGGGTGATCGTAACTGGAAATGGGTCCCTGATGATGTCCAGGCTTCTAAAAGGAATTTCAAAAATTAGAAAATCTCCCTGAAAAGACAAAAAGAATAAACCAAGAACTGGAAAATCCGTCTCAAAGAGACAGATCCAAAAATCCCAGTGCTGTTCACTGATATCATGACTAGATCACAATCTATCCCCTCACAGAAAGAATCCTCATGGATTAAAAAATAAAAAATAATAAAAAAAAAAAAGATTGCATTTCAACCAAAACCAATGATTTTTGATACAGCAACAATGCATGAAATTGCCTGGCTTACATTACATAAAGCACCATAATGGATGAACATAATGAAATTTCTAGCCTTAAAGTTCACGTTTACTTTTTTGGAGCGTGACTCAAATACTTTGTTTAGTTGGCACCCACCCAGATCACTGCTAACACTAACACTGATGCCAGACTTAAGCATCTCTGCCCATAGGATAGGTGCTGCCATCCCTCTCACACACACATACTTACCTTGCCTCATAAGCAGAAATTCCATCACATCAACTCACAACCACCAAAGTGCAGATTCAAAAATAATTTAAATACAATTTAAATGTAAGTCCAAAATTCAGAACTGCTCATTCAACGCTTTGCCTACTCTATCAGCATTCTAAAATCATACTACCCATGAATAAACACAGGTTTCTTTTAGACACAAGAATTTTCACTGTAAGAAATTTGTACTGCCTTTTTCTGTTACATTCTCTTACGACAGTGAAGGTATTAGATCTATTTCTGCTCCAGGCTCTCTTAGGGTTCTTGTGATCTCACTAAGAAGTGCTTCAGACTGCCAAGACCAAGCTGCTGATCCAAGCTTCTAAATGAATCAGATACCTTAAAGCACTAATATAACAACAACAAAGAAATACAAAAAAGAAACAAAATCAATATTCAGACTGTAAATTCTCCAAGTCAGCATTTCTGAAAGAATACAGGGCAAGAATCATACAATCACAGAATGTTTTTGCTCTCCGGCAGCCTAGGAGTTTAGTACTGTTAAGGAGGACCTTAGAAGTTGTGGCTCTGAACTCTCTCTATATAAGATGTGATCTGCACTTTCTGTTGTACTTAGGAGCAACCAGCATTACAACTCTTGATAAATATTGTATTAAAAAAAAGCTATATGTATTAAAGCACACATTGAGTAGGAATGTAGGCTGCTATGCAGGAGGACGTTTGGTTTCTAGCAGTCTTCATAACATTCCCTTTGTGATGTGATGAATCAACAACGAGAAGATGAACTGTGAAGTCAGTCCTAACTGATTCTCTTTGAGACAAAAGAACCACAGCAACATGATTAAGGCTATACGTTACCAATGTTTTACTTTTCTTGACAGAAACTTGTGGTTTCCAAGTATAGGTTTTTGTTTTGGTTTGTTGTTTGTTTGTTTTTGAAAGGGTACCTGGAAAGATCTGATTTCAATGCATTTCAGGTATATGGTTTACGGAGCAGCTGAACATCGGAGGAGTTACTTGGAAACACAATTAACTGATATGTTGAATCACAACCTATGGTCTTTAAATAAAATCAGGGTGACAGGGATACATGTGAGGAATTACATGATAGATGGAGGAGAAAATCTACATCCCTACAATGTACCTACAATGTCTGCCTAGAGAACTGCCTTCCTCAAAATGTTGGATTGGTTCCTTCTTCCAGTATAAGAATTTCAGGCACGGAATCGATTCAGGTTCACAAATACTCTACTGTTCATCACTGGGCCCACGTCTTTGCAAAGACTTCTCCTCCAATGGACTAAAGATCTGATCCTTAAGAGATTCATTCTTAACCATAAATACAATAATCAAGCATTAGAAATTCCTCACTTAAAAAAAAAAAAAATCTAATACAGAATCTGTTTGTGGCAAATAAAATTTCTTTACCAAGCCATAACCAGAGTAATCTGGAAAAATGTGTAATACTTCCACATTAATTAAATCTAAGAAATTAGGACAGATCCTACAAGAAATACAACATGCAATATGTAATCTACACAAAGTGCTAAACCCTAAAATTACCTGTAGTATGATCACAGTGCCTGAATTTAAAGGCCATTTAAGGCCTGTATCTTACTCACTCTTCTGTGTACCAACCTTTTTCTGCATTAAGGGAGTTTGCATAACCTCCTGTCCACCACAGAGCTTTAGGCAGATTTTTCTAGTAGAAAAGCTCAAATGAAATCAAATGAAACATCTATTGTTCTCTTTGAAAGGAAGGTTACAGTTTTCATTCTGATACCGAGTGTTGCGGTATCTCCATAACGCAAGATGTGGTTTCCATAGAAATATCTTCTTACATCAGTATCTACAAGCCCTCCAATTATTCCCTTTTGGACATCTCATGCAATCCATTAAAATCTTTTTAGAGCAGGGAAATAAATAGGCTCTACTGCTACTTAATTTCTTGGTAAGAAGAAAAAGAAAAGACAACTAGTAAATAAAAGCTTTATTAAGACAAAACACAAGATGGAGAATGTGTCTTGCAAAAAAAAATTGTATCTTACCTGAAGAAATCTCTCTGGCGTTACAAATTATGAATTGTCAATTACAACTTTTGAAGACCATACTGAGATTTTGCTGATTTTTGAGAGTGCAATTATGGCATAATTCTGAATTGTTTGGTGGCTTTGTCTCCAACTAAGTCCCCAGGACCTGAATCCTTTCTGAATCCTTTGCATTGCTGACTATTGCTTCCACCTTGTTCTATGTCCTGTCATTCAGGTCCCTGCTAGTTTAGAGTACTTTCTGTTACTGTGTCATCTTTTTTTCCTGTGGCATCATCTCCTGCCACTTTCCCAGGATCAAGAATGCATTCAACGCCCTGAAATTAGAATCAAAACACAGGGAAAGCCAAATTATAACACAAACAACATAAACAGTGACTTGATAGTAATATGAAATGCCTTTATCAACCAAGGCCACCACAAGCAAGCAAGGCAAAAAACTTCAATGCATTGTTTGTATAGAACAGTTTAATTCCTGCTGCTCTGCCTGTGTTTCCAAAAGTGTCAGTGTAAAGAAAAGTGGAAGTGCACAGAGCCTTGATCTGACTGGGTGGGCTCTGAAGCCATGACCACAAAACATAACACAAGAGCGTGCACCACAGGGGCAAGCACTGCCATAGCTCCCCCGGCAGACCCATATCTGGAGAAAACAAACTCATTTAATTGTTGTGCGGCAGCCAAAATGTGCTGGGAAAACAACTCCTACAGCACTTTGTTTTGCTTCTATTTCCTCTCTCCTTTTTCTTTATTATGTGAAAAAGCTTCACTACTGTGATTTGTTGTCTCAGATGTATGTTCCCCTATCTAGATTGAGGCTCCATTTAAACCTTTTGGCCTGTCTTGGGCCTCTATCCTGCAAAAAGCTAAGAACAGTCAGTTGTGCAGCTCAGTAGTGGCATAAAGCAATTAGGACTGTAGGAACTTGTCTTCCTCATTCTAAAGGTTCGAGCCACTACAAGGCTGCACAGGCACAGGGAAAAAAAAAAAAAAAAAAAAAAAAAACAGTTCAGTTCAGAAAGCCATCGTATATGCAAACCTTACAATCTGCTGTATGTCAGTTTGGATGCAGTTCATCAAACTAAAACACTGAGTGAGAACTGGACTTTCTGGACTTTACTATTCATACTATCTCAAACTACTACTGATTAGCTACATAAATCAATGGGCCAGCAGTAAAAAAAAAAAAAAAAAAAAAAAAATCTATAGTTATTTGTGATGTTTTCTCATATTACAACTCACTACTTCAGTAGAAAGGGAAAAGGCCACCAATGAAAAAGCAAGTCATAAAATGGCAAATTAATCACTGTACCTTATTCATCTGGTCCACATCTGATTGTCTTTGTTTACTAGTTTGAGTATTCTCCATAAGAGACTTCTTCATCCCCTGGAGAAATGAGATGAATAGCTTTGCCCCACAAAGAGATAAAAGTTAAAAGAAAAAAAAATGTCAACAGACTTCCACATAAATTTTCATGTAAAAAACAACAGAAAAATTGTTGTTGCTGTGAATGCTACCTTCATGAGAATGCTACCTTCAACCCTCCTTGCTTTTGCTAATTAACCAAACAAGGGTGCGTGATGACACTACCACGAATGACAATTTAAATCTGTTTGATCAAGAAACAACTATAACAGCTTTTTGACTAGCACTTAAATATTTAAAGCTCCTTCTTTGAAAGCATTCCTAAACCAACCAACTAACCTTACCACAGAGGTGTGTTTTGTAGATGCAACCTGAACACTTCTTCAGTTTCTACATAAGAATTTCCTATCTATAAATTGTTCAAAATATGTCTTTGACTGTATTTGTCTTTCCCTAGCTTTCATCAGCCTCGCAGATTAAAATATCACATTAAGAAATTGAAGAGAGCCTGTAAGCCATTTTTTCACTGTTTCAGAATAATCTTAATGATTAATAATGAGGTACATTGTCCACAACTAGCAAAACAAAACAAAAAAAAAATCAGCCAAGTGGCACTAAGCAGATCTGATTTTGATTATTTGAAAAGAAATGGAGAAAGACCAGACAATATTAAACTGTACAGACTTTATGTGCATGGCCAAATTAGTGCTATTGATCTCTTGCAAGTAAGTATTTAAACATCAGAATCTTATTTTTTACTTCTTAAGGTGAACATCTATACTAGAAACAAAGTGACCCTGGGTCTTAACTTCAAAGTTCTGCTAAATTGATAATCCATGCATCGCCAGAATACTCCTATCCTTCTTCCCTTTCAGCAAATGCAGATAGTCTGACCAACTGAGATAAAGGATTATAAGCAATCATTTGAAATTGATTAAATTCTTGCTCAGTCTGCTTATTTTTTGCATTAGCTTCACATTTACATGATTTATATGTACTCCTAAACTATTTTAAAACAGCTCAGCTCACTTCCTTGTAGATTCTGCAGCTAGAAATCAAACAGGTAACCATGTTAAATGATTCCTCTTCCTCCAATCAGCCTTAGGAGAAAAATGTCACTATGTTCCTATTACTGGGACTATTTGCTGTAAATAAATCCCTCATTTTTTCAAACAATAAGAATTAACTCAGTACGAATGATTGCAGCTATGGGTGATAAAACACTAAGGGACTCTATAGATATATGCATACATGCAGGCAGAGATACCTGTATAAATAACACTATGTGTATCTGCACACATCCAAATTGAAGTATCTGGAGCGCTGCAGTTTACCTGTGCTGCCACTAGATGCAGCCACATAACCTTGCAAAATTAAAAATTCTGACCTCAAGGTTGCAGAAACCTTTTTGGAATACCTTTGATTGTAAAATTCTTACAACAGCATTTACTGCATTCATTCCTCTGGAAAGCCACAATGTGATATAAAGAGAATTTTTCCTTTTTTTCCCCCAATAATTTTGTTCCAAAACATAGCATTCAAATGTTGATGGGGATCTAAGAAACCACAGCAGAATAAGGCCCATCTATTTTTGTGGTTGTTGCCATAGATTCAGATTGGAGCTGACAATGTTGAATTACATTGTGTTTTTCTTTCTACATAAAGAACACGTTGGAATGAAACACTATGTTCCCAAGTGATCCCATATTCAAATGAGTGTGCCCATATAAAACAACAGGTAAGGGTACAACTCAGTTTCCATTCTATGCCACATCACTTTCCTCTCCGTGACTTTACACCACATCTCTAGAAACACAGATTTCTCTTTGGGTATACAGTAAGCAACACGACAGGTCCCCCTGGATAGCCCATGACTCCTGCAATTGGAAAATATTTCTGCTTTATCTACTATCTGCTGTCAAAGCCCTGGAAAATCCTCTTGTTATTTCCTCGCCAGCTATCAGACAGAGCTCTACAGGCTTTACACTTCTATTAAGACAAAGCAAAACCAAGGAAACCCTCCCCTAGTCTTAGCAGGTGTTATCTGTCCTGTGCTCTCCCCTTGGTAATTTCCTGAGTGTGTAATATGCACAGTACAAAAAAGCAAGAAAATTCCATAGGTAAATAGATGTAATACCTGTATTATACAGTTTTAGATACTATTTGTGTAGAGGGTTGATTTTCCACTGAAGACAGTGGAAATAAAGCCTGTTCAGCACATTCTGTGCAAAGGGAAGTGCTGCCCAGTGAGCTGTGCTCCAGAGTGCAGAATATCATTTCAAAAGTAGATTTTTATTATATATTTTAGTGCCAAGTTCACTTGGCTTCTGCTCTCTTCCACTATCAAGATCACGCTGCAGTTCACAATCTATATATCAGGCAGCCCCCTGCTATCCCCACCCCTATTCCCCCATTCTAACATTTCTAGTTTAGACTTCTCCTCCTTCCTCTTTTTGTAGATAAAAATACTTAACTTCTATCCCCCCAAGGCAGTTCCCCGGCCTCACGTGCATTTTTTACTGACAGCCACTCTGATGGAATTACATTTACCTATGTTTTGCATTGTTTCTCTTTGTTTGTTTGTTTTTGTAGATGGCAAAATGAAAAATTAAATTATGCTCTCCTCCAGGATCTGCTTTCTTTTTGATGATTTGATCACAGTTCTCTTCAATTGCCATTAATAAACGGAACTGAGCAAGATGGATTAAAGGAAAAAGCAACACCAGATTTTGTTGGTTTAAAGCATGAGGAACATAAATTTAATGGCTTCAGAGAAAATCCAGCCTAAGGCAAAATTCTGGCTTAACTCTCCTGTGGGGTTCTGCAGACAAGATGAAATGCAATGTCTCAGCTGAAGGTCCCCAAGCCAGCACAAAATAGGATAGATGTGGGAAGGGATGGGAGCAATTTGCTCTGCAGCACTCCTTGCTGCACTTCCAGAAAGAGACAATGTGTGCCCTTCTTTTGGAATCTAATGCTGATTGCAGCTTGTGTGCAGGCAGCAGAGGGGGGCCTGGCTGGATCCCCAGGCCAGCTGAACAGACTACATCAACAAGATCCCCACATGAACTGTCAAAAGGGTTTCCTACTCTGTCACTATCTTTTATGAAGTAGGCAAAAAATGCTCCCAGCAAGAAGGATTTACCCTGTAGGAGAGTATTTGAAACTTCCAAAAGCTGTAATGAAAATGTTTGTGTTTCCATCCAAGAATGGTACTGGCAGCAAATTGAAGGTAATTAAACACATTGCCCACTGGCAATATAAATTTATCCTTTGTAATAATTTCAGAGAAACAACCCCCTCTCCATAACCCAGACATTGTGTTGTGCAACAGGAATTTTTTGGGCTAACTTCTACCCTGCTGTAAATGCACTGCAATGGGAGTTACAGACACTCTATGCCAAGACTGTGCTTTGTTCAGTATCTCTCAGATGCTCTGTAGTTCAATTTCATTACCTCATAATTTCTAAGAATTGTCCTGTTTATTGGGAAAACACCAGCGAACTAGACTGCACATTTGGTAGTTTCTCCAAGTACAAACAACAGAGAAACCATCTTTATATTATCACTGCCTAACCCTTGATTTTAAATCATATCTTTATATAACTAAAGTGGCCAAGTTCACGCTATTTAACTCACTTCCTGAAGGGGATGACTCCATCTGAATCTTTAACCAGATATTCACTCGCTGACTCCAATCTCCTGGTGCTTCCACCTCCCACAGTCGCTTCTGCTCCTCAGGATAAGTCTGCAAGAATTTCTGGCAAACTGAAGAGAGGAAACCAAAGAGTAAAATCATGAATGAATGAAAAGTACAGTGGAAGAGGGAATCTATTCTATTCTGGAAATTCTCTGAGACCTACTTGGATTAGTTCCTCTGGAAATCTTTTCTTCCCTCTTCTCATCTTCCTTTCTTTCCTTTTAGGTGGAGCTTTTAGGAAAAATCTATGTGGAATGGCCCAGACAGGAATGACTGAATTCTGTCTGTCAGCTTCAGTCTAGATTAATTCCTTGTGAGCACAGAAATACAATGCTTCTGGAGGCGTTGCATCATGGAACTACCTCCAGACGGTTAGCAGGTTTGAGATTAGCAGCAGTGTGGGGTTTTTTTGCCCTCACTACTCTGAAATGAATGGGGCTTCAGTATCTTCCAGCATTAATGGTTATGAATGCTACTTTATTTTCTATTTATATAAAAAAAAACCATCATATCAGATTGTTCTTCCATCAATACCACCCTCTATTTTACTACTGCTACCTATGCTTCATTGTTATGGTTCATATACTTCTTTGGACTGGGAAAACAGGAAATAGTAAGAACTAATACAAAAATAACAAGGCTACCAGTGTCAGATGCATGATCATCTTTAGAAACCATATTTCCACAAATTCCTAAACACTGTTTGTACACTGAATATTAACATTTGAGTATACAATCAACTTCTGCTTTGGTTATCTTATCATATTGAAATCTGTCCCATTTAGTAATTTCCCCAGGAAGTCCGCAAAACCAAGAGGAAGAATATTTTGCAAAATAAATAGTTCAAAAAATTTAATGCAGATTTTAAAACTTTCCTTAATCAGGATTCTATCAGTTCTATCACTTGTAAATCAGGAAGATGATTTCTGTGCTCTCCTCAGTCCGTTGCAGTCCATCACACTGCAGTATGAATGTAAATGGGTCGTTTACCTTCAGAATTCAGTTGAGTTTAACAGTGTGATGTTGAAACCAAAAGCCAATCTTTTGTAACATAAACATTTGTTTTACAGGAATGAATAGATCACTGACACTAATTTTATCCAAAGATATCCATGCTAAATTAATTATTTCAGTAAAAGTTACAGAAAGTAACATATAGAGAGAGATGTTTGCTAAATGTCTTTTTGCCTCCTTTCAGGCATCCATAGAACACTTTTATTATACATTCATTATACATTATATTATTATACAATCATACATAGCATACTAGTGAAAAGTGTGCACATTTATTACAGAGTTTTAGAGTAAAAGGTTGCTATCTTTTGTGCAAGTATGAGATTGCGGTGCAAGTGAAAGGAAAAATAAGTAACAACTTCAATATACTCAATATGTACTCAATATTTAGCTTGCAGTATTAGTCTTTTATAAAGTAGGACCCAGAAAACCCAATTAGAACATGATGCAAGTCAAATTTATTCATGACTACCTCTAAACTTAGCTGAGACGAAAAGCATAGTCTTGCAATATATTGTTATCATTAACACCCAAACAACGCAGATTTCTGATCCATAATGCCTAAACCATTGATGCCTACCATAGGGAAAATTTATTTTACCGGGAAAACAGAAAGAATGTTGTCAATACTATTCTTTTCTGAACTTAGAAATAGTAGTACTTTAGGAACTCCTGGGGTACATTTGCATATATTCAATGGCACATACAGTCCAAGAGAAAGAAAAGGTGTAGTGAAAATTTTGTTGACACATATTAAGAAATGGCTGCAAAGTCATAAATAAATAGAATGACAGTAAAGAGTCTGTAACACGCAGAGAGAAACTAACTTTTTTAGAAAAATGTTCCTCCAAAGAACAAAGTTTTATAAATAATATTATCAGTGATATTTTCTGTAAATTTTACTAGCAAAAGCTCCAACCTGAATACAGAGAAGATATATAACTACTTAGCAATCTTCTGAAAGTGGCAAATGTTCAAAGATGGACAATAATGAAAAAAGTACTGATGATGAATGAGCAGAACCCAGGTATGCATTTTGTTAAATATAATTTTTTATAAATGCAGTATCTACAAGAGCATTATGTGCATAGTGTAGGCTTGAAAACATCTTATGAGTCTTCTCTCTGGTGTTAAACAATTTCTAGGTCACTGTTGAGGGCAATGACATAGTTCTATTTCTAAGACACAGTGAGATAAGAACGCAAAATTTCAAACAAGTAGTATGAGTTTTACTCCTCTGATTGACTTAAATAAATATTGGCCTACCTTTCTACAGGAAATTCCAGATATCTCAAGAAAATCAACGTATGAAAAACAGTTAAGTTCAGACAAGTGCACTGAACACTCACACAGTTAAGAAAATCCTACCATGACCATATTGAAATTTATACATTATGCATGACCCTTACCTAACGTTTCCACATCAAACAATTTACCTTGATACATGGCAGCAGAAATAGGGCAACTGATCCCCAAGGCATCCTCAGCCTTGAAAGACTGACAGAAATCGTGCAGCATTTTCATCCCCAGGCCACCTCTTCTGTATTTTCTCTGGACAAATATAGTATCCAAAACTGGCAGCAAGTAACATTGACTGGTAGTACCATCACATAGGCTCCCTGCAAAATAGACATGGAAAAAAATATATGAATTTGAAAACAAACCTGGTATTGCTGCAGTACTTAACTGCTGTGTGATTCTAACCACAAACACTGCCTTGATACCTCTCCACAGGCTATGAGGCTGCCTCCTACTGAAGTGCGTTTGCATAGACAGTGGTGATGCCAAAGAGAAGTAAAACAGTTCCCAAGAGGAAGATTTGTGCCCTTAAGCTGAGAGCACCTGCTTAACATGTGGATGACAGGTGTCACCACTGCATTTACCAGAATTGGACCCTTCATAATCAGACCACCTAGATACACAGGCTGTGAACAAAAGTGAGTTAAGTGAAAATATATAACTGGCCTTAAAGGTGTAAGTATTCCCAAAATCTCAATATGTTCCTTTAGCTTTTGGCTATCCTAGTAAACCACTCCACAAACTCTTTCTACGAAATACATTAAGCCACACAGCACAGCATGATCTAAATGCTCAGAAGGTCCGTACTGCCTGATGTAGCCCAGCAGTGCAGAAGGCTTCCAGAAAAACCTCCCTAATACTGCTTAAGCAAACAATTTAATAATGACTGCAGGAAGAGAACAGAGGCTCTCTTGGCCTCAAACTATTTGACAACACAAGCATTCAACCCTGAAATGAATGAGCCTCAAACTATTTGACAACACAAGCATTCAACCCTGAAATGAATGACCAGCACCAATTCAGCATCTACCTACATACTGGATAAGGTCACCACAGAAACATTACGCTGATTTATCTTCATTGTTAGAAAATATTTATAAAGATTTTACGCTTCTTCTATCTGGCTCTGTGACAGCTTAAATAGAAATGGATACCCATGCCTTTATACCAAAAAATATGACATTCTATTTTCTTGGTTAAATCTCATCAAGACCTCTTTACTTTTCTTTATAACCACTTATTAGTGTACCATCCAGTCTAGTTTTCAGTGTCTCAAGTCATGAAACTTTCATTAATTCACCAAGACCTATTTCACAGTTTCAGAGAAAGAAATGCTGGAATGGCTGTTCCTAAATTCCAGTGCAAGGCTTTTACTACAATCCACTTTTTCTTTATCGCAACCACACAGCTAACTTACACTGAGCTCTATTTCTGTTCCTTGAGATCCTGTGTAGTACCTTTTGCTGCTACACGCAAGGCGTGCCTTTGATTACTCTGTTTTCCAGGATACCAATTCAGTAAAGCACACATGAATATATTTAATTCTAGACTCTGATTTGTCAAGGCTGTAGCTCTTCATTTAGCAGGAATCCGTGTCGCACACCCTCAGCCATACGACAAGAGTATGTAGCTACAAAACCAACCCACTCACATCCAGGCTTGGTCCACCCCTGCTTAATCAGAGTGCATGCTTAACTGCAAACACATGTTCAAACGCATTGTTGGAAAGGAATGGTTTGTGGTGGTGTTTATAACCTTTCAATATTTGTAACACATGATGGGTAGTTATTCTTTTTTCAGGAGCCAAGAAATTGAGTATATCCCCAGTCCCATTGTTAGCTGCAGGCCCAGCAGAGATGATGTATTCCAGCAGTATTGCACCATACATTCTAAGAAAGGGACAAACTTTTCCTCATGAAGTCAATAGCTTTAAGAATTCCTGCATGTTGCAAGTGACCTTATAAGTTTATTATTAACTCATATAGTCTGTCTCTATAAATCCTTATGAGACTGCTGTGGTAGCAATCCCAGGAGCTGAGTGATTTATGTCTGTGCAACTAATTTTGTGTTGAGAAGATGACAAAAACTTGTAATGTCTAAAGGCATTGTAAATAAAGAAACCATGAAGCCATTTTTCACCTTGTCCCTGGGAAGCATATTAGGAGAGTCATAGCCTACAGCCATTTGAAATAAAATAAATAAACAAACAAACAAAAACCTCTGGAATTAAGGCCATTTTAACTCTAGTTCTGATCCAACAGCAAGGAGGCTCTCATAAGCTAACGGTGGCCCAGAGGTGACCACGAAGCTCTCATGCATTTTATTTAGAGGTTTGTTTCATTGTTGAAACACAAAGAATGAGTTTTGAGGTGAGGAAGGAGACAGGGAAAATACGAGCACTGGCGATGGGGTGGAAGTAGTCATGCAGTCTACCCTTTGGGAGCCTTTGATCTGTTTGGTTAGGTCACAAAATGCCAAACGACCAACTTATGAGCCAGCAAAAAACAGATATTATAAGGGCAGGAAAGCAGACAGCCATTAGCATTCCCAAAGAGCCACAAACCAGAAAAAAACAACCCAGTCCCCACATCCAACAGACCCAAACAAAACAGGGTTGTGCATACTGACTGTTTCCCTGCTGAACAAGTTGGCTTGGCACACACATGTTTGGACAGGCCTTCTGCAGCCTGAGTGCTCGTGTGAAGGGTGGGGAATATTTCTGCTGAATAGAACCCAAGGTCAATCCATTGTGTGAATTTGTATGTGAGAAGGGGAACAAAGGTTCTGGCTTCAATAAAATTAAATTAATTCATGTCTTGACTGGTATGTAGTCATTTAATTTTTATTACAGCCAGAACCTTCAGTCTGCCTCAGAAATGCACATTAAAAATATTATTGCTAGAAAACAGAGGGAGAGAAAAGCAATTATACAACAAGATTTTAGCTAATTGTCTGTCAGGTTAGCTTCAATTCTGTGTTGTTGGTTTTTTGGTTTGTTTGTTTGTTTTTCCCTGTAAGAAATGTATGTAACCGGTGAAAAATAAAATTGTATTTTTTTAGGGATTTATTTCTACAGAATGCCATCTAGGCCCCCAAAGCATTAAAAAAAAATCTGCAAACGCTTGTATAAAGAAAGGTGTGAAACAGATTTTTAGCTCATGTAAACACTTCCAAGAACAGTCTGAAAGAAAAGTTATCATCATTTTTGAAGTATTCTGATGTTATCTGTTTAAATGTTAGATATTCCTTTTCAATAAATGGCCCACAAGGTTGCATTACACTGTGTTAACTGGAAAAACAGTCAAGAAAAAACATCTGCCTCTTCCTTCCCAAAATAAGACCTGGCTCAAGGCTTCTCACAGGACACGGAGCCGTACTTGTGCTGTTCTTGCTCACAGAAAATAGCAAAACTGAGAGCAAACTGAAGAAGCAGCAAAGTTAGGTTTGTATGGTCTCATGCTACTGGGATGGAGGGATAGGAAGTGGGAATGGCCAGTGAATGACCCCACACGAAGCAGCACTTACACACACCTCCATTTTCCACTGCAGAAGCAGTTACCTCAACCCTCTACACATTCTGAGGCTCTGGGGAATGCAAAAAGCAGAGACTGGGTCAGGGGTGTTTTGTTGTCTACTTTCTATCAGCTTGGAGTTTTTGTGGTCAGGTGTTCCCAAACAGCGATCTGTGGAGCATCTCTAAAGAATGAATGTGAAGTCAACAATACATTTACTCCTGGTTCAATTGCATGTTTTACAGCCTTCTCAGAGAGCCCAATTTTGTTAAGGCTGGTTTGATTCATGTCAGAGAGAATACAATCTTTCTTTAAGCTTTTAGCACAAAGGTTTGACAAAAGGCACATAGTGAGCTTGGGAAGGGACAAGCTTTGGCAATCTAACTCCTTTGCTTTTTGTACAGAAAAAAAAAAGCTGTACAAAACAGCTTGGTCCATGACTGGGCAGCCCGTATGTGTTATACGAACAGTAATATGTAAGAATATAAGAAAAGATGAAGTCTTTTATGTGTGTGCCACAAAGGGTTTTTGTTATGTTTTATTCTTAAATCAACTAAAACACTCCTGGCTCACAGCATCCTCCAACTTCCTCACTGATTTATTTGCATTATGAATCTTCTACATTCTCCTGACTGTTGGATGTTGGATGTGAAGGTTGTAAAAATCCATTTTCAGTAATTACTAACCTTCAATAAATAAAAATAAAAAGCAACCAACTTTCAGAGAATTACCTGGTCTCATTGTGCAAAAAACACTGTCAATAACCATGGTCATTAATCCTACCCCACTACACAAAACACATTCTTTTTCAGGTTTTCACACAAATGTAGAGGATGTCAGGATAAAAACCTGAAAGGAATACTTAAAAGAAATATAAAACAGATCTCAAAACTGAAGCGTCTATATGAAGGCTCTCTGCAAATTATATCAGGTGTTGCAGGTTGTCCTCTGCAAAGTAAGAGACAGGGACAGGAAACTAATTTCCTGTTGTACCTTTAAGTAGCTACATTCAGTGAGGTCTAACTCTTCAGCTGTCTAATATGGAAGCCGCTGACATAGATAAAATTGGAGACATTTATCTTGGCACGTGACAAAGTGTCTTATCAGCCTCATTAGTGGCTTAGTACGTCTCATCAATCTTTAGTTTACCCAGTGGTAAATGCTGCATGCCTGTCATTGGACAGGAATAGGCACATACCGGAGAGGTTAGGGTGATGATCTGTGTAGTCATGAATAAATTTTGTTTTAATAAAGGTGTCTAATGCTCGTGAAAAGTGATAGCCTTGAAGAATGAGTCTTCTGTTTATCTACACAACAGGTGCAGGATGACCAGCATCAACAGTTGCCAAATTGTCTCAAGACACTGACTTAAAATAAAGTTACTGCGTCTCTGAGCAAGGCAAGAGCTCAAAACCATCTGTCCCTCTTCAGCTAGACTACAAAAAGAGATCCAGTTCAGGATGTTCATAATATGGATGGATGTGTGGAAAGGGACCAAAATTACCAAGTTCACTTCGTACAGGCCACCTAGGAGCTGGCAAATGAAAGTGACTGCACAATATTGCCAAGCTGGTTACCTACAATCACTGATGTCCACTGAAAACTTTAGTTTGCATAAAGGCATACTAAATTCATAGCAAAGATAGAACAGACTCTCTCCTCCTTAGTCACCATTTCTATGATTCACACAGATTATTCATGTTTCAAGTAGCTATGCTCCACAGATCTGTTCTGGCTTATTTGGCTCCACTGAAGAATGCTTTTTTGAAGAATAATATAGATATTGGGAAATCCACAGATGGGAAATGCAGTTGAATATAACATCAGCATGAGAGTCTCAATTACCTACTGAAGAAAATAAAATTATACCAAATATCCAGGTAGCTACACGGCACGAAAATAATGTGAATCAGAACCACATGGTGGGCACAGAGGAAGACCATTTCTTTCTAGGACCAGAAACTATAACAGGGGTCCAGCAAAATGTAATGTCTAGTACTTAAAGCTGCCCCTACTAGATGTTCTGATCAGGACACTAAGAGGATAAAGAATGTACGTTAAGATTAAAAACAAAGTTTAAAAAAAAATCTAAACTTTGTGAAGTATGACTGCTGAGAGCAGATATTTAGTTTAGCCTGTTTGGGGCCTAATAAATCCCTAGCTCTTCTATAAAACACAGAGAACAGAATCAGCCAGAGCATGGATGATGTGAAACTGAAATCACAGAACTTCAGAAAGCAGAAATATTTTTATACACACAGCAAATAGCAAAAAGGGGCAAAAACAATCAGTTTCAAGCTTCCCGAAAATGCTTTGGCAAAAGACTGCAGTATTTTGTGACACCGGCCAAAAACTTACAAATATAGCAGCCAGAGGAAAAAAAGCACTGGCAACAAAAGACAGATGCTGACAAAGCTGGACTCAGAGAACTTGTATGTTATGTGGACCTGGTTTGAAACCAAACTGTGACTCTCAATTTACTCAGAAACAGTTTCAACTTGACTAATACTCCACCCATAACAGACTACTGTGCAAATTTATTTTACTGAAGCATGAATCATTACAGACCATACAAGTGTTTCTTTCCAAAGCCTTTGCTCAGAAATACTTAGGGACTTAAAGGAAAATGCACAATGGCAGTTGAAGTGTTTGCCAGTTATGAAGCAACTCAGCATATTCACAAATATATACAAGGTTCCCTAATCACAGGCTGAGACACGATTCATCATCGATAGTGCAGTAGCACCGTACCAGAACAGTTGGTGTACAAGCTACACCTCAGCATGAAGAAGCACTTCGCACATCTTGAGGCAGCCGAAGAGCAGAACATCTTATTGCTGCTGCCCTTTGAGGCGCTGTCAGGGAAGGTAACTTCAGATTGTCCTCTGGAATCTCAAGCAGTCAACATCTGCACAGCTCTCAACCTGTTTCTTACTCTCCTCCTTTTGACAGATGACTGCTGACTCGAACAACACATTCACATCCAAAGATACCAACTTCTCTACATTTAAGCCAATAGTACCAAGATGAATCCTAAAAACAAACAGGCAAACAACTCTTGAACAAAGGTACATACTCAGCTGCACACCTGGATTTATTTTAATGAAGCCTTTTCCACACTAGTTAGCAATACACTTAATTACATTACCAATAAATCATCCTTCAAACTGGAAGTACCGTAACTGGATAAAGCAGTCCAGGACCAATCTACTGTATACATATTCTTCTCTACACTATCCAACCACTGCTCCATTCACATCCAACGATATTCTCCTTGCCATTAGCCACTTCTGATACACTGTTTTTCCACAATGAACTGTACTTGTTTTTTCAGATATCGTTCTTTCCAAGATGCAGTTCTCCTTTCTGTGAGTAGGTCTTGCATTCTTTGTTCTTAGATGTACGACCTTCTACTTGGCTGCATTAAAGCATATTTTATTTGAATACGACAGTACCTCAGATCACTCACTGAAACTGAGAATAGAGTTTGGAGCTATCATGTCTAAATGAAAGTAATATGGATGGCTTCCAAATTCTGGAAAGGCTTGTTCCCCAGACTCATTCTGAGAGAGATTTGATATAAAAATGTAAATGAGAGCCAGGATTATTTATACCAAAAGATAAACAGAAGTATTACATTTCTAGCTTTCAGGAGCCAATGGGAACATGTCTCTACAATGACCTTACCTTTCATCTTGACCGAGTAAAAGGCAACGGCCTCGCCATTTCTCCAGAGTATCTTGGCACACTCAGTGGCAGAGTGAGGTAGAAAGAATGCATCATTAGCTGAACTCCCTTCCAGCATTCCAAAAATAATGTAGTTCAGAACAAAGAGGACAATCCTTTCTCTAAACGTCTGGACCTTAGAGAACAAACAAAAACAAAGCAAAGAAAAATGAAGAAGAGAATAGTATTTTGCCTTTCATGAAGATCCTCAAAATTGAAGACTGGGAATAAAGGTCAGGAAACATGTACACTTAATTTGGGAAAAATAACTCATGAATTGGTTCAGATAGAATAATAAATATAATTTTCCCAGCGTTCCACCCTCCATCCAGAGGGCATAGAATAATTTACAAACAATTTATAAAGTTTGACATATCTCCTCTGTTGTCACACACAGGAATTATAAAGCACTAGGAAAAGAAGTCTATTGCTTGTAGTCAGAATGAACTAGTCCCAGACTTGGAAACAAGATGAAGGAAGTCTATTCCTACACAACGGAGAAATACAGACAGGATTCACTGTGCTATCCTGATCACCTCTTCACCATTACATGTCTTGCCACAGCATCAAAGAACTTTAGTGGGCCACGACCTTACTGAGCTAGACACTATACAAAACAGCATAAATACACAGCCTGTTCCTTATAATCTAGGCATAATAACAGAAACAATTAGCTTTTATGACATGATTCTTATTAGACAACCAACGAGACAGGCAGATGGAGGAATACAAAGGACAGCATATTGGTCATCAAGGCAAAAAGTGGTGCCAACAACATTTACAGGAACGTTTGAAAAGAAAATGAGAGCTTCCACAAACAAGGACAATTTAACAATGAGCATAAAGGGGCGAGATTTCTGTTTTAAGATATTTTTTTCCCCATTTTCAGATATTTTTTCACTCTCTTGATACAGCAGATGCTCAAAAACCTGAATGGTTGCGGTTTTAACCCAAGTTCTATTTTACAAGGACTTGTATCACAAAATCCGTCCAGTTCAGTTACCCACAAAAAAGCTAGTTAATTCAGTGAATAATTAAACTCTATGTATGGCAGACTATTAGGGGAAGATGACAAAGGAATCATTAAGGACAAAAACCGGGCATAGAGAGTTGTCTACGAAATAGAACTGACTTAACAGACTCATGGCAACACAAGGCTCACATACAGCAGGCAAATGACTTCTTAGTTGAAAACAGAATATGGGATATTCAAATCTCTCAAATTATGAAAAAATAGTTGTATCATACAAAGATCATTTTTTTGGAAGAATTACATATATAAAAAACTATTAAATAACTTGCTTTATAAAATGAATTCAATATAAGCGTTATCCAAGGCAAAACAGTTTCACAAATAGTTTTATAAGACTGTTCCAAAGGGCACTAATACCTCCCATCAGACAGTCAGTCGACCAACTCTAATGTGAAGAGTTATTACTAATGCAATATTCCAGTTTATTTCATTATTCCTTTAATTGGCAGTGAGGGTAAACTAAAACCAAACATGAATAATACTGCAGATGAATCATAAAACTGCATGCAGAAAATTGTTTAGAGAGGGTCAATGTGTATGTCACTCTGTACTGGAAGACTTTTGAAGTACCGGGTGAGCCACATACCCCGGATCCCACAGCTTATACAGCATGAGCTACAAGAGACCAGAGACAATTACTGACGATTATTCTAACTAGGAAGTTCCAGGGCAAAGTCAAATGTTTAAAATAGCATCCTTACCGAAATTAATCCATCTCTAGAAGGATCAGCTGTCTTTACAACATCTTCAAGAGGCCACCAACACTGGTTCAAATAAAGTGCCAAAACTACAAAAAGACAGATGGGAACACATTAACTGCAAACAAATACGAATCTGGTTCTGAACCTTTCTACAAGCAGCCCCAGATCTACTTCTTCCTCCAGCTGACTCCAGTTTGATCTTGTGTGAGACAACAGAACAACAGTAATATTTCAATTTCACCTCCATGTCCCTTGATACCCAATTTTCAGTTCTGCACAAGGCATCAAGTAAAGGTATTTCTTAGGAATTAATGTGACTTTGGGAATAACAACCTCTATGCCATATGAATAAAGTACTCTCTATAGTGTCTGTTCTTTAGCATATTGAGTGGTATTTGGACCGAAGAAAGCTACCTGACTAAAGGTTACATTCTTTAAATTTTTTTTCAGATTTTTTCCCCTGCCCACACATGTTCGTGGCCATATTGGTAGCCATGCAAGTGAAGCCCTAAAGTTTTCATATCCACTGTATCAAACACCTTTTCAGCTACCCATGTGGTTGAATTTCCACGTATCTATATCTTTAGAGTAGACTCCTAAATCTCTGTATGGACAGGTATTCACAGAAGTTCAAATACACACCTGAAGCAAACATGTATGGCCAACCTCTACGTAACTCAGGTCTGAGTGTAAGTTCTATGTAGAACTTGCAGTCTACTTCATTCTGCTCTCCCTGATTTTTCACATGTACAGAATCAAGCATTTAAAACCTACTCTTTCGTGTTTGTCTATAGAATTCATTACCTACAATTAGGTTTACAAGAGAAAGACTGAAACAGCAACAGTGACATTGAAATTGTTCCCAAGCCCTGTTTAGAAAGAAAAAAAATTACAACAGGGTCATTTCAAAGCATATAGGGTTTCGATTAGTTTTTAGAATAAAGACAGAAATTCAATCATTTCTGACCACCAACACATTGAGCAACACGTATTTCAGCAGAAAGAAACGCTATCTGTACATCAGTGACATCCACCTACAGAAACCACACCATCACATTTCCAGGGGTGTTCAAGAACATCAGTATCTCTATTGTCTTCAAATAGGGCAGCTCACACCCCAGTTTTTAGGAAAAAAAAATAGGAATTATGCTGCGCAGAACAGCGTGGAGTTCACACCTTGCAAGTCCTAAGAGAGAGCAGTCGCTGCTGGTTCTCAAAGCTATCCAAATAAGGACAAACATGAGAAAGTTAAAAACCATGTGCCAGCCAGAGACAAATTTACACATAATGAAGTGAAATGGCTTTAATAGGATTCATCAATTACCTGTTCTAGCCTCAGGTTATACAAATGTCTCTGATGTGCACAGGTTAGTTTCCCTTTTTGCTTCAGCCTTTACCAGCTCCCACTGGCTTTCAGGCTGGAGATTCTGCTTAGCTAGCTTGTATTTTAAGTAAATTATTAAAGCATGTGCCAAAAAGCATTACACTTTGTATCCTGGGTTAACAATGAAGAAAGTATTGCACGCAAGGGCAGATGCCTGTTTACAGCACCAGATCCAATTCATTAAATATTATGTGCTTACTTGCATGGCAGTTTCATATTCCTTCTGTGATGGATTCAATCTGTTCCCCCAGTCCCTTCACTCTGCTCTCAAATGCAGGCAGCCACTGCTCCATTACACATCCCTGCTACATGAAGCTACAAAGGCAGCTGAGGCGGACAAAGGAGTCAGAATGGGCCAAACGCTGACTTTAATGGGAGCTGCACAGAGGTTTGGCACACGGTCCAGACACATACAACACACATGGTAAAGGTCAGAAAAGTTTGAACAGGCTTTGATGAAAACAGGGAGATGCATTACCATGTTCTATGGAGCTACTTTTATAGAGCATTTACTGTGCTATTCAATAATTTAAATGTGTGGAGGGGGAACACTAGTTGACATAGCAACTGTCACACCGCATTACTTGAACAACCTTATCTATATGGATGCCTTTCTTAAAGGAAAAACATTTCTCCAGATTTCTCACAAACATATGTACTTCGCTTTTTGTTATCGTTTCTCAAGTCAACATCTGGTCCTCAGTTAAATCTATCCATGCTTCCTCATATTCTCATTTTCATTTTATAGTCAACTTAGAGGAACACTACTTCAAATGCAAGTTCTGCAGCAAGCACACGTTCCTTCACTTTCCTTTCCCAGCCTTATTGTCCTTTCCAAGGCATTGGGTTACATTCACCTAATCATGAGATCAAGCTATTGCCATCAGTGAGCTACACACATCACCTGCACACTGTGAATCACGATGTACATGATTAAAATCATCTTGCAGTTGCAAGACAAGGTAAAATGCCTAAGCCCAATGCATTTCACTTCACAATTAACGAAGTATAGACATGCTCAGTTGCATGGCTTGCCTGTAAGCACCAGCTTGCTAAAACCTCAGGGCTTTGATCACTTGCAATCAAACATATTCAGGGTGTTGCAAGAAGTTGAGAGCCTGTGAAGTGTACGGTTCCTTACCACTGCAGGTATTTGGAAAGGATAACTGAACAACACTGCACTGAGCTAGGCACTAAGTATAATGCAGTTGGAATTATGAAACGTCTTCTTTTGCTACACAGGCATGGACTCTTTCCCAACACAGGTCTGGATTGTATTTTTACTTTCTAGGCTCTGCTGGCCAAATATTCCCATACAATGGGAATTATTAAGTGGGCAATTATTTGAGTGAAATGTGCACATCAAGACTCTACAAAGTAAAACAGAAAAAAATAAAGCATCATCCAGTTTGATATATTTTTCCCTCAGCCTTCATCCAAGACACTGAAACCCATCCCTCAGTCACAATCCAAATTAAAGGCAAGGGTCTACATAAGAGATGGAATTTGAGTTTATTTAATAAGTATTGAATCTAAAAGTTCTGCTGAAGACATCTTTCCCTTAATTTTGGAAGTAATTCAAACCCACGGCACACTTCAGATTACAGAGGTTGCTGGTGCCAGATTTCCACCTTGGAAGGAGAATGGTGAATTATCCCAACAAGGATTTCCAGGCACCCAAGCCTAGGTCAGCTCTGATAACACAACACGCTCAGAGATACTACATTAAACTGCATCCTGCAATGCTGAAATACCCTGAAGCTGTCTGTCCAAGTTCCCTATCTTTAAACAGAGTAAGAGCATTTTTCTCTCTCCGAGTTTTATCGAAATAAATACATGAAAGCATGGGAGGCATGCAGATGCTGCAGTAATGGCAGCTATTCAAGTATCTAAGATAAATATCTTTCCTGCAACCAATTACATTTTCTTCTACAATTCAAGTTTTACTCAATGATTTGTTGCAAATGTCTTGTGATAAATGTTCCGTGGCATCTAGCAGTTATTGTAAATTATTATATACAGCATACAGGAAGTGCCACAATAGGATATGTTTATTTAGTGTTATAAAGATGTTAATCACCCATGCTATGCTCTGTAAGCCCTTACAACACAATTTACATTCTCATAAAAATATCTGCACAGATATACTAACAGAACAGAACACTCAACCCATCACAAATAAATTAAAAATGCTCCCGACCAAGACCAAGTCCTATAGAAAAGCTGCCACACTCATTTTCTCTTTGAAATATGTAGGTCATTCCAGATAGGTTATCCAGAAGTGATGCGTAACATATCTGATCCAGATGATCAGATATAAATCTCAGTGTTCAAATCAACCCCTCTTTAACCTGTGTCCAAGAATTAAATGTCATCAAACTGCGCAGCCCTCCACTGGCAAACTTATAGCTAGGCTGTTAAATTCTATGTTTTCCAGTCTAAACCATTAGAATTTCAAACAAATTATTAGATTGAAAATAATCTAATCTTTGGGACCCGTGGGAATAACTGTGGGAAATACATATATTATAGAGGATATTATTTCATAATCATTTTTATCTATGCAGTACTAATCCATTATAGATTTAAGCACAAAGGAAGCTGAAAGAGGAAATCCCATCACATATGAACATAAGACACATAAGATATACAGCTCTCTCATTAAGGTACTGTCCAGGCATGTGATTAACCCCAATTGTGAAGGTTTGGGGGGGGGGGGGGGGAAATCAGGCAGCTGCCAAGAGCAAAGCTGGGGATGTTGGGAGTAAAGCTGAAAGAATTTCTCTCCCCCACCTGGATAAAACCACAGTTCACAAGAAAACTGTAAAGTTCAAGGGAGGATAAAGAACCTTGCAACCTGCTTAATGTTTTAACTTACTGCCCATGTCCTTAACTAATGGTGACTGAATTTATAAATAGTGCTTTTTTTCTGAAGAAATTGGATTTGAAACAATTTGATCTGTTCACTGCACAGCACAAAAGGTTCTAGAGGTAAGCAAATCCAGCTGGACTTGTCATGTTAACAGAATCTGCTGCTTTAAGTCAATACTTAATCTACTGAACAGTGGGAAAAAACTATTTGGACAAAATCCCTTAAAATGGATATACCCATATGTGTAGGTATGCACACACACCCCAACCAACTTTAGAGAACTAATGAAAATGTATTAACATTCACCTAAAGAACAAAGTCAAGTCAGTCCAATTTGATGTGTGTAGGAAGGTTGGCCACGTTTATAGCTTATAGAATCCAGAAACAAAGAACTTCCAGTAATGTCCTTTAAATCATACTTTTAAAAGGAAATAGTTGAAGCCAGATGGTATAGGCCTTAAATTTCTAGACCTACTATTATCTGTAACTGTTTCTGGGACTGTGGGGGACACAAGTGTAAGTTTTGCAAGGTGGACACAGTCATCAGTCAGCCCGTTGTTTATAACACAATGAAGTGTTTATTCTGCTAGGTTTAAGCTTTTAATGTAGATAACTATCATATAATTTAGTCTCCAGCGTGGACTTGTTTGACTTGTTCCTTGTGGGAAACCTTTACTTTTCCATGGACAAGTATCTCACTAATACATGTTGTTCCCATTCCCATATTCAACTGAAAATTTGTGCTCAGTGCATCACTTTCACTTGCATTTATTTAATAATTCTCTATTTTCATGTTGCAGTTGTTATATAAACCCACTCCTCTTGTACAGCCTTAACTATCTTAATGCTGTTTTCAACTACCTTCAATAGTCAGTAAGTATGCACAGCTGCACCCCGTGCAAGTTTGGCCTCTGGTGTAGACGTTTCTCTCCTTTATCACACCAGTGCCTATCTCTCCTCAGAAAAATGTTAATGGAATAGATAAATTCATGTTAGGAAAGTACTTCGATCTCAGTAGTTTCAGAGGAACCATAAAGTCTTTTGACTACACTTTTACCTTCGAAAGGTCTCCCACCTTCAACTATGCGAATCACAGCCCATCAGTGAAGCTCCAATTGAAAGCGTATGTAAAAGGAGCTGGAAAACTTTGCAGAGTTCACCTCTAACCACAGATGATTTTAATCTGATTTTTGTTCTTATGAAGAAGTGCCCCGATTGCTTTGTTTGGACTGAGCAATGAATACTTAAGTTACACTAATAGTGCCTGTACTAGGAGAGATCATTACCCGACACTCTTTAAAACTGAACACAGAATGCTGAACTTGTTTGCCTTGCCTTTGTTGTATTATTAAAAATACTGGCTGCCAAAGCCTTTCAGGCATAAGTTATAGGTTATCCTTTCAGAAATACATATATGTGTTTTTAGTGACAGATGTCATTAGTTTGCTGCCGCATTTGGAAGCTGAAAAGTTAAGAGATTACAGAATCAGGGCTTTGTGTGGATTCCCTTATATAAGTGACACAGAGCCAACACACAGGTTCACAACTTTGTTGTAGATGTTCTAAAAACTGCATAGCCTGTCACTTTACAACAGCTCCAAAACTCTTTAACCTAGGTGGGTCACAACCTGTGCTTTTGGTACTATGCAACTTGGAGTCAACTTTCCAGTTCATGATGAGTATCAAGGGCTGATAAGTTTTCTGCATTTGCATTTTTTCAAATCCTATAGTCAAAGATGCTTGCCTAAGCGAGTAAGTAGGAAGAAGGCAGCCTGTGTCTGAAAACACTGAAACCCTGAGAGTGGTAAGAGAAAGCTTACATACAAGATTGTTCAGTTCTTAAGAACCTGTTGATACTCTAAGCAGTGATTCATGAAACAGCATGTGTTTCCTGGTGCTTCTGACTTCTACCACCTGTAACTCGGTTGTAGTGTATCCCTTATCACATGGCTGCAACAGGAAAACACCAGCACTACTAGTAGTAAGTAACACAAAGCTGGTAGAGTTTAAAGGAAATATTGGGAAAACTGCCAAATAAACTGGATTTAACTCAATTGCTCAGCCCTGTTTCACTCCAAATTTACTCCACACACATCAGTACCAAAAATAGAAGGTAATTAAATCTAGAAATGAAGACACCACAAAAGAAAAACAATATGAGTAAGAATCAGTAAGACCTGATACAATTTCAGCCTTCCAGTACTTAAAGGGGGCCTACAAGAAAGATGGGGAGACACATCAGCGAGCATAGTGATAGGACAAGAGGTAATGGTTTTATACTAAGAGGGTAGATTTAGAGTAGATATTAGAAAGAAATTCTTCACAAATAGAGAGTGGTGAGGCACTGGCACAGGTTGCCCAGAGAAGCTGTCGATGCCCCATCCCTGGAAGTGTTCAAGACCACGCTGGATGGGACCTGGGCAACCTGATCCAGTGGGAGGTGTCCCTGGCATGGCAGGGGGGTTGCAATGATCTTTAAGGTCCCTCCCAAGTCAAACCATTCTAGGATTCTTTGATATACATTTGTTCATTTCAGCATTTCAGAATTCTATCCAAACTATAACACATTAAATTTCACATCATCCTGTATTAGAAAAAAACATTCAGAAAGAATAAGGGATTTACCTGAGGTCACTTCTCAGCTACTAGCAGAGCTATGCTTAGAATCCAAAAGCTCTGACTGTCAATCACCCCTTTTAATTATTAGCCCACCAAAACAAGTCCCTGACAGGTAAACTGAATCTGCTTCATATTCAAAACAAAATCCAAAATATTTAAGTATATAAACCAGCAGACCAATTTAAAAGTAAAAAGAAAGTACAACTACTCAAATTTCAAAATATTTTGACCATTTCTAACCTGTCTCTTTATCCTGTGGATCAGTTAACAGCAACATTTTGCAAGTAGGATTATTTCGGTAGAGAGGGACAAAACACACACAGGAATCTTCAAGTTTAACCTAAAAAATAAACAAGCCCTGTAGCTGTTTGTACTGCAAAGCCGGCAAGAAGTACTTCAAGTATTAGATGCATTTACAGTATGTTTTACTAACATGCATGGTATATGCTTAGCACAACATCCTCTCAATCCTGAACTAAGCCACTAAATGATACACACCTAATATTATCAGTTAGCAATTTAAAAGAAATCAGCTAAAGTTAGTGAAGGCCTTCATACTGACTCACTACAATTAGTACCTAATGTGGCTTTGAACTCTGTTACATGCGGACAAATGGTGTTATGAAAGACCAGACACATTTGTATCAAATGAAAACAAATATAACTTGCACTTCTCTCAGCATTGTCCAGCTGAGCACTTGTGGTGTTTTGCAAACAATGAATTAAGCCTCAGGGCATAGGGAGTATCAAAGCACTAGGGCAGTGCCTGGGCAGTTTATCTGTGAGGCACAGGGAGGGGAGATAATTGGCACAAGGTGGTTATGTTGCGGGGAAAGCTCAAATCAAAATGCAGCTCTCAACCTTTCATTCTTAAACTAAACTTCTAAATGATGTGACACATAAACACCAAATTACTATGCTCAAGCAGCTCTATATGCATAGAGATGACGATTTCCATATGAATATTGCAAATGCTCCCATGGAAGTTTAGGTACAGGCAAAGAGCGTGCATAATTTAGCACAGTATGTACTGTACTTTCAAAAATCTGGTCCATTGTGTATGTGTGGGTGTGCCTCTCTCTCTAATTGCACCCATTTGTCAGTTTGCTATGAAACTCAAATCAGTCATGTGATACATTTAATATTTCTTGGTGCATGGAAGAAGTAGTATGAATATGATTACTCAAGATAACAACGTTAAGCTGAAACCAGTGTTCACTAGTTTGTCAGTGGTGGAATCCTGGGATCATCTGTGCAAACGCTGGACTCCTGGAAGTAACTGAGAACTGCCTGAAATCTGTATTCATGAGCTCTCTGAAATCTCAGCATGTTCAGGGGATTCAGCCTTTCTTTGCATGCTACAAATATAACAACAGCACGGGTATCATTATGGCAACCGGGAGCATTTCTATAATGAAAAGGCCAGTACTATTTCCAATACTGCTATGATTGTTATTTTGTTTTGTAAGGTAATGTGCACTTTCACGGGTGCTAATAACATCAGGATGAGCCAAGCATAGCTTTCTCTTTTTGAACTCTGCCAACGTGCTTCCTTCCTGACTTGCAATAATCCTTGTTATTTTTGCACTGAATGCTTGACCAAAGACCATGACATACCAAAAAGAAGTTCTGTGACCTGAGCAAGTGGGCTGACAGACACTAATTATGCATGGTTGCTTGTCCTGCCACTTGAAACCTGCTTTAATTCAGATGCACACAGACAGGGGAAGGAAAAAAAAAAAGAAAAAAAAAAGCTAGTAACTACAGCCAATTATTCAACCACAGAAATCCTCATCCTTCAGGTTGTAGGTACACAGCAGAGATTGTTAGCTCTGATGTTCTCTGGGAATGGGGGCTTAACTGTATTACATTTAATTCATTTTTAATTACAAAATATCAACATTCATTGAAATATTTATTATAGAATATAAGGGAAAAACAATACAGCATGAACATTACCATTACTTATGCCCTTGACTAGCTGTCTGACTGCAGATTAGATTAGACCTGAATTAAATGAATGCAAAGAGAAATGTGTTGCTATGAGACTCAAATCAGTCATGTGACATATTTAAGGTCTGATGACAAGCCACAGAATCAAGACAGTTCTGAATCAAAAGCCAGAAGTCCTCCTTTAACTGATCTCACTGTGTCTAATTAGTGCAGGAATATATACAGCACTGCCTGGGATGTTATCTTACCCTCCTTTCTAATGGAAGAGCAAATAAGCTCCTAAAAGTATAACCAGGCATGAAAGGCTGAGCTAAGGACAGAGAAGCCCTCAGCTGGGTTCTCTTTGAATTTTGGGGTTTGTTTGTATTTAACCCTACATGGTCCACTAGAGGGCATTAAAAGAATATTTAAAGCTAGTTACATTCCCTGCTCAAAGATGTAGCTGCCCACCTGAAATAGCATTTTTCTGGAATCTACTACATACTATTTTCCTAAACTGTGGAAAAGCCACCATATCCCAACCACTTATTTCAACTAACACACTTACTGTTTTGATGGTACAAAACCAGGTAGTCCAGTACACCTTTTATCATCTAGAAAATGCCCAGCATGGAAGGTTTCTCACATTAACTGAAGTCAGAATTTTTAACAGGCCAATTCCCTCATCCCCAGTCCCTTCTTCAGGTGCCTCGGGAATGGAATCTTTAAAGCACTAGCACCTGCAGCATTTATACCATCTGTCAGTTACAGCTGATCTGAACTGGGAGAATCCACAGTCAATACTATTAATACAATTATTAGAAAGGATGAAAATAGAAAATAGACTATACAACAATACCTGTGTAAACTGCATATTAGAGGCAGAATACAGAGCAGAGCCCTGATACAAACCTCTACCAAATTCACTTTTGATTCAGCCCTGTGAGAAGGCAGGTCAAGGTGTAAAGTTCAGCTAAGTACTTCAAACCCTCACCCACACTTGGAGGGTTTTAGGACTTGGAGTTTAAGCTTATTTCTAATTCGCAGCACACAAATTGTTTGAAATAATGCAGAATTTGCTGATTTTAAGAGATTTGTAATCTGGCCATACCAGTTTACCCCTATTCACAGACACATCATGAACACAACCAACAAGCTAGTTTGCAAGTACCCTACTTGTAGAATAAAAAATATCAGGCTATTACCTTTTCTCTTCCAGGGATAGAAAAAACATCACGAGTGGATGATGACTGCTTCAAGAGTTTTTCATAATATGCCTCAGCATCTGCTTGCAGAGCCTCTGGATCTCCCACTACTGTATCTACCAAGTAAAGGCAACCTGCAGTTAAAATAAAACACATGATATTTTTTAGTTTTAAAGTGAGCTAATAAATATGAATGTTAAAACCACAGTTTTCTCAGCAGTTGATTTTTGTAAATGGGCCCTCATCATTCCCATTGGAGCCTTTTGTAATCGTAATCTGAAACAAGAAGTCTGGTAAAATCCTATCTATTTGCTATCTACCTCTTGACATGCAATTTTACAAAGTACAACCATGACAGCATCAAATCACATTTGCCTCGTCTGAATTCAACAAGCAGAGTTTTAAATTTCTCTAGGTGTAAGTAAATCGCTTTAAAGCTGTAAGAAGAAAATTCTTCAAAGCACAGCCTGAATTTTAGTACTGTCCACAAATACAACAGGAACAGAATTCCAAAGCTTCCACAGTTTCTTGGAAGGCTGCCCCTTTATGTGCCTGTTCGTGCTCTGTAGTATATTGTTAGTTATCTCCTCCTCTCTTTTTTTTTTCTGCCATTTCAATCGGGCAATTTTACAACAATTGAGTAATGTCAAAAAATACCAAAATATTTACCCACAGAAGGGCTCCCAAAATAACAACTACAACCTTTTATGCAACATAACTTTCAATCCACGTGCCTCAATACTGTAGGATTCATGCAAGGTATTTGTTAATTGCATGCAAATAAAAATTACATACATCTGATGCCTGCTACGTAAATGCAAATTCCAGGAGAAGCCAAGCATCCTCTTTCTGATACAAGAAATCAGACTGATTGGTGGTTCATCACCAGCTGAAGAACATTAGAGGCAATGGGTTAGCAGTCAAAATAGTATTCTGCCAGTCACCTGCCACAGAAAGGAAATATTTGCAATTTAAGATCATTTCAATCAACAAGCCATGCCTGCAACTCTTATAAGGCCCAAACTGAGGACAAGATCTTCTACCTCACAGCTATAGTTTGAGTCTTAGCTCTAAATCCTCCATTTTTAATAAAGGTTTGCTTTCACATGGCAGTTCCTGTGACCCAAGTTTAATGTGAAATAACTAATCTGATACTAAGTGCAAAGTAAATGGCTGAGACAACAGTCTTCTGAGGGCCACTGTAGGAGCTATTTATATCAAGATTCAGAAACTATGGATCATGAAAGTACAATACTGAAAACTCCACCTTTCCGTGTAAAAACAGGAGCACGGGACGTGCAGTACCAGGTGAGACTTCATCCACTGCCCCACTGTTCTGTCCCAGCACTGCTCAGTAACCGATTCCTTACCAAAAAGTAAGAAACTACAACTGATAATGCACCATGACCCAGCACAGCTAAAAATACTTTAAACACTGTTTCCCTGCCCTTTGCAGGCAATCAGCTTACATCCTGATAAGGCTTGATAGCAAAGCTCTGCAGTCAGACTGCTGAACAGAAGCTGCTCCGCTGTCACAAGATGGGAGAAAGAAGCATTGCAACACCGGCAAGTTGAGTCACTTCATAAAATCCCAGCCAGTATTTAGCACTAGCAGCTGTTTTTTTCTGCAGCGACCTTCCCCACCATGCTGGGTAACACCACCAAGCAAAGAAGCCATATAAGGGAAGGAAGAAATAAGGCAGAAATTAAACATTATTATTTAAAACTTACGTAATTTACTGAAGTAAACTTCCTAGGATTTTTTTTTTTAACAAAAGAGCAACATATAAGACTTAAGTTTAGCACAAAGAAAAATATTGATCATGCTGATAAATAACATTCATGAGATGCTGCTTACGAGGCTATATCCTGCCACTGCTAGGCCAAAGCAACTTAATTCACTAGTGGCGTCCCCCAGGGCTCGGTGCTGGGGCCGGTCCTCTTTAACATCTTCATCAATGATCTGGATGAGGGCATTGAGTGCACCCTCAGTAAGTTTGCAGATGACACCAAGCTAGGTGCGTGTGTCGATCTGCTCGAGGGTAGGAAGGCGCTGCAGGAGGATCTGGATAGGCTGCACCGATGGGCTGAGGTCAACTGTATGAAGTTTAACAAGGCCAAGTGCCGGGTCCTGCACCTGGGGCGCAATAACCCCAAGAAGAGCTACAGGCTGGGAGAGGAATGGCTGGAGAGCTGCCAGGCAGAGAAGGACCTGGGAGTGATGGTGGACAGTCGGCTGAATATGAGCCAGCAGTGTGCTCAGGTGGCCAAGAAGGCCAACGGCATCCTGGCTTGTATCAGAAACACTGTGACCAGCAGGGCTAGGGAGGTGATCGTCCCCCTGTACTCGGCTCTGGTGAGGCCGCACCTCGAGTACTGTGTTCAGTTCTGGGCCCCTCGCTACAAGAAGGACATCGAGGTGCTTGAGCGGGTCCAGAGAAGGGCGACGAAGCTGGTGAGGGGCCTGGAGAGCAAGTCCTATGAGGAGCGGCTGAAGGAGCTGGGCTTGTTCAGCCTAGAGAAAAGGAGGCTCAGGGGTGACCTTATCACTCTGTATAAGTATATTAAAGGAGGCTCTAGCGAGGTGGGGGTTGGCCTGTTCTCCCATGTGCCTGGTGACAGGACGAGGGGGAATGGGCTAAAGTTGCGCCAGGGGAGTTTTAGGTTAGATGTTAGGAAGAATTTCTTTACTGAAAGGGTTGTTAGACATTGGAACAGGCTGCCCAGGGAGGTGGTTAAGTCACCATCCCTGGAAGTCTTCAAAAGACGTTTAGATGTAGAACTTAGGGATATGGTTTAGTGGGGACTGTTAGTGTTAGGTCAGAGGTTGGACTCGATGATCTTGAGGTCTCTTCCAACCTAGAGATTCTGTGATTCTGTGATTCTGTGAATAAGCACTTTAAAGCTGTCTCCTCACTGAACAAAACAACCAGCACCTTCAAATTTACACTAGCTTTCTGGTACCTAATCTACTGGTATTCTAAGGGAATGGAGATCCATTTGAACAATGAAATATTGTCACAAATTAAATGATGAGGCATTAGAGAAAACTTATGATCAACACTGCCTTAATACAGCTTTCCACAGATTAATTTTTTCTCTAAAAATTGCTTTTAGACTTTCATTTAACTTGTCTTTCCTGTGTAATATTCTGAAAATGCTAAGTATGTTAGAAGCACGTGTTCCTATAAAGGGTCATGAATTAAACAAATCTGTCCCAACTTCTATAAATAAGGGGGGATCCTTCAGGACAATATGGAGCAGGTGTCTAACTTTTGGTGCCCTGGAGTGCCCTCAAGAAGTCAGTTGTGCTAAGGCTGGGCTCTGTGAACATCCCCCAAAACCTGCACACCTGTGCACAACCACTAGGGCTGTTCAGCCGCCAGGGCAGGAGAAAGATCACTGAGGTAGCTTCAGTTTATGTTAACTGAAGCTTTCCGCAGTACAAAGCAAAGAAGCTATATTGCCTCTTCCATGTATGCCCCTTTCACATGCATTTTTTCTATAAAAACAAACAAAAAAAGTGACAAAGTCTAACCATAACTATAATTATTAGGCATTTGACTACAGCAGTAATTATTGCTGGCTAGCAGGACATTACAAAGGTTCCAAAATCAATTGCAAAATAATTTAACTTTGCTTTAAAAGGAAAGCAGCTATTCTCCTGCGAGTGCTTTGGTCTGAGGCCCCTACCAGCATCCAGGGATCCCAGACTTGCAATTTGCCGAGGACAGCCCTTTACCCCAATTTGAATTAGAGGATTTCATATGAATCTGATCTTAGGTAGCGACAACAAAAGAGCCCATTGTAGCAGCCTGACAGCTAGGGAGAAACAGCCCCGAGCACAAAGGGTTACGTCTGGGCGGGGAAGGAGCAGGGGAGCGGAGGGGGGCAGCGGGGGTGAGTCATAAAAAAGGGGCCTCCTGCTGCAGCCACAGAGCGAGGGCCCTGAACCAGGAGCAGAGTAAATGTAGAACGGGAGGCCTACTGCGTTACAGGGCTTCCAGGCATTCATACTGGAGGAGTGGAGTGGAGGCTGCCATCGTACATAGCCAACGCTGGTAAAGAGGGTGAGTGCATCACATGGACTGGTGCAACAGTGGTGTGAGGACAGGTTTCCAACAGACAAGTCCAAATCTGGGGTTTTCGGGAGCTCCAGTGTCCAGGGAAAGAGGAGGAAGTGTACACAGCTCCACTGGAAAAAAAAAAAGACTCATCCAGAGAAAAATGAAGGAATTGAAATAGAAATCTGATGGCCATGTTTCCATCTCAAGCATATAAAATGGATTTTAAAGCACAAACTAACGTGGTAATTCTGCTTCTGCTCTCGTTTGTTTCCATGGAGCAGGCTGGGCTGCGTACTCAAGCTACTACGTGTAAGTGCATCTGCTCACTCTGGTGCTGTGCCATCAATTTCTGCTAAGAATCTGGTACCTGAAAGGAAAAGCTGCAGCTATACACGCAGCCAGGCACTGCCTGTGCTCCATCATCCTTAGGGGACACTCACAGCACTGAGAGGCACCTCCCTCAGCCTACACCACCACGCTCCTCTGCTGATCAGCACAAACCAAGGCCCCCGTTCCAGCCCTGATCCTTAAACTCAATTTTTGTCTAACCCCACTTGTAATCCACCTCCGATTTCCTCCAGAACAGAGAACTGGATTTTATGGGTGCTTCATGAAGTGGACAAATGTTGTTCTTGTAGAGGTAAAAGTCAGACAAAGAGCAGTTTGCTTAGGATCCAAAAAGATCAATACGTGTGAATCCAGACAGATCTGACTGGCATCCTGACATCCTGCATCAGGCAGATATATAACAACTGGAAGCACAAAACAGAAGACAATACTCTATCTTGAGCTAGAAATTGATTTTTCTGGACTAGAGACAGACCCCATCATTACAGACTCAGCAAGAATGTCATTTGATAACTTGAAGTAAGCAGGAAATATTTTTCCATGGGTAAAAGAATGTATTCTCGATACAACAGAAAACACATGGTGCACACACTTGGATGTGAAATTCCACAAGTGAGACTGCAGAGTGCAGGAATGCCCGAAGGTAAATGAAATGCCTCGACTGATTCTTTTTGACAATTCTTCTACATCCTCTGCAGCTAAACCCTACATCATAATAGAAATAACTTAACTAGAGTATAGATAACTGGAGGCTAACATGCACGGGATGCTACAGCAGTTTAAATCACTATCACATTCCTCAAGCTCTTTTTGACTAGTCACTTCAGTACCTATGGATTAGTTTTACTGTTTTCTCACTATCTAACAAATCAGTTACAACTCGGCACAATCAACTCCATCTCTTCATTAAAATGCTTTAAATACTCATTTAGATTTCAAATTAGTGTGCACTGCCAATTTACGTAGTCCCATTGATCAAGAACCCAATATGCAATTTATTAAACAAGAGATACTTGCTTTAGTAGTTAAGAATTTTCTGTTCCTGCGTTCATACGTAGCTTATCAGGACTGGGTCCCTAAGCCAACACGTTGGTGACGCAGATATTTGGGACCTGACACAGCACCGAGTTGGCAAAGATCCGTTAAGGTGTGCCGATACTTCCAAGAAAGTGTTAGTTGTTGAAAAGAGGATTTCAGAAATTCATAAGAGCATTTAGGATGCAGCTGGATTTGTGAAGCGAAATACATCAACCTCACTGTAGATGAAGCGTTAAAAGAGTGTTGTGTCTGAAGTGAATTAATCATTTATCCTACAACTACTTTTTCATGTTCTACAAACAGAGGGAACGACAGTACACGCATCCATTAAGTGGGTGTTTACAGAAGAGCTATCAGTCACCGCATGATCAGTACCTGGATCGTGCATCTTAGTGTATGTGGTTGTGCAAATGTGCATTGCGTTTATACGTGAAAGAATGAAAAATACTCAGATGGGATTATTAATGGTAACAGACAAAAATAACCTAGCAGTTCTAACTTCTAAGCCTCATTAGTTTTTATTCAATTTTGCCATTTGTTGTGTTTGGAATAGCAGTACTGGTTTCGTTTATTTATTGGCTTTATTTGCATGCCAATATATTTCACAATTTAAAAAAAAAAAAAAAAAGAAAAGAAAAAAGAAAAAAAAAAAAAGAAAAAAGAAACTTCAGCAGATTTAAGTGTTCCTGATGGTATCATGGGTTTTTGCTGTCCAAGAACTATTTTCCACTTTTTTTTTGTAATCAAAAACCACTTTGCAATACGTAACAAACATACGTACACCAACGCAAAAAGTCTGCATATCAAATCAATATTTAGGAGGGAATGTTCTTGTAATTAAACCAGGCAACTAAGATTTATTCTTACCACAGGTGTGTTTTTGTGGCCCCCAACAAATCACTTTATCTTCTGTCTGGGTTGTTATCACTTAAGTGTACGCCTTATCTACCACTTCAAAAGGGCGTGACGTTTTTCATATCAGTCCCTCTGAAGTCACAACATGAAAAGACAAAGAAATCATGTAGCATAAATCGTTCTCTGTTCTCCCATGGCCTGTCGCTGCCACACTACGGCAGCAAACCCATGACAGCGTCTCAGATCTGAAGATAACATTTTTTGCTCCCGTAAATTGAGTACACGTAACAGAAGTACTTTCCATTACCCTCGCACAGGAGCGGGAGCTCTGCGTTAAACGGCAGCGCTTAACACCAACTTCTCCCTTCCTTCCAAGGGGCTTGAACAGCTCTGTGCATGTGGTTATCATTAGACAACCATATTTGTTTAACCTTTCAAAGGAAGGAAGAGGTCTTTGGCATGTTCCCGGGAGTACACGCAGAACCTAACTCTCATATCCTGAATTTAATTGAGCAACTTCATGTCAAAAAGCCCGAGCTGGAGTGTAAGTGAAACTTCAGCACCGTAACAATGTGTGGTGGCAGTGGAGCTATGGGCAAAGGCTGCGGTGTGATATCTGTCCAACCTGGCAAGGCAGCCCTTAACCACACGCTGTACATCATTAATGAAAACAATGTTCTGCCCCACTGCATTACTTTTCACCATTACTAACAGAGCAATCACTCTTGGAAGGTAAAGGATGAAAAAAATGCGTTGGCATCAGCATCGCTCTAAACCTTGAGCCAAAAATGCCATTTATGTTTTAAATGTAATTCTATCATAATTCAAATGGTGAAAAAGGTCTCAAGAGACAAACTAAATATAAGTTTCTGACTGCAGATAATTTTCTGCTGTGGAATCAATAAATTAAGGCAGAAGTGAAGGGAAATAATCCTAATCCCATCCCCAATTAAGAAACCAAACAGTTTAAATACGAGTTCAGTTGTAGCTTTACATGTCGTTATTGCAAATTCTGCAACTTATGAAATGGAAAAAAAAATAGACAATGGAATTAAATAATAGATTTAATTACTTAGCTCATTTTGGAAAAGCGCCCGGATTAAACCACGTTATTTAAAATGTTTTCAAATCTAGGAAAGCAAGTGTACATTGAAGGGATCACATAACGGCATTAATCAACCCAAACCTGCAGTGGTCCTGTGCTACAAACAGGTTTCAACTGCGTGTGTTTTCCTTCAGATGGATGTTCAGCAGTGTTACACTTTAAAAAAAAAAAAAAAAAATAAAGCCGCACCCAGCTCATAGTACAGATAAATTGAAATACATCTGTGTAAACAGGCTCCCCCTGCCACATTATACACAAACTGCACATCTGGGCTGGCATGTTTTGCACAAAGCTCTAACCTAATGTAATTGAGAAAAGCTGAGATATTACGGCCCAGAAACAGACTTCATAAATAAATACTGTAGCGTACTGTGAAAACATGGAAATGCTACCAGCTGTAACTATGACATATCAGGAATTCAACCTCCTGCACATGTAACTCTCTTCTTCACAGAGCATAGATGCTAGAAAGAGGTAGGGAGAACAACTCAGGGAAGATACAGTCCTGAAGAGAAGCGACCTTCAGGACCATAATCCATGCAGGCTGGAAGGTTCCAGTTCACACCATGCTTTCATCAAGGAAATTTCATTGACTCCAAGGGATTGCTGCTCATAGGTCTGAATCTGTGAATATCTCAGCTAGATTCTTAATATAACTAATTTCAGCTACTGAAGACAGGGGAGGTAACAGTACTAAGGATTTCCTTGCATATGTAAGAAAGATCTTTGAATTGGCTAACTCGATTATTTGTCTATGCCTAAACAAAATGGAATATACAAGCCAAAATGAACTTCTCCAAAACAACTGCGTCCACATCAGGGGCTTTTTCCAGCACAACTCTGTCTGTGCTACATCTCACTTCATCAGACCCATAGCCAAAATAGCTATGCCAGCAGAAACTCCTATTTCCCAGCATGACCTCAAATTTGAGTCTGACTCTCAAAAGTCTAAGCAAAGAAGGAATGGGAGGCCCCAAATGACACTGAGATGTATCACTGAAGTACCTTCATCGTTCAAAGAGGCTGACTAGAAAGAAAAACTACAGCAAAGGTACAGTAAACAGCAGCAGAGCTTTTAGGAATCACAAGTTCAAATATGATGTAATTAATTCAAGCCTTTACAAAGATGAACGGTAGGAAGGAGGACACAAATTGGCTAGAAGTCATCCCGTAACATAAGGGAAAAGGGGAAGACAATGTATCCCATAGTGGCAAACAAGGAGTAGTGAAATGGTAGGAAATGACAACTGATTTGGAAAATGGACTGACATGAAGATGATTTCATCCCATGGGGACAAGCCAGATAGACTGCCAGTTCGGCCAGTTTCAGAAAATACTCGTGTTTTAAGACCAAGGAGCATTTGAAGTGATTACTAAAACACCCACCCTCAAAAACTGGCACCAGGACTAACATTTGAGCAGCACATTAAATACATTTCCTTGTTACTACCATCATTCAAAGCATGTGCAGGGAACCGAAGACCACAAGGGCTACACACAACCCCTATCTTCATCTCATGCAAACTGCACAAATACGTGCAGCACACTGAAGGTTCCTGAAAGCCATGGTTTGCTATCAGAAAGGACATTCTCCAGGCAAATAATGCAGCAATGACAATACAAGACAACTAGCTCGATTGCCACTGTTACCAATCTCAGATCCCCCATAATTTAAGTTGCAAATGTTTTGCATCTGAAAAATCTACTGCTCCCACCAGTAGAGTGCATAAGTCTACCTAAGATAGCTCAGCAGCCTCCCCAAATTGCTTGCAAGGCCAATTTGTACAGCCAGACTAATCTCAAAATAAAGCAATTAATTTGAGCAAAAAAAGGAAACAAAACAAAACAAAAATCCCTCTTTTCCATAACAATTTACACATTGCTAAATTTATTATGCAGCTGCAAATTAATACATCACCTTCACTAGCTATCACAAGCCTGTCTTGGAACTTCTTGCTCAGGCAAAAAATAAACAGCTGTACGTAGTGGAGAAAACATGTAAACATCTCTCTTGTTTCTCTGTGCCATTGTGTCAGCTATTCTACATGTCTTTGAAGGTGCTCCAAAATCAGCAAGGCTCTGCTTCTGCTTTTCCTTTTTTTTTCCCCTCTCTTCTCTCTTTTTTCATTTTTTTTTTTTTTTTTTTTTTTCATTTTGGGAGGAGGAAGAAGCAGAAGGACAGACTGGCAATAAAGGGCTACCTCTGTGCTCTTCACAGTAAAGCTGAGATTGTTTAAATTCAGTTTACACAAACTCTTCTGTAAGGACAAAAGAAACCACTGCTGGTGGTTAAAAATGCAAAAGGTTTTGATTGTAAGGGCTTGACGATCAGCCAAAGATATGACTAGGGGGAAAAACACAGCAAGACAGCTCTGACCAGAATGGAGGAAACAAGGAAAAACACATGGCCTGACTTCAGAGCAGAAAATTGACTTAGGCTTTGCATAAACGACAGCATACCTCAAAGCCTGCCTGATCCACAGCCTGCCTGGAATGAGAACATGTAGTCTAAAAGCAGAGCCTATTAAAAGGCATAATGTTTCTAAACGGCATCTGTTGCGTACTAATAAGCATTACTTAAAGGACACAGGCCTTAAATTGCTACCAAACGTGCACTTATCTGAAACTGCTGCAAGGCAATCATTACAAAAATGTCACATGACACCATGGGAATTTGAATAATATAAGATGTTTTTATTTAGTTTGGCTTGAAATCATTACACAGAAAAAATATGGAGGCACTTTCTGAGATTTTGAGACTGTGGAACTTCACAGGAATGAAACACTAGCAAGAATTACATCAGCAGAGCCATTTGCCATCTGTTGTTGGTAATACTATAAAGACCAGCCACCAGACAGCAGTTTCGAAGGTTACAAACACACAACATTTTTAAGCATCCGCAGACCGCTCGGTAAGCGAGCAGGACCCAGTTTACTTTCGGTATGTGTGACCTGAGGGTCTGCCAATCGTTTTGCGAAGACAGCAAAACCGTGAATTGCCACCACAAGTTTGGGAGTCTCCTGGTGCGCAACCATTATACAATGCAGAAAATATACCAGCCTGTTCTACACCAGTTCTTATAACATACTCATAAGCATAATGGCTGCACACCTCCCACTCGGAATTTAAACAGGCTAGACTTTCCCTGGTGTTGTTTGTTCTCTCATACTCTCCTCCCAAGGGAAGGAGAAGGTTCACTGCAGTGCTATTATGGGTAGGGACTCAGGTTTGTTTGCTGGGTTTTCACTGTGTTTTTTCTTTGAGAGAAGTATTTTGAAGGAGGTAGGATTTTGTTTCCTGCTTCTTTGCCTTCTAAGACATAACTATGTATTTATGTTAAAGCAAGGTTACAGTAATCTGCCTTGCCTGTGGCAGGGAAAGCGAGGAGGTTATGAAAATCCCCCTCTCTCAGAGATACACACACACCTCACTCTGAAGAAAAGTCTGCTTGTTTCATAGAGTTTAGTTATACTGAAGGAATACGGTTGTTGATCAGACTCATCTTAGAGCTTCAAGTAGATTTCTCTAGACGTAGGGACCACATTCATAACACATAGCACATCTACACTACCAGAATTTTGAGTTTCCACCTTTCAGGGTGCTGACCTCCTCCTACCTGTAAACTTTAACTGATTAACATGGATTTCATTGAGGGCAGGGAATTTTCCATCTACCTAGAGAGGCAGATGGAAATTTAAAGCTTCATTAGTGCAATTGTTGAACTAGATGTACAGGTTTGTCATGTGGCAACTATTTCCCAGGCGCCAGCATCGTATGTATTTTGTTACTCACTGAATGTCTTTTGCAGCCTTGTTGTTAGATGGTTAGCATGTACAAGTCCGACTCTCAAAATGTTCTGAAATCAAAACTGTCTTGTGGCAAGGCTGAATTTAAAACAAGAACCTCAAGTTCTATGTCAACATCTGGCCTGCTTTTCAATGGCAAGGTTTGTGAAGAACAGTTACAGGAACAGACCTCAGGAACAAGTAGAGTTGCGGCACCTCAGTTACAGCAGGGCATGAACTGAGAAGTACCACTTGCACAAGAAGAGCTAATGGCCAACTCCAGTATTTTCTTAAAGTGTTATATAGCCAACCTGTTACCAACGGTTACATAATTACTTTAAACCTACCAATATTCAATTCTTTAACTGTCAAAATTCAGACAACACCTGGAAACAATGTAATCCATTCCAAAAGAGGAAGGGAATGGAAGAAGAACTATTTTAAACATTTGAGAATAATGAAAAAAAATGGGGAAAAAATGTTGACAGAACCTGAAATGCCCAACAGTACATTTGCCTGGACATGAAAAAATGAGGCTCATTCATCTAGAGATATGTTATTTAAAAACATCAGCAGAATTAAGAGTATTAAAAAAAAAAAAAAAGGATTATTACCAATGTTTGACTTTCAGAAGTGGCTGATAAGAGGGAAAAAATAGAGCCATCTGACTACAGTGCATTTAGCCATCAGCAGTTAGAGGAACTAATGAACAACATCATTATTTTACTGAAGGGGATGAAGTAGGTGCTTTAGATAAATGGCAGCAACTTAAAATGCGTTTCAGAAGATAAATTCACTTTCTCTCCATTTACCTGCTAGCGTGACAAATTAAGAAAGAAGAGCATAAAAACAGAGCAGGAGGGAAAGCAGTGCAAAAGCTAACTGAGGTGATGCAACGGGCCCTTATCCAAACAAGTGCATGAACAGAGATTCTTGGAAGTGCTCCTAGTCAAATATAAACCAGGAACACTACACACGCCAGACTGCCTTGGAAATCCATGATAGAGCATGTGCAGAAGATTCACCTGTCCTAAAATAAGCTCCCATACCAAGCACCAGGAGCATTGTCTTTTGGGAACTCAGTGTCTACTCATGTCAAAGCTGTGTTCCACCTCATAACGAATTGCAAGTTCTCTGTCGGCCCACACGGGGCAGAGAAGAGCTTTAGCTATGGCCAAAACCCCCAGTAGATTAACTTGTGCTGAAAGCAGATGGTTTTTCTCTCCCCCCAAAATTAATCATTAGAAACCATGTATTTCTTGTTCTACAAGCATCTCATGATCAACAAAGCAAGTAGCAAGTATTTACTGAATACCCTTTCTTAAGTAACCAAGGGCAATGTAGAAAGCCTTTTATACCTCCTCTCTACACCAAAATAATGCAGCAAGTTATTTCTTGGTGGTCAAGACACAATGTGTTTACTGCTCCTTTCGTCCCCGAAACCGTGTTGTAACTCAGTCTGAGTAAACACTTTAACGTGTCCTCTGCAATTTGGCCTCACAGATGTAGAAGTATGTTTACACAGCACTGCCTCTGCTCTTTATTAGTTCTCCAGTACCTCACCGTTAAGGTCACAGGCCGATGCACCTGTGCCTCCACACACACACCAGCTGCGCCATTTTACCAGCACCACCCGCTGAACCAAAGCTGACAGAAATTGCGGGGCCAGCTCCCCAGCTCCTCTCTGCTTCAAGGCGGGTTTGGGCTACCCTAAAAAAAAAAAAACTGGAGAAGCTCCTTGTGTGCTTGGGAAAGGGAGAAAAACTTCAGGGACTTGCTCTGGTAGACCCTCTTTGAGGAGGGCGTCAGACGGGACCACCCCGGGGGCACCTCTTCACCTCAGCCACCCTGGGGAAAACTGCGGGTTGGAAACGCGGCCACGAGGAGCTCGCCCGGCCGTGCCCGCGGGCGAGGAGGGCACTGAGGTGTCGGTGACGAGGCCGGGGCGGCACGTTGGCCGCTTCAGCAGCGCCTCGAGGCGGGCGCTGAGGAGACGCCGCCATTTCGTGGCGGCGGGGGGCGCCCGGCGGCCCCTCACGGGAGGAGGAGGAGGAGGCGCCCGGCGGGTGAGCAGCCGGCCCGGGGGGGACATGAGGGGAGAGACGGGACGAGGGGCCGGCGGGGGAAGGAGGCGAAGCCGCGGGCGAGCACTCTCTCCCTCCCCTCTTACCAGCGGCTGCTCGTCCTCCTCCCTCGGCCTCCATCAGTGCCTTGGAGGCGGGCTCCGGCCGCCCGGCCCGCCCCCGGCCCCGGCCCCGGCCCGCGGGGGGATGGCGGCGGGGCGCTGAGGGCGGGACGCGAGGGGCCGCGGCCGGGCTGAGGGGAGAGGTGGCCGGAGGGGAACAAAGAGCGGAGGTTGCGATAAACCCTAACCCTGGCGCCGCTTCTCTAGGAGAGAAGGCTAAAAAGGGTGAGAAGGTGTTTCCAAACGCAGGGCAAGGTGGTGGTGGGGTTAAGGAGCAGCTCCTGTCCTCCCCCCAATGCAAGCACCAGGCAAGCATCGCACTTCAACGTTAAAAAATGCTGAATAAGAGTTCTAAATTCTTCACTTAAAAGGTCCAGTTTGACAAACGATAGGGCTAATGCCGGGTTCGTTAAGTGCTGGGAATAGTGAAGTGCAAAAAATGATGTTTTTATGGCATTGTTCAGGCATGTACCGCAGTGATCTTCAGTCATGTGAAAGAGGCTTTTGAAAAATCTCGCCTGCTGCTCGATATTAAGAACTAAAGTAGAGGTAGGAATATGAAAAAGAATACACAGTTGTCAAAATTAGAAAACAGAATGCAGGTGTTGACTCCTGGGAGCCTTCCTACCGAGATTGTCTGATTGCTTAATTATTTCTAAAATAGCTAGCACAGGTATCAAAGTAAAAAATAGGGGGGGGGGGGGGAAGTACATGGAAATAATAGTACATTTGCATAGAAAAATGCACACTTTCTTTTGGGCTTGCTGTTGGGGAACACCACTGGTTTCAGTCCCTCGGACACAACGCTTCAGGAACGTGCTTTAAGTGCCTCACGTTGCTGCTACACACTCTGCTCCCTGTCAGCATTTAAAAGGAAACTCCACAGGGTTGATCTTCCCTTCAAATATTTTTAAAAACATGGTAACAAAGACTTGTATTTTCTTTCCTCAACAAGGCAAAGCAATTTTTCCCTTCACAATAGGGCAACACAATTTCAGCACATACACGGGCACTCTCAAAGAAGCCAATGTCACACAACCACCTCACAGCACATCAGTGAGTTTCTTCACATTCTTGTGATCACTTGAAGCTTTGCACCTTCCAGCATTCCCCGAGTATCATGCATGTTCTCAGCCCAGAGGTTTCATCATCATATAGACCAATGGTCTATAGGAAATATCAAACTTAACACCAAAATGTTTGTCTCTTCTCTTTTTGTGACGTTATATTCCACCTACCTGTATGCCATCTTTGGTCTTCCCTGAGGATCATTTATTTTTATTGAATGCAAAAGAAATGTAAAGTGCTAGATGCTGAAATTTCTATTTAAAGTCCCATTATAGTTTAGTGTTAAATAGCATAACAGCTTGATTTCTCCCTCCTCTCATTAAACGTTGGACGGCTGAGATAAATTTGGAATATATTAAACACTTCCACTTAACAGTTTAACATGTTGGTTCGTTCTTGCCAATAGCAAGAAATAAAAAATCTATATGTAAGTAATAATAAAAGGGATAAAATTTGAAGAGCTGTTACTAAATGAAGGGCCGTATTCAGTTTTTGTTACCTTCACCACTAAAGAGCTATTTGAGCAGTATTCTGGTACTTCTGCAATGTGGTGAGAGTGCATTTACAGAAAATACCTTTTCCTCTTAGCAGCTCAAAACCTTTTTAAATGTATCAGGCAACTGTACGGTAAAGTGTTCAAAGCCAAAACGTTGGCTTTCGTGGTTGAGTTGTGTCCATTTCTTTTTGCCCCAAAATGAGTGCTATGCCAATCATGTTTGTATACAGCAGGAGGAAAAACAACCGGTGTTAGTTATGGCTGAGTCAGCTGTGTCTGTGATTTGCCTTCGAATAGCCAGGGCTCAGTTTCTTAATTGTAAAAAAGGGAGAAAAATTTGCACCAACCTCAAGTATCCATATGCTATGAATACATATATGTGTGAGTGCTAATAGTAAAGCTACGCTCGTAGTTTCTCAAAAATTTAAAGAGTAGCTTTAATTTCAGTTGTTTCAGAGTCTATGGATCTAACAGACATATCTATACCATGCAAGAACATCTAATAAAATGCCTTGTGTTTCCCAGCATTCAACAAATACCCTCCATATGTCTATAAAGCTGCTATAATGTCACAAACAAAACACATTCATAATTTCTTGTGTAGGAAATTAATTAAGCAACTGTAGGTCTTAAATCCTGTTTTATTCCTTGCATATGCTTTGTTCATTAGACCTCCCTATACAAGGTAAACTTAGATAATTATTTTTTTAATTTACCAATATCTATTTAAAAAGTAAGTACGTCTGAAATAACTGTGAGGACTGGTATGTCATTGTCCTGTTCAGTATCACAGGAGAAGTTTTAGTAACCAGTAACACTGAAAATAATTGGTAAAAATCTTAATTGACCTAGGGGAACTAAAGGCTACAGCATTGTAGGTGCAATTCACTGAAGGTTGCATCAAATTTGGCATTATTTAAAGCTGAAGAGTTCTTCACATATACTGTATTAGCTGCTCCTTCAGCCTCAGTGGCTAGCAAAAGTGAGTTTTGCAAGTTGTATTAGTCAGGAAGAGACATGGGCGGTATAATCAGGGTCATTTTATTTAAAAGAATCCACAAATTTCTCTCTCTCAGCGCAGGAGGATTCAGATGACAGAAGCAGCTCATAGCTCCAAACTTTGCTCAGCCACCACCCAATCCAAGAGATTTCTTCAGGCATTTTTTTCTTAAGGTCTCATAATTACCATCTCTCTTGAGACTATATAGTGGCTTTCTATTCTTAGTTTATTTCTCCTCTCTCTCTCACACACACGCATACACTTCCTACTCAAAACAAGACCCAGCAAAACCCTCTGCCCACATAGTTATAATTCCCGAGAGGACTTTCATATGCTTTTGTTTTGGGCAGTGACAATGTGCATATGTTTTGATTTCAGGCCCCCTATTGGTTCTTGCACTTCAGTTAATGAAGACAGACAATTAAGCTCCCCAGTTTCAACAAGTTATAACCCACCTTCCAGGGTTCCTTTGACCTTTTATGTTGGAGAGAAATTTTGTAATACGTTGTCCATTGGATGTTATTACCAAGTAAATGTTTTGCTTTAGCAAATTAATATTTTCCTGTTTATTTTTAAAAGTGTTAGGTGCTTGAAGTATTTAATAAAAGGCATAAGATAAAGCTCAAGACTAGTAAACTAGGTAAGTGCTAGGAGGAAAAACATAAGAGTTGCCTCTCTGTATTTATAGGTGGTAAGAAAGAGGCACAAAGACAGTAGAAATGGACAGATAAATGTTTGTAGCTAATGAATTGTTCACAATTAAAGTGAATTACAGCTGTGCTGAAAACACAGTATTCACAGACATACGATAAAATTGATTTAATTACTTTTGCTTACTTGTATATAAACACGTTGCTGATATTGCAGGATATTTTTCAAAAAGTTTCTTTAAGACTTCTTTGTTCTTCCCCAAATACTGCTGTTGCTTGCCTGGTAACAGGAAAAGACATTTGGTGCAGTCCCCATTAACCAGGCTTCTATCTCTAATAATGAAACGTAACAATTTGTTTTGAAAGTTACATAGATCACAAACTATCCATGTAAGGTGAATCCCATGGATGAAACCTTTTTCTTCATCCCATAGAAATGTGCATGCTTCTGAACAGCTTGAATCAAAAAATAGATGCCCCAAGTGAGGAAGTCTGCCACAGATGCATGAATTGTGATACCGTTGTTTGGAAGTGAAAGACAACAAGATTTCACCTGTTGGAGCATGGATTCAAAATCCACTGTGGTTGTAACTGGTAAGATTTTTTATTTTCTTCTTCTTTTAGCTAGAGATAGTATGCTCACACACTTGATCTCTGTCATAAACAGTTCCCTGGAGGGAAAAACAGTAGCAAATGGTCATACTAACAATTCCACATGGAAAATAACTTACTACGGTGCCTTCTTAAGAAAATCAGATATATGTCAGAAGAAACAGGCTGCAGTATGCCCTCTTCACTGCCATACAGTTTCATTTGTTGTTCATTCTCTCCATGTTTTAATCTTTGTTGACATTCTATCTGATCCAAACCATGTAGCTCAAGGCAGTGCAGGCTAGCATTAGATAAAGCTTACCCAAAAGGAGCTCTAAAGCAACAAAACCAGGTTGCATCACAATGTCACATAGTCAGCGTCCAGAATTAGAGCAACACATGGCAAGTTTCAGGGTCTCAGATTCATGGCAAGGTAAGGGAAATTTAAACAGGAGATGCTGCCTCATCACCACTAAACTAGACCATTAAATTAAATATATCAAAAGAACATGCCTGAACGTGCAGCACAAGGGACAGAATTTCTCTTTCTCTTGCTGGCTATAGCTGCTGCTGAATTACAGTGACGGAAACACCAGCTAGAGACTTCTGAGTTTTTTAAAAGGTTAAAGCTCTTAAGGAATGCTGCTGCTCACTATTCCTCTCATTGCCACTGGCTCATTTAAAGGCAATCATTACACATATCTTGACATGTGAGTTGCTGGATAATTTTCCAGTGTGGGTCATCTGAGGACGTAGGAATGAGGTTGAAGCTACATCAAAGAGATCTGCATCTTGCTGTTTTCAATTAAACACTTTTTTTTTTTTTTTAATGGCTCCAAGATGAGCAGAACTAGTTTGGCTCGCTCCAAACAACTGCAGTTGAAATGAATGGGAGTACAGAAGAGAGCAAGAGGTATTTGCTAACCTCTTAAAAGGCTGCCAACCTGGCTCTCTCCTATGATATTTATAGCATATAACTTTGATGGGCACACTTCTTTAGCACCTTATATTTTCTTCCTCTCCTTACATAGCCATTTAGGTGCAGAAATTATACTCGTTCAAATGGTTTCAGACTAGTGTGTCCCATTAGAGACACAGGTGCATCTTTAAGCTATTACAGAGATTATCACAGCATGCCTCTGTCACATTTTCACCTGCTCATAATATAAACCTGCTGGCACCGAGCCCAGTTTGTTATATAGTGCCTAATAATATTGAGCCAGTTAGCTCTTGAAGTTGTTGCAGGTATGTCAGTACTGTACAACTCTCCTACATTTACTCATTTCTTTTTGTAGAACAATTTTATCCCAAATGGCGGTTTCTTAAGGCCACGGCTGAGATGCATGGTTTTGTGAGCTATTTAATAACTGTATTACAATTCTACTGTTCCACACGCACACAGGTACACAAGCATGCACAACAGCTTCAGAATGAAGTGAGTGTCTCCCTAATTTCCCTCTGAAAATGGAGTGGGACTAGTCAGATATTTTTTGTTCCCTGTGAATGTGAAATGCATGCTATTTCCCCTATTCCCTCTCCTCCCCCTAGTACAAACCTAAGCCTGAGGAAATCATTGGCAAAAGTATTAGCACCATCAGGCTTTTCATAATATTAAAGAGAAAATAGTGAGCAGTTACGAAATAAGTATCAACAAATTAAGAAATGCTTAAAATCTACCATTAATTATTAAAGCTGTCATAAACCTACATTTAGGCTTAATTGTTCCCATGTACAAGTAACTTTCAACATGCAAAACAGCAATCATATGCTGTAAGTATTTATTTGTCCATTTGTAGATTTTTAAATATTTAAAAAGTGAAGCATTAAAACCATCTCACAAACCAGTTTTCCTGCCACCCAGTATCAAAGACTTGCCAACACAATGGACTGAGAACAGTAATTGAGATTAATAAAGATTGTGGGAGTATTCCATCAAACTCTTTAATGACAAAATGCCCATCTAGGTCAAAATGATTTTTTTTTTCTTTTTATTAACGAATCTTGTAAAATTAAATCTAGTACTTTGGATTCAAAAAGTCCTTTTCCCTTTCCCCCTTTCTTTTCCTGTGGAGAACAAGTGATGAAAGATTTTGTCCAGTACCACAAAAAGCACATTTTCCCTGATGGAAAACTTAATTTTCTGTTACCTGGGATTAAAAAAAAAAAATTACAAATAAAATCCAATTTTACTCTTTCAAACATGCATGCCTTCATCTTCACGAGCCTTAACAATAAGAATAGTATGTTGACAGTGACCTGGGAGTATTTGACACCAGTTCATTTAGGAGTGGTATTTCTGCAGCAGATGATATCATCATCACCCAAATCATCACTTACATGAACCGTCCCACTGGCTCCAGTACATTTCCCAGCTTCAGTTAAGGACATCACATAAGGAAGCCTTGACATGAATTAAGATTGTGGGATTAGCTCTTATGTCAGCACATATAAAAATAAAAATGCTATTCCTGTAAATGTTATAACGAGAAAAAACACTATCTTAAGAAAATGGCAACCTCCATAAACAAAAATATTATAACAAAGAACAAAATGTGGGTGCATACATGTCACCTAATGTCACCTACATGTCACCTAATCTAAACTTGCAGTGCAAACATAGGTTAAAAGCATCTTTTTTCCTTCCCAGGTTTTGGTCCCTTTAGACAACACCTGGTTAATTCTAGCTGGGAAGCAGTGAAGGTAAGCATAACAAAAAAAGGGAGGGAGGCGATCCAATCATAAACTGTTTCAAGGCTTTCTATTCCCTTCTAGAAAGTTACTTCTCGTGTCTTATTAAATAGAATTGTGCCTCTTAGAAAAGACCCCCCAACATGGAGGGAAGAGAATAATTAAGTTAAAATCATTTGCAAGAATATTTTTTTTTCCAAAATATTATTTAATACATTTAGGATTTTTTTTTTCCCTTGGGAATGGTGCCTTATCTGCAACTAATGCCACAGTTTCTCTCTCTCTTCTGTAAACAGGCCATTCCATACCACAATGCATTTTATCACGTCTAAGTTGAATTCCTTCTCATACAAGCGTAGCCTGAGGGGCGTATGGTCTATTAGGGGAACTGAAATAAGGCTGTAAATATTTAAATTCATCAAGAGACTGAAATGAAAAAGGCAGCTATAAGTGGTGACTATATACTAGTGGTGACAGAAAGATAATGACCCTACAGGACTATGACTGTATTACAATTTTTGGTGACAGCTACTGAGGATCTGTCTTCAAAGTGAAGTGCAGTCAAGCCAAAATGATGGAAAAACAAGGAACTAGTAACTTTTTCCAAAGAGCAAAGCTATAGCAACTTCACCAACCCATACAGATTTTCTATTCTAGCTTTGCTGGGATAGGAACACTGAGTGGAACTTGGTGTTTGGAAGAACAGATCTATTATCCAAAGTCATGAGGGATGTTATCCCTGTAGGCTAACAAGAAACAAAAATACTTCTGTTATACCTTTCCACACCCCAGCCATCACACGAGACCCATAAATTATCTCAACTTCAACTTGACATGTGCCCTAAACCACAAATATTTGTCAGTTGACAATGTTTGTACTCATTATCTCCTGATTCCTATTGGTTCTAATTTTGGACACAATATCATCCGCTTCTCATTGAAAATAAAACATGTTCTTTATCTGCAAGCAAAACAGCCTAAAGCCAAAACGCACTGATGAGATGAGTTTTCTGTAACAATGCCATGCACTTGCTATGCCAGGAAGTTATATAACATGGACTACAGCATTCCATAATGAAACAGATGTCAGTCCTGGTGTATGGAGGATAACGAATCCATTTCCCTCTGGTGTGACACCCTCTGTGTGGAATTAATTTTTATTCATGCTGGTCATGCTGCTTTGGTTTCCTATTCCCTGGCAAAGGTAGTTAATCCAGACAATTCAGGGAAATTTGCTGCAAATCTGGAAGTACTTTGAATTTTGATAGGCTTTTCCATACTAAATAGCAATCTCATGGTATTGTTCATTGGGCTTGTTCACATGAGTAGTCCAATGGTCTTCAGGAAGCTCATGCACAGATATTAAAGATAGCAAAATGTAGACTTGGCTTGTGGATCCTGCACGGATCACTAAAGTGACATAAAGCCCTCCTGCTGAGTCTCTTTTCTGAGAATTAAGCAAGAGTACACTCATACTTGTCATCAAGGAAGCTCTGAGCAGTCAGACCAGAGCTACTGAATGGGATTATGCAGGATTAATGGTTGTGTAGCATTATCCAGAACGATCCTAATTAGTAGCTCAAAATGAATTGAAACTTATCGAAAGCCAGGATACCACTGCAGTCTTGGTGATGTTGCAACACTGGTATCTGTTGTCTTAAGACTTCATATCCCAGGCAGGTCCTCACACCAAAAGCACCTCAACACCTGTAGAAGTACGTGTATTGGGAGCCCTAGAATCCTAACTCTCAAAGTACAGCCTCACCCTCCATGCCTTTAGGAATGGAGCCTTTGCCAAAGAGCAATGGCTTCACTTTTGTGAGAAACACTCACTCTTACACACATATGCTTCCTTAAAATCACTGTTGCCAGCTCCGTTGTAAGATGCTTTTTCACTCTCCACCTTGCTGATGGGATCAGCAACCTTCCTGAAGCTCTTTTCTTGCTGTAGGATGGATCAGACACTGATCCGGTGAGCATACAGCCATTCCAACAGTTGCATCCCTTCCATGCCCTTCACTGGGCACTCCAAAAAATAGTAGTGCCGTGTTGTTTCTCTTACAAATTAACTATTTACTACCTCAGATGTGGTGGAAAAGCAATTTCCATTTTCTGGTATCTCCAAGAACCAGATGATAAGTGTTAATAAGACTTTACCAATCTCTGTTTCTGCTGGTTTAGAAAGAGCATTTGTTCTGAGTTCTTGGAGTTCTTATTGATGCTATGTACCTTGCCTCTTTTGTAACATGGAAATAAAATATTCAAAGCATGCGAGGCGTACCGTGCTATGTTTGCATTAACCCAAGTTCTCTTCGCAGCACAGGAAGCCTCGCACAGAGGGCATCCATCAGCATCACATCTATCGAGCTCTCTCATTCCTTAGCAAGTGCCCCTCTTGAGTGTTTAGGGAAAAGGAGAATCAAAAGGATCTGAAAGTACAGGTGAACCTGTCAATTCAGGGTCACTGAGAAAAGCTTCAGAGCTTTTATAGATGCTGTCACACGGCCCAACATGGTTGTCTAGCACTAGAAGCACAGCTTCTCTTCCAGAAACCTGTCTCACTAAGTTTTTCATGGTTCTCATAAGTCCATTCACCTGAAATACCCTCCTAAAATATGCATGAAATCTCCACCAGCAGCACTTTTAACTCTTGAAGCACAGAGCAGTCTCCCTAGAGGAAAACACCACCAAGCATTTACTCCACTTTTGCAGACAGACCACACTGAGATATTATGATGCGCTCTTCAGCACCACATGGGACCCTCGGAATCTCAGATTCCCTGAACTGTTTATTCTGTGTTACAGCCTGGTGGTCCCACCTAGTACCCCTTGATCTGATCCTGTTTCTGTGTGTCCTCCAGAAACTCCTGTCTGGTACTTGGCAGCTAAAATAGCCTAGCAGGACAATCTACCACCAAGGTCGAAGTCTCCAGTTAATAGGGCACAAATGCAAGTTGAGTGACAACATTCACAGCAATTAAACTGTTAGTGCAAAGAACAGGTCACATTTCCAACTGCTTCTGGGAACTATGTTTGCTATCAGGAGATGAGGATCAGATCTCTTAGAGCAGTTTTTCATCCTGCCACTGGCCATGTGGTCTTTGGAAATTTGTCATTTAATCTCTCTCGCTCCCTCTCTGCTTTAGTTTCATCATCTGTGAAACTAAGACATTGCTATTCAGCTCCTCCATTGCTGTTCTGGAACTTTCTTACATCCCTGAAGCTTTAAAGAGGTATCTACAGGAGTAAAACAAAACAAAACAAAACACAAACTAAACCTGCAACCAAAAAAACCTTTGCAACATGATTGCAGACTGACTGGGTCAGCGGATATTTGTGTTTTTCTTTCTGCACCAACACATGCCTTTTCGAATAGTGTTCACAAAATTAACACACACAATATAACCCTTCACCCCCTGACTTCCAGGCAACCCAAATCAGTGGGAACTCAAGCAAGCTGTGTGAAATTTCCTGGAGTTTTCTAAAAGTTTAGGTTGCTTGTTGCTTGTAACACCCAGTGGGACACACAACCACTGCTTCTGAGCTCAACTGCTCTGTGCAAATCACCTCTGTTTGGAGAGGCGACATGGTCCAGAGCTCCTCTGAATTGGGGCTATGATCACAACTCACCATCACTCCAGATTGTCAGCTGATAATGCTGGATTCCATTTCCCTTTTAGAAAAAAAATCCAACAACAACAACAACAAACCTTTATGCCTTCTTTTCAACCACTTTTCCCGCAAAAATGTCTTCCAAAACTTGTGTCATCCCTCAACATTTCCTTTTCTGTTTCAGTTACAACAGACACACTTGTTTACTGAAATAATTCACCACTGTGAGCTCTTTAGTTTCCAGATCCAGTCTTCTTTTCTAACCATCTTCAGCCTCTCACCTTAAATGCAAAAAATATTCAGGTTGTTCCTTGTCTTAGCCTTCACCATTTTTGTTGTTTCATTTGCACAACATCTGCTGTAATGGTGTGCAAGCCCGTGGTTAGGATTCCTAGACAACAGAGTAGTATACATTATTGACAACATGCTGGAATTTCGTGGGACGAAGCAAACTATCTGTCTTTGACACAAATTCCCAGCTCTGGGCTACCGGCCAGCTTCTGATTTTGTTCTGCACAAAAAGTATTCCTGCATTTTTCCTGTCACAAATGGTGACAACAGAATGTCAGTCCAGACAGCACAAGAGGAGAGTAGCCTAACAACTCCTCTCATCTCCAAATTCTGTACCGAAGTTATGGATAGTCAAGTACTTTAAGCCTTACAGTTAAAAAGGAAGAATCTCATTAAATGTTAAAATTAAAGATGTTTGAGAAAATAAAATGCTAATTGTGAACCAGCTGGGGTTTTCTTTTTTGGAAGCTAAGACACAGTGCAGCATTCTTAAGCAAGATGATGCAATGGCCTCTCAAAGACTGTCAGCGCCCAGAGGAAAAAAGGCTGGCAGTGTTCTCTAGATGTGTTTACTTCCCTGCAGGCATTGTTTCCTTGCTTGTGTCAAATAGTTTATTGAGCACAGCTAATCAATGTTTCCGCTGACAAGAAAATTGGAACAGTTTATATAGGAAGTCAGCGTTGAAGGGCAAACTTCCCAGTTAACACAGCTTAGAACTGTGGGCCCCATCCGCACAAGTATCCGTAGTAAGAAAGGAAAGCTTGAGGAAACAATGACATGGACAAAAAAGTTACAAATTTCTCCGTCTAATCAGATACTGCTGCTATTGCCTTTTTGCCTATGTCCTCCTTAGAAGCTCAGAAAATCTGTAGCTTCCTTTGGAAGTGGTCTCCTAGGATGCAACAGGAATTTTCAACCACCATTTTCCTTCTCTGGGACCGCTTTCTGCCTCAGACGCATCCTTTCTGCATCTTGCCACTGCAAGTATTCTACCTTCTACTTAGAGACCTATGCCTTGTTCCACTGACAAAACAATTTCAAGTTGTTTCCACATGCCATTCATCCCTGACTATTCTCCAGGACATCTTCCAACCATCTGGACAACCTGCTGATTTCAAGGATGCCTTTGTTTCTTTCACCTCAAACCTGAGCACAATTTTTGTTTCCTTTGGGAAAGGATCCTATGCAGAACTGCAACTAAATGACAGAGAGATAACATCGCAATAAATAACATTTCCTTCTTTTACCAGGGAACCATATTCTAAACCAAAACGCAATTAAACCCTTTCTAAATGTGACCTCGTACTGACAGTACAGCAGAGGTTACCTGAAGCATTTCAAGCCAGCTGAATGTGAATTCTCTCATGTGAATTCTCCCTCATTTGTGTCTCCAGAAGCACAGGTTTATCTACTAGGTCTTCACGAGAAACAGCTCGTAACTGCATCAAAGCATAATATATACTTTCAGCGTGGATCTTTTCTAAGAAATCCTGCATTTCATGGTTCCCCACGGACTGGTCCCTAAGCAGTAAGAATTACACAAACCACCCACTGGACACTGAGCATCCCTTTGGAAAATACAACAGTGGCTCAACACAGATGTGACATTAGGAAACAATGGGGCTAGGAAACAATGCATTACATTGCTCTTCCATATGTTTTCTCAGTTGGAGCAGCCCAATTTCTTTTATCACAGTGAGAAATCCAATGTTCTTATATCCCCAACATCCATCATGGTTTTTTTGTTTGATTTATTTTTTTGTATTTATAGGAGCTGTCCAAGAGAGGCCTTGGTAAAACCATAGATCTCCGTATCATGGAACTGCCAGTGGTTTACCAAAAAGCAAAGGAGCAAGTCCTCAAGATATGGACAACTCTTCAGCCACTAGTGAGTAGTTAGTTACAAGGTTGGGCAATCGTTCTCTTAATTTCTGGATAATACTATTTTCAGTGGATCTTTAAAAAGATTTCTAAAAGATTATTGCACAACATGCATCAGACAACTCTGGATAGTGACTATTAAAACAGTGATAAAGGTTTCAAACTGAACTTTGGAGCACACAATAATTAGCATGCTGTTTTAACTCTGTGCCATTTAAACAGCAGAACTGCATGCAGAACAAAGTAAAAAATATCCACCATAAATTGCATGGTGCAAAAAAAAAAAAATGTACTGAAGCATTGAAGTCCTTAGTTGACTAGACACAACAAAAAAACAAACCAGAGCACAATTTTGTTCTCATTTATAATCTCTTATCAAAGTTTTCTTTAGGCATGAGCTACAGCAAGACTCCCTACCTCGCAGCTAGTATTTCACATAATGCTTGGCACTATTACATTACATGTTTTTAAAAAACAGGTCTCATTTTTAATTTCCTGTTATTCACTCCGGTGGGAAAAAACAGCTTACTGTTCATGTTGGGCTGGCTTCATCCGCCAAAGCAATCATCATCCTTGAGCAGTGTGGGAAGAACAAAGGCTACAAAGAGATGGATGCTTGTGGTTTTCACCCAGAAGGTGGCTGTTGCATGCTAGATGGTCCGGAAAAGATTGAATCTACAATTAATATGAAGACTCTCTGGAAAAACATTTCAGTGGAAGGGATTGATATAATCTTTTCCAGAGATGCGGGAAGGTAAACATTGCGTATCGGGGTCTCAGAGTAAACGCAGAAGTAATTCAGCCAGCTCAGTTAACCTTGAAGAATCTTTGCAATAACTTTTCCTCCAACCAAAATCACTTTGAAGCAAGGTCTTCAAGTGGCATAATATGAAACTAGGATAAATTTAAATTCTGTGTAGAGAAGCCTTTGTGAAAAACTACAGTCAGTAGATGTTTTTTTCCATGGATTTATGAATTCCAAAAGAAACAAGTTTCAACATAGCACACCCTGTGATTACCAACTCTAGTAAACCTGTGCTATTATAGTCTGAAAGCAATACTGACTGGTAGCAGATTTTAATCTATCTTTCCCAACTGGGAGGGATACAAAATGTAAATACATACACCGAAGAACAAAACAATTACAAGTACCTTTAGAACACTGTCTGTGATCTCATCATGAGTTGCAGTAGTACTGAAGCAATTTTCTATTAAGATTTCTTCATTTAAAAGAAAAACAAAACAAAACAAAATTATTGTTATTTTTAATCGCTTATCTTGGCCTGTGCTTTCAGGATTTGGGTCTCCAAGCTAAAAAGTAGGGTGATAAGGGAAAGAAAAGAAAAAAGAAAAGAAACAATCTCATCATTACTGTGTGGTTTTATGATCCACACCAAAAAAAAAAATTATTAGTGTACTGTAATGGCATGGTTGTAGTTCCAGTGGGGCTGTGTTACCTTTCTCATCTGACTTGTCTTACAGAAACCTAGAAAAGAATGCATGTCTTGTGATTTTATTTTTATTTTTAAAGTTCCTTCTGGGTGAGTGTCTGAGAAACTGAATCATCAGATAAGGAATATTTGTTTCTCAAGCTTGTTTCATTTCAGCATTTCCTTTACTCACTAAACAAATGTGTTGAATAATTTCATAAACCAGATATGGTTTGGCTACTTAAAGAATATTTAAATTTAATCAAAGTTTACCGTTCCTTTATCCAGGTTTCTGTTTCTGTTTTGTTCTTAATATTTCAGGTATATCTGTGATTACACCTATTACGCTTCTCTGTATTATGGCAATGGAAGAGCAGCTTTCATCCATGTGCCTCCATTATCCAAATCGGTAACAGCAGACTCTCTAGGAAAAGCATTACAGACAATTATCTTAGAAATGTTAAAACAGTGCGGGGAAGAAAGAGAGTAAGATGGATCATGAGAGGGAAAAAAAAAAAGAGTATTTCTTAGAATGCAATTCCTTACCTCTTAGAAGTAGCAAATCTAATTGTTATTTAAAACCCTTATATAAAAGATTTTTATATTCCAAGTTATTTTTAGTGAAATCTCCTTACAGAAAACAAACTACTCTGGCGTAAAAAGCTTAAGAGAAAAAAAAACAACAACAACAATTCATAGTTTGTATTGCTAACAATGATAAGGTTGCTTCAGATTTAAGAAAGTGTGTGAATGTGGACTTAAAAGTTGTTACATGCTTTCTAAAATCTTTTAAGTTTGTTTTTTTTTTTTTGGAAATTTTAGAGAAAACAAGAAACATTTGGGACGCTCAATCCTAGTTCGGAAGGGCAGAAAAACATTACTACAGATTTACTGAATCAAGATCCATGCTTGCAGCTCTAAGGACATGCAGCACTGGATCTAAGAGGTCCTCAGTCCCTGCTCAAGTCCAACGAGATAGTTCATCTAATAGAAGGTGCCCATATAAAAACTTCAAATACAGGTGAAACCAAAACACACACAGGGGTCCGGTTATCTGAATGTTTCTTCAGATATCTGTATCTCTTGGAGACCCGCTGTAAACACTGGTTTTCACATCAAAAACAGATTACGGAGCTGGGGTGACTTAAAAAGAGAGCAAATAAAAAGCTAGAATCTGGCAGACACTGAAATGCTGTTAGTAATTTGGGTTTAAATTGCCCCAAAACACCATTTACCCCAAATTCTCAGTATCTGTCCCAAAGGAAAACACTGTAGTCCTTCCACAAAGCACAGAACAAAGACAACAGTCTTTCAGTACAATGGGTCATGGCTATTCAGGGATTTATACATCAAAAATCAAAAAGCTAACTTGTCCCAAGAAAGGCAATCATTGAAGCACTGTGCTGTGGAATGCGTTATGGCACATCATCTTTCTTACAAAACAGGAACCAAATGAGATCCCAAGTTGTAAAACTCGGGATCAGACAGTGACAGATCACTTCTGCACTTCTCCCCTGCCAAGCCAGGCTCCTCGATGTCTCAGACGCGGCTATATACAGAAGCACTGCACTATTAATGCTGGAGAAGACAGAGGTTTGTAGTGTCTTCTGTAACACACACAGAATGGCAACGCATGCTCTCCTTAGTAATTTTGCTAGTACCAAAACAGACAATTATGACATAAAGCTAGCAGTTAATTTTCAAAAACAGTCAGCAGAATGAAACAGCAGCACCTTAATATAGGCATCTGGGATTTTTCTAAGGAAAACAAAAGCTCATTTCCTCAAGTGTCATGTCAGTAAAAAAGGTCAACAGCCAAGGACAACCTAAGGGCTCAGACGCCTGAACAAGCTCTGGGCCACCACTGTGCCCTAGTCAAGACTTCGACAAGAGTCAGAGGAATTGGAAATGTCAGATGTAATGCTAGTTTCCTTGCCACTATCTTTGCCAACAGTCTTTGCAGAAAACCAATAACCCCATGCTGGATGGATGAATGCCTCATCTACGGATTGCTGTAGAGGTAAATAAAAGGGTTTCCTTCGAATAAATAAATAAAAATGCTTCCCTTATTGAAAGAAACCACCTACTGCAAAGCAGGACCCAAAAGTCCCATTGAAAAAGGGCCCACAAACTCAGCGTCATTGGATTAAAATATTTTAGATTTCAACACAACATAATGGCAGTACTGACCTCCACAAAGATTTTTTTTCAGAGTTGCTCAATCATATGCAGCCAAAAGGGCAGAAGAAAAACAGATCTACTTTTTTTTTTAAAGCTGTACTTGCTCTGCAATAAGTAACAATAAATTCAGAAAGAGACAAATGCATACAGAATTCTTTTATTTAACTTAAATCATGTAGTACTGAAACTACTAGAAAAAAGCAGAGTAAGAGAAACTAAAGGAGCCTTAGCTTCAGCCATTCAAAATAGACAAAGTTTCTTCTTTTCATAATGTAAAGAATCCCGAGTATATCGCAATAACAGGAATAAATTCTTACAACAGAATATACAAAAACATTTTGAATTTTTTTTTTTATCTACTGATTCATTTTAATATAAACACAGGAATTTCTTTAGGAATAATTTATACACAGCAAGTCTTTTTTATGTAATAAATTGGCCATGTTATTGTTTAATTTTCTCTTAAAAAAATTTAAACAAGAAAACTTGGAAAATGTTGTATTTGCAACTGCATCCATTCCTTAGCACTTTCTAGTTTTGTTTTTGTCCCAGAGGTAGACAAACTCTGGCCAATCCTTTCATCTCAAACCTCACTGGTTTAGAAAACAGAAGAGCTGACTTTAAACAATACCTAAATCATCGTAACACTTCAGAAATGCAGTTAGCCTAATTTCAGGGGGGGGAAGGGATCTTCAGTATTCTTAAATAAAAATAAATAGGGACCCTGCTTTGCCTCTTTCAACAAAGCTTCAAATGGTACTCAGTATCTTTAGAGGCTGCATACAAACTTTTAGAACGATGAGACATCTGCAAATAGTTCTTCAACAGTCATTACAAAACTGTCTTCCCTCTTTCTCTTAGGCAGTCGTATCCTTCAAACCACCTGGCAACCGTTAAGCAGGTACTGAACAGCACAAGTGAGACTGCGTAGCAGCAAAACCCGTTCTGTTTCCCGAACCAGTGAGGTTCGTGTAGTCCATTTAGTTAACTGCACTAGACAGTAAAGTGAAATGACCAGTTAAGATGATCCCACCCCAACCAGAGGGCTCTGGAAGACCAGGATACTGAAGATACAGAACATTTCCCCAACTTCTTTATTCATTCGCTGTATACTGGGACACAAAGCTTGGGTGGGTAAGGGGAGGGGGATGAGCCATGAATTGGACAAGTTAGCAATCCTTTTTGGCATATTGTAAAGCTAGCTAGTAAACTGGTACCATCAAAAAAAAAAAACTGATCACATACAGACACACCCACACAGACACAGAAAAGTGCCCTTAAATTATATTTTAGGCATTAATAAACTACAAACATTTTATAAAATTATTCTATGTACTTACAAAACGCAATGAAACATTTAATTAGTTCTTGTAAACCAGATCTTCGTCAACTGACTACCCGTAATCTACTGGACTTAAAGCCCTATTGAAAATGCTAATGGATTACTAATCAACGTAACGCATACAAAAAAAGATGGACGCACACACACACGCACGCATACAACCTAGTGATAGTCTTAAGGTACTTGCAAAACAGACCAAGTGTAGGTTGAGACTGATTCATACAGATCGATAATAAAAACCATCAAACTCCCGTTAACGAGTTTACTACTTCAGCTGGAAAGTCAAAAGGTTTATTTACAAGTACCAATGATCAGAATCTGAGCTCTGCTGCTGTCCCACACACCAAGCTCAGGAAACAACTTCAAACTTCTGCCAAGCCCTGTGTCTTTGTAAATACGCATTTCCATATCCTTTGTTTTCATACGTCTCCATACAAATACTTCTCAATTCTGATTTACCTGGCTGCACTCAATATTGGAGGCTGCTTTTCACCTCTGAGCAACCAGTTCTCTGAACTGAGGCATCCTTTGAAGCCCTCCTGCCTATTTGCAGTTCTGTATCTTCAGCACCCCTGGCCACTGTGTTTTTTCTACACATCATTCTTAAAGTCTTGTCTGCACAACTACTCATGGGTTAAGTTGCAATATCTGGCTTTTATCACTGGTTAGTAAGGAGTGGATCCCTTGCACCTTCCTCCACTGTTGTTTAGCCCAGTGATTAAACACGCTGTTGACAAACAAAATAAGAACAACAGGAAACAAGTGTTACTTGCACTAATGGAATGAACAGGGTTTAAATATATATATATCTATATTATAGATATACATATGCAGATATCTATATGCATATATAGATATATATGTATGGAGTTATACCAACAACAGGAGTGTCATTCACTTAGACTCAGATTGTACTGAACACCCCTCGGCAGTTCCCAGAGGACCTGAGAGCAGTTCCGTCTGGTGACCAGTCGTCCTGGGCAAACCGGGCTTCACTTGTTTCTAAACACCAACAGGAGCATCAGTGCGAGCATCCCTGGAATCATACATCACTTAGAACCAGCTTTACAGAGCAGAGGCATCGTGCTGAGAAAGACTTGGCGGACACAGGCTGGCCTCAAACTTCCCATCACGCTTGGCTTCTGCGTCTACTTTATCGCTCCCCTGAAAGTGCATCTCAGCACCAAGCAGCTGACACTTCTGTGCTTACATAGGAGCCACCTTCCTTTGCAACCAAACCACCTTCTGTGCCACTGCGAAGCTTTGCAATGCCAGTCAGGTGAGAACAACGGCCCGAGTGCTAAATCAAAGCCTCCCCCACTGCGATGACAATTTGTTAGCCTACTGCAATTAGAACATCTTGGTACCATTTGTCAAAATGCTGGTTTTCAGGACTGGGTGGGCTTTTGCTTTTAATTTATAAACAAATTGGATTACTTTAACTTTATTCAAACATAGCTCAAGTTCTAAATAAATTTTCCATACCAGACAAGCCAGTGGTCTCAGGGAAGAACAACATTACAAACCATATTATGACTCTATCAAGCCAACATTAATTCTCAGTTGTTCACATGCATAAACAACTTGATTTACTGTCCAAGGGAAGTCTGCATGAAAAACCCATGTGAATAAAGCTATTCAAAATGCACAAAACACAACAACAAAAAAAAGCTATGGAAACAAACAGAACAAAAAAGTAATTAAGCTTGAATTGCAAACACAGAACACAATGGTATCATGAAGGTGGTTTGGTCCAGGAGAGCTGACTGTCATCACACATGCGTACTTTTAGTCCCATGACTGTCTTCTATTGAAGTGCTTTTTGAAATGTTTATCATGATGGGTGCTACGTCATTAGTGTTTCTTCCTAATGCATTTTTAAACCACCTACATAAAATTATAAAAACCAGTAACTTGGACAGTTTTAACAAAACCCTCCTAGCCAGCTGAAAGATCTGAGGATCTCCAGTTGTGGTAATCAATATGTGCAAGAGAGGGGAATAGTCACTACACCAAAAGGTCACAAGAAGCTCAAAAAAAGGGGGAAAACAAGAACAGCATAGTAAAACCTTATTTATTTTTTTTTCAGGGTTTGAAAAATGCTCCCTCCAAAGACAAACCCTGTAGTACTTAACCACAGGACTGTATATTCAAGAGGCCATGTACAGCTCCAAGTAGCCAAGCACCACATTATTCAGATACCACAACCAACACCTGCACGAACAGCTGCCAGAGCTGGAAAAAGAGAAACATTATACATCATGTTGATGGCAAGCTCGTGTTAGTCCTGTGTGCCTGTAAACCAGTTACACTCTGTCAGAGGGCAGTTAAAATTTGATGGCTGGTCCATCAGAATCCACAGTTACAAAGCATATAAATGGGGGATGAAAAGGGAACTGAAGTTTTACTGGCACATTAAAAAAAAAAATCAATTCAATGTTAGTTTTGAAGAAAAAAAGAAAAAAAAAAAAATCAGTGCTTTCATTAAACAGAAGCAGCAAAGATCCAAAGCTGTAAACTTGATGTAGTAATATCATCAGGCAGCCCAGGGCAGGTTTTTTCACTGTTTTGGTCAAAAAGAAAATTAAAAAAAAAAAGCAATGCTTGCTGTATGAGCCAAATGAATGCTGATTCAACCAAGTATCTTCTTGGTGCTTGTGGTATCTGAGGAAAGACTGGCAGGAATGACTTAGGACAAATAGAAAGTCCATTCCTTTATTCTAGAAACTCTTCTGGACCTGCAAACATTGTAAACAAATCATTTCTGTAACAAATTTGATCAAATACTCATAATTTAAAGTTCTTATATCAGGTCACCTATTTGTCCACTCCTTTAAACATGCCATGACAACACATTAAAATGGCTTCGTGTTTCCTTAGAATAACCTTAAGTCAGCCACCTCTTGGTTTTCTCTCATAGTAACAAATTGGGACCAAAAAGGCCAAGCTCCTTGGAATTGAGGCAAATATTCTGAAGTGACCCTTTGTGATGAGCAGTGACTGTTCCCCTCCAGAACCTAGAGCATGTGGTTTATGGAGTGAGAGGTTACCAGTATCAACGGCATTTATTGGCTGCTGAGAAATGTGAGATGTATTTTTTTTATATACACACATATAAAAAAATAAGAGTGAGGTAGATAAATGTTTGAAAAAAATCAAAAACTGTCCCCCTGTCATACTCAAAAACCCTTATCTCAGTATTTAAATTTATTATGGGGCATCTCTACAGTGATTTAAACTGATATCACAAAAATAAATAAAAAAATCCTACATAGAATACCTTCTTAATTAACTTTTTTGTCTTTTTCATTTTTAAAAGGGAAAAATAACTATGGGACAGAGGCAAGAGAAGATAATGGGACCTAAACTACACAAGCAAAAAGCACTACAAACTTTTTAAAATCTCCAGTCAAAACTAGCAATCAGTATATTTTAATTCTTTGTTCTTACTCAAAAGATTTAAACATTTCCATCCCAGAACCACCTCTTCACTGCCATCATTTGGTTGGATCAGTGCTAAACAAAGGCTTAGATGCTGTAACTAAGATGAGCAACTGGTACGACTCCTTGGTTATAGACTTGATGATGGCCCCCTCCTTCCCTTTTCACCAAGGCTTCTGCAACTGAACAAACAAGCTTACTCATTTTCTTTTGTTCTGAGGTTTGGTCTATGATTTAAGCAACAGGCTTGGACTTGTACAGGTTTCCATAGCTGCCAACACGTAGCTGTTTGCTAGCCGAGCCACTGGCCTCAGCTATGTGCTTCCACCCTGCCCCATGGAAATGGCATGCTGTTTTGTTGCATTATTTTGTTTTGACCAGGGGTGCAAAGTGCAGCCCAAGGCATCCTCCACGAGGGCTTCCTCAGCAGGAAGGCGAAGAGCTGGGGCCAGGTGGTGAACGGCCACCCTAAGAACGCCCGGCACCGCCAGCTGCAATCGGTACAGCTCTCACTCGTGGGTGGAAGAGTTAAAAGAGTCATTTTAAAAATCAGTGACCCAAAAGCCTGGCGTCTGCTGTTGTACCCAACAAATAAAAAAGGTGTGTGTCTGTCTGTCTGTGTGGGGAGTGTGTGTGGGGATGGGTGGGTGGATGTGTGCCACGACCAAAACAAGCAGGGAGGGAAGGAGGGGGAGGACCCTTGTACAACAATGAATATAAACACTGAACAAGAATGTACTAAATATTTAACCTTTTTTCTGACCTGAGTTTGTATCATGCCTTGCACTGTAACAGACTCGCATGCTGCCTGGGCAGAGGTTAGTGGGAAGGAAGGAAAACCGGGTTTTAAAAACACCACACCGCTGCCAGAGTGTTTCCACGCAGGGTGTCCCTTCTTTCTCCATGTCCTCCTCAAAAGCCCTGTAACCCACACAGCCAAGATGTTGTAAAACAACTAATGGGAAAAAAAAAAAAAAAAAAAAAAAAAGGAGGAAATGTATTTATAAAAAGGCATTAAACAGTTCATGGCAAATCATATGAAAGGTATCAGTTACTGGGAAGGAAGAAGTAAAAGTTACACACTATAGTACAAAGCATAAGAAAATCTGTTGAAGTGGGAAGGAAGGGAAGGGAAGGAGGGCAGACCTGAAGGTTTTCATAGATTAAATCCACAAAGATAAAGAACAAAAAAAATAGCAGCTTTTTTCTGTACAGACATATAGATGAGTATCTGAACCGTAAAAAAGTTATAAAAGTGACACAAAAGACAATGTGTATGCAAATGATCCATGGTCTAACATAGAACTGCAAGACCCTTCGAGAAGTCTTAATAATAAAGAGAAAAGGTCAACAAAGCATTATATACTTGAATCCGGTTACTGCTTTTTTTTGTCTTCTCCAATTTTTGTTTTATAGGTGTTTTTTCCTTGCAAGCCTGTGAAGGAAGGCAGGCTGCAATGATGGAGATCTCTGCCGGTTTTTTCATGTTTTTTATGTTTCATTTTTGGCGTGCGGTTGAATTTTTTTATTTTTTTTTTTTACAAAATGCACACGTTTGTTTAGCTCACCACTGCCAGTTTTGTCCAGAATTCATAGGGATGGGGACAGGAGTGGAGAGAGGGCTGTTTCTTTACCCCATCCCTTTTATCTTCTCCATCGCAAGAAAAAAATCACATTTTGTCCAGTTTTGAAAAAAGGTCTAGACAATTTGATTTTTGTTTTTATTTTAAATACCAGTGTATGATTGAATAGAATTTATTGGTCAGGATCTCCTTTAAACAGAGCAGTTGATTACTGTGCTCCTTCCATGCCTACAAAAAAAAACAAAAACAAAAAACAGAGTTCATTTTTTTGGCAAAATTTGGCAGCGTTGAAAATGGTAACAACCTTGGACGAATGATGGCCCTTTTTTATTCTTTTACGTGTTCCTAAAAAGATTAAAGAGCAACATTAAAAATCCAGTCTTTTTAAATTTTTTTTTGTTTTTTTTTTTTCTGTGTGTTTTTGTTATTTTTTTGTTTCTTTTTTTTTTTTTGTATGTGTTTTTTTGTTTTGTTTTTTTTGTTTTTTAATAAAGACCTACAGTGTTAGGCAGGTGCTTGCAAAGGTACTGGGGAGCCACCTGGCCTGCGATATCTTTGATCTGATAAAAGTGCTGTACGGTTGAACTTGCACGCAGATATGTTTCCCATTATGAAGCAAAGACAGAGACAGAAAGAGAGAGAGAGAGAAGAAAGAGAGAGAGAGACATCAGATCTCAAGTTTTCTGTTGCTATTAAGTGTTAACATTAGAGTTTTAAAAGGCCAACTGTGTGCCCCATGAATGGAGTCCTTTACTGAAACAAACATCTGCTTGCATATTGAAAAAAGAAAAAACGATAACTTGTTTACTGAAAAAAGGGTTCTCCCAAGTGCAGCTATGGCAGTTCTGAAGATCCACTGAGGTACAGTAGGCTTTGAATATATTGTAATTTTCTTTCTTTCTTCCCCCAATACGTGTGTTTTTTCTGTGTTTTGTTTCTGTGAGATTCTGGTTCTAAGGATCAGCAGGCCGAAGACTGGGGCAACGGTAAGGCCCTCTCGTTCTTGCGTCCCCCGTTCATGTGTGCGTACGGCTGTCTCTCCTCGAAGCTGGCCCGAAGGACCACCACGCCTGGGCCGTTCTCGGCTTTGTGTCCTGAGTGCTTGTCAGTGGGTTGGAGGGTGGAGGAGGGATCTAAAGGAATGCTCTCCATGTTTTCAGTCTCCAGGTCAAGCTCCTCTGTATCCGGAGGCTTGTTCTCTTCACTGTAGAAGAAGGAGACCTCTTTGAACGCTGGATCCAGCTCGTCTTTAATGCTCCCGATTATTTCCAGGAAGGAGGGCCTCATTTTCGGGTTGTACTGCCAGCACATGCGCATCAGTTCAAACCTGGACAGGAAACACAGAGCACAACCATTTACTGAGGTGTTTTACGAGCCCTGACTGGGGAGCAACCAGCCGTGACTGAACGAGACCACGCGCTCAGGAAATCACTCAGTTCTGGTGGAAGATGAAGCGACGCAAGTTTTACAGGCCGAGATCCCTGTGACACAAGCTGACCTTTCTGAGCACTGATTTACTTCTCCAGCTCCTATCTAAACCTTCTCAACTCCCTTCCACACACACTTGCCTATAAAGCCATCTTGTGGATAGCTGGTATCCAGAAGCACTGCAGATGTTCATCCCAGTTTGGTGTTTCCCTGGTTTTCCTCCAAAATGTCCTGTACTTACCCAATCGTACAGCAAACTGATAGTGCCTCTCAGAGCATCTTTTTCAAAGAACCAGTCCCTACTCTATCAACACTGTCTGGAAAGGAAATTAAAATAGAAAATACACAATGTAAAAAAGTCCCTTTTTCCTGAAAGAAGAAAATAACATTAAAATTAATTGCAATACCCAAAAGGCATTTACAAATCTCAACAACATTCTCTAATCTTTTATTTTAAAATTATGTTGTTTTCATTTATGGCCAGGGATGCATAATATTTTATGGAGTGTGAGATCATCTGTTTAAGCACATCCACGATTAGATCTGTACAATGTCCCATGCTGGTAAAAACAAAACCACAAAATGAAATAGTAATATGTTCATAATGAAAACAGCATTTTCATGACACAGCAGAATTGGATATTCCTGAGATCGCCCTGAGCTTTAAACACAACACCAAGAAAGGATTTCACTGTGTGAAGGTGGAATTGGGATGCCTTCTGTTAACGCAGCACAAGAAATGTGGCAAATTTCAATATGAAAAGGAAGATTAATTCTCTGAGTCCTCCCTCTGTGTGCACAGCACTCAGAGAAGCATGCTGTGTGTAGGATGGCACCACTGGCCCCAGCTACTGCTTTCAGTGATGGAATAAGAATGAATCTGGAGGGAATGGGAAAAATCTTTCATTCCAAGTAACACACTAGAGAATACTTCATGTTTCTGCCTTACCTCCCAGCCATGCAATCTGCAGTCCCAGTAAGACCCCATCTCTAGCCAGCAGCCAAGCCTGGTGCCCGCCTCTGCCAGCCCTCCTGTGCCAGGTGAGCCAACTCACCTGAACTTCTAGATTTTACAGAGCACCACCATTTTCCTAATTTCCACAGATGTTCAGAAAGTAAGCAAGGCATTCCAGTTTTTCACTTTAACCAGCTCTCACTGCCTTATGCCCTGGCAGCAGTTTCCTGGATCTCCGCACTAGTGTGTGCAATTTTTATTTTTTTAATTAAGAAAACAACACTTTTTTTTTTTCTTGATAGCACCTAAGGCCTTCATAGACTAAGGCCCTAATTTCTCCAGGGTCCCTGCTCTAGGACAAACCTTGCAACACAACTGTCACCATGCTGGAAAGCCCTGGGCTCTGATGCCTGTTGCTGTGCACCGATGCACACAACAGGGCTTGGAGAGCCTGGGAAGCCTGGCCTGAAACAAACCAAAGCAAAGAAATCCCCTCCCCCAGAAACTTGCTCCTGGGGAAATTCTGTTCCATTTCCTCATCGGGTGCACTGTGTTCTCAGCTGACACGGACCAGCACAGAGGTGGAAAGCTGCTGTGACTGGGATGCAAGCACTGCTGAGAGCGCCTCACCAAACTAAAAGCAATCTTAACTCAAGCATTTGAAGCCACAAATATTCCTTTTAGTGCTTGGCTGGCACAACTTTGCGTGAACAGAAGCCAGCCACCTGAGCACAGCCTTGTGACACCCAAAAAGAAGCTGGTGGAACCCGTCTGTACTGTGAGAAGTGCCCCGGTCCTCAAAGCCGCACTGTAGCAGGCACGTAGACACACCAACAGCGCCCAGCTCGTGCCTGGTTTGGAGCCTTCAGGAGTCTTTCATAGCGAAAGTGAAGCCAAACTATAAAACTGCGTTATACCCTCACCCACAAACGAGAAGGAAAGCTTGAGACATAAATACATAAAATCCATTTCTGTTACTTCATTGCTGTTTCCTTTCCAGCTGACTGCTGCGTCCCTGAATAGAAGCCTCGGCTGGAGCCAAGAACACTGGATATTCGCTGGCACCGCGCCCTGAGGCCTAAGGGCAATGCTAAGGAGATACCACAAGCAGTGGAGTAATGCATGTGACATCAGCACAAACAAGGACATGTGATGTTTCTTTTAAGCCATTCCAGATTTAAAAACCCTACAGAGTTCCCATAAAAGGATTTTTTTTTCCCTTATTAACTCTGTGGGCTTGAAGACCTTGTTTACATTATCTTAAACAACAAAAACAAAACTAAACTAAACAAAAACACCAACAAAAAACCCAACACGTTCCAGCAGACAATGGAAGAATTTACAGGCTGCTAATATAATCTGTGTATTCTATAAAGCGTGTTTCTGGCTGGTGGCAAGTGAGCCCAAGGAAGTTGCAGGCTTTATCACGAGCAGGGAGATAACCAGTGCTGCTCTAATGCACTCAAGGAATGCTGCAGAAACGGAGCTCCTTTTTGCGCTGAGACATTACAAAATGAAAATGGCAGATTACTGTATCAGATACTGTATCAGTTGCATTCCATTTGAGCATGCACTTGTGCTTTGCATCAGGCTTGATTTGATGGAGAACAGAGAAAGGGCCCCTGTTCTGTTGCTGCTGCACGCCAGGATTACCTCTGGATAGCAGATCCTGGTTTCAAACCAAGCGAGCGCCAGGAACAAAGGAAAAATCGGCAATACGTAAATAGTCTAGTCAGCTACATGTGGGGGAAGCAATTTTTACTTCAAAACCAGAGAGGAATTCCAGCCTCCACAACTTTTAAAAGCCCCATGGGAGCACACTGTCTGCGAGCTTCAGCTGGAACCTCCTCGCCACGCAGCCATCACCTGATGTAACAATGGCAGTACACAAAAACAACCTCATACAGGGGAAGAGGAGAAAAACAGCAAAGCTTCTCCTGGCACCGTCTTACTGAACCATCTGTCTTATTGCATGGTTCTGTCTGTAAAATCACGCAAGCTATGCCAAGAGGGTGTAGCATAAACAGAACTGAGTCTTGTTTCACCCTGTGCAAGAGTAAAAAGCCTCTCTAAATACCGTCCTTTTTGTGCTTGGCCCCTGTGCAGTGATTTACCACTTCTGCGAACCACAAGACGGCCGTGCCGTACGATCCACCTTTGCACAAGCAGCCGGGACAGCCAAGCTGTAGAACAGAACCCCTCCAGTTCTTCAAGTGTCCTTGGTCTCTGATCCACCTAACGACTCTGCTAGCAGGGGTTAGCAAAGCACAGCCACTAACGAGCATTATTAGCATTGCAGTCCTAGCAGAGATGGAACGGCCAAGACCGCTTGCACCACGTAGCAGTCACGCAGGAGGGGCAACGAGAGGCCCTTACAAGAGCTACTGTACGGTGGCTGGAGTGTGCACGGCTGTGTCAACACTCTCATAATCTGCACGGTTAAAAATAGTCGATTTGGTGTCAGTTGCAAAAAGATTCTTCTCTCTATTCTCATCTCTGCTTCCCCACAGCAGTCTACCTACTCCACCTGTTCTAGAGAGTTTGATATGTCAGTGTATTCCCCTCTCTCCTCAGAAAGGTAAATTTGTCTTTGCGTTAGATACCATCTGCCCATGATTACAATTTACTTGTTTGCATGTCAGGCTAATTTAAAGTACCTCTGCATTTGTATCCTACCACATGAGATTTATGAGTGCAGTTCCTACCTCCACTTCTTGCTTGCCACTCATGCTATACTGAGTACAATAAGCACACAGAGCTTCCTGCAGCAGGCAGACAGCTTTCTGGGCATCTCGAGTTAATATTGACAGTTAATGTCAAAGTATCGCAGACCAGTCAGTCTCCAGCACTGAGAACACACAATATCTGAAAAAGAAGAACTTCCACTGGCACAGACATGGCAAGAAACTTGCCTTTAAACAGAATCTTTGTAGCAACCTCCAGAAAAACAGACCCCTTCCATTTACAAAAGGTTTTGTAAATCACTACTAAAAAGTAGTTGCCTGAAACAAGCTGGGAATGTACGGTAAAATCCAAATGCAATCTCAGGGCTCTTTGCACCTGTGTTACGAGCACCTTTCAACAGATTCAGTAATATTGTTATGTCCCACGGTGAGGAGCAGGTTATCAGACAGCTGGGGAGGGGAGAAGGAACTCTGCCTATGGAGCAGGTCTCTGCCTGCCAGCAGCAACACGTGTGAGGTTCAAGACTGGCACCAGCTCTCAGGTTGCTACGGCATCTTTACAGCATCTTGGGCCAACAGGACAGACCATGGGAAAAGAAAGCACTACAATCATGTAAAGTATGTTCTTTGAATGCCAAACGCATGTGCATGGAGCAAAGGTAAAGATCATTCCTGGAGCTCCCTTCTGCTATTCCTATAGCAGCCTATGTGAATTCCAGCAGACTTGGGTGTCTGTCCTAATAGGAAGGCAAAAAAGGCTGAACAGGAAGCTAAAGCAAGTCATGGTTGGCTTCTAGAATCAATTCTTTTTTCTTTCTTTTTTCTGCATTTGGACAAAGACAAGATATGTTTTTCACAATTGTATTAACAAAAGAGACATAGCTAAACTGGATAGTTGAACCCTACTTCTTGTTCTGACGGAGAGAAGCAGCTAAAATCCAAGGCAGGTATTTTCATTCTGCCCCTCTGCAACGTTGGACTAAAGTTTTGGTGGCACTAAATAATACGTGAACAGCTTCTTCATTTAAAATGAAGGCTTTTGTTGTTCTACGCTAGTGCAAAGATTCGTTCTGTCACACATTCACCAAGTTCTCCCTGTTTTCAAGCCAGTTACCCCCAAAGCAGACTCATCCTGTAGTAACACCCAGCACACACAGGATTATCTTGGAGGAGGAGGAAGGAGAACGGGCTGGGCAGGCTGCGGCAGGAGCTCCTTGCTGAGAGCTAACTGTGCCTCCCCTCCCTTCCCCCTGTTCATACCACACATGCCCCAGGTTAATGGGGAATTTCTAACGCTCAATCTCTTGCCAAGTTTGTTCTCACTGTAGAGCTAGTTTTTTCCCTACTGGCTCAGGGAGCAGACCAGCTTTACCTAGCCCCCTTCCCGCACCCTGTTCTTTCCCCCTTTTCTGCCTGCTTCTCCCCCTCCTCCATTACACAGCTCTGACCATGTTAAACAATCTCCAGTCAATCCGACTGCCAGAAATTCTCCACAGCATCGTGGAAGGGAAAGAATGTGAAATTGAGGAATCACATGGCACTACACCTCCCCCTGCATATACCACCCACCCACCTCAAACAACAAAACAACACTGCCTGTCATCTGAAACCAAAGCCAGCGGTCCAGCCAAAAAAGCTCTTTTCCTAAGAATCCCAAGCAGCTGAGGCCCTTAAGTGATTGTATCCCTTCTGTGGGCCTCCAACAAATTTCAATAACTGCAAGACACAGTATTTCCTTCCCAAAAGCCAGTTTGGGAAGTATATCAAAGTAATAAAGTCTGAACAACTGAAACTGCTGTACACAAAAGCCAGCAGAAGTATTTCAACAATGTAAAGCTAAAAACCGAAGCCTGCTGCACCGCAGACTCCTCTGCTGTAAGGCTTTGTACTGGGTCTAGGGGTAGACAAAGGTTTTTCTGCGTGCCTCTTTCTCTGCTTACAGGGAAGGAAACTGTTAGCAGGGGAGATTTGTTTATCTAAACACAATGAACACTATGACTGAAAAGGCAGATCCAAAGCTGCTTCAGACAAAGGAACGATGGATTCGCGTATCTGTACACTGAACTGAAAAGTTGAATTCCGCAGAGTCGCTGCACGGTACACTTCAGCTTATCCTAAGCTCTTTTTTTTTCTCTTAATACTCAACAACCTCACTTGAAACAGAAGAGACAAGAAGAGACACGTCCTCATAGCCCCTCTCGCAGGTGGGGCAGAAGCAGACATTGAAGGGATCACGAAGAATGAGCTGTGGACTGAGAGCAGAGAGAACTGCTGACACTTACAGCATATCGGGACAGTTGTCGGGTTTTTCCAGCAGACCTCCTTCCATCACAAAGCGGAGCACTTGTTCATTGGTCATGCCTTGGTACGGCTGCTCCGCTAACGTTGCAATCTCCCAAAGTACAACACCGAAAGACCTGGAAAACAAATCAGAACTTTAGAAAGCCAGGCAGTCTTTACAAAAATATTTCTGTTAAATGATACTGAACAGAGAGGTGTCCACAGGTTTTCCTTCACACAAAAAATCCAGTTGCTAAAGAGTACACAGTTACGGTGATATCCATATGACCTAACATCAGAGACTGTTCACTGTAAACACCTCTCATCGATGGAGAGAAACAGGGTCCCAGTTCTGAACGCTCTTCAGAATGGCCTCTCCCTACTGACTCTGGAAGTAAAGACCAGGAATGCTACACCTCTGTTTTTCACACCATAATCTACAAGTCAGAGCTGGTCGTGATCACGATCATTCAGTGGTACAACGGTGACCTACACAGAACAAGCATAAGCAAGTAATTGGTTAAAAAATGCCACTACAGCCTTGTTCAGACTTAGGGTACCTCAGGAGGTGGGAAGAACACTGGAGAGGGGAAAAGGCAAGATGCAGGGATGGGAAGAAGGGGAGGGAGGGAGACCGTCCTACCAACCTTCTAAGCCGGTTGAGAAGTGGCAGAGGCTAGTTGTTTAAAGAGAGCTCAACAAGCCCCCCATGGTGATAGCAGGAAAAAAAAACACCATACGTTTAAAAAACTAAACCCGAAATCTTCATGTAACGTCTCTCTCAGGTACTCCTGACAGCAGCTGAGAAGGCAAGAACGCAGAGCTCTAAGCTTTCATTCCAGTGCAAGCTGCTTTTCATCAGAAATACTTGAGTCACACAAATCTGATTTAAAAGCTGCATTTTCCCCCTACCACTCCAGCCAGCTGAGAGCTAGACAGCAAATGCACACCACCACACCTGTGTATCTCATCTGCCTCACCGTTAAAAGCAAACAAACCAAACAACCTTCATCCCCCAGGCACAAAAACACTCTGAGTAATACTTTCCATCTATCACTCCGCTCTGGTTTCTTCCACATTCTGAGTCAAAGGTGCAAAGTAAGGATCAAGGCATTTAACATACAGGAGCAAGCAATGAAAGCAATTTGTGAAAAAGACGTAGAAGAAGTGCAAATGTTCTCCAGCTTCTTGTACAAAGACCCTCCTTTGCTGCTTCAGCAATAAAACATTCAAGCCCCAACGAGAAACTCAGTTACTCCTTTTGCAACATGTATGCAACCATCATCTTGAAACAGAGCTCCTCGCTCTGTCCAACTAACTACAAAGGACAGCAGGATTGAAAGAAGAAGTTGGTCTAATAATAGGAATTGATTACTCATGAATAAAAATAAGCATAGTTATCTAATTGGATAGTTTGGATGTGAGTATTGACACTTTCTAAAAATATTTCAATTTAAAATTAGTTTATTGAGCAGACAGCTCCAATTGTCTGCCCTCACTGACCAGTCATCTACTCTTAGAGCTGGTGTGAACGAAAACCTAGATGCTATCTTGCCTTCTGTGGCTGAAGTGCTGAGTCAAGTTCAGAGACAGAAATGTAGTTTCAGTAGGGTACTGTTGTGAAACCAGGAGCCCGGTATTATTAGCTGGTTATGGCAGAGTGGTTTTTATTCTTCACTTATCCACTCTATCTGAAACGGCTCACAGCTGAAGCCAGAAGCCACGAACAGACTTGCAATTGTTTGCCTTTCAGGAAAGGGAGGGACTGAGGGTCAGCTCAACATTTTGGTGCCTCTGAAGCTACTTTGATCACTGCAGGAATAAGAAGAACAAGTTCTGTGCACCTCCTAGGCATATCATAATGCATGCACTTATGTTGCTCCTTCAAGGCAAATACTATCTCTGAAAGAATGCAAGATGCTGAAGACTTATTAATAGAAATACACCCTCATCCTGAACTGTATTACTTTCATTTTAAAACGTTCTCCTTCCCTAACTACAACAACAACAACAGTCTTATCTAATTACCTCATTCTTCAGCCTGAAGAGCAATAGAAGAATGAATTGCTAAAATAAAGCTCCACCCTTAAAAACCTCCAGACACTCTTCTGCAGTTTGCCATTTCACCTTACAGCTTATAAATCTTGGGCTCTGATCACTTGCACAGTTTTGTCTTTTTGACATTTTGGCTTCTAAAGCAGATCTCTAAGAACATGGAACCAGATGTCAAAATATCTTAGCAAAAAGGACAGAAAAGCAATCTCTACTTTTTTTTTTTTTTAAATTGAAGAAAATAAATGGCCCTTGAAACAGCCAAACAACAGTTTTCATGAAATAACTTCAAAACCTGAACTAATACAAGGACTCAGGTGATTCTTCCTGTCCTTCCAGACAATTCCAGTGTACAGTGGCTACTTCAGAAGTATTGAGAAGTAAACCAGAACGATCCTCTTAGCCATAAGCTGATCAAGTAACTAGACACAATTTCATGACAGTGATAAACTGAGCTCAGATACATTTCAAATTCAGATCCAAATTTCTGCATCTCTAGCTGTGGATACATGGCACATGGTGTCTGTTTAGAACACCTATACATTTGCATGTTCCTCAAGTTGAACCAGTTGTTTTGTACCTCAGGTAGCATACCTACGTGAACCAAAATTAAAAAAAAATAAAAATCACTTCTAACAAGACCACAAACCATTCCAATGAGAAGTTTAAATACTGATGAGCTCCATGGGCCTGTGGTCCAAAAGGCATTTTTTCATCTCTCAATGCTTTAAAGTAAAAAATCGTAAAATTCAACTCTTTTGTAAGTTTTCCAACCTCATCATTAGTAAAGCTACTTCCCTTTATGTGACTTCTGCAGCCTGGCTAAGATATTTTGCTCAGAGATTGTTGGACTATCCCACTAACAAACTGCAATATTGTTTCATCAGTCTTGCTTCAGACTAAGAGACCGATGAGTGCCACATCTTGTTGAAGGGAGAACGTGCATAACTGCTGCAGCAATTCAAGTATGGATTTAGTACTGATGCTTGATTTAGCACCTCTTTTTTTTCTGTGTGTGTGCATTTAGAATCCGAGCTAGGTTTAAACAACGTCACTTAAGAGGTACAGGTGGAAAGAAGAACTTGCATGAACAGCAGCCATACATCAATTAAGGTGAAGACCAGACCTACTACAGTCCTGAAACAAAGGCTGGAAGGGATGGCTAGACTTAAATGTTACTGTTTGGTGCTCATGGGCAAGACTGCCTGTTCCTCACTTTAGTTCAGGCTTATATCTGGGGATTTTTCTAGTCATATATTTCATATTTGTCTGCTTTGTGAAGCCATTACTAGTTCCAGAATTCTTTTACCCCAGAGGGAAGGCTGAAAGCATGCTTGCATGGCTGTTAGATAAATGGCTGATACAGGGCTTCCCCTTCAACTCAAAGTGGCTATTTTCATTGCCTTCCAAGTTTGAAGATTACAGGGTACATAAATAAGTTATTAGCCACATGCAAAAGATGTAAGTAACATTCTGATGCTTTGCTTTTTCACTTGTTACTTAATTTCTCTTAGGAACCTTTCACTCAAAGTGGATGCTGTGGACTGCAGTCCACTGACTCCTCCAAAATCTTCAAGCTGTTTAGAGAAAATGCAGTTTACTACTAAAATACCATTCCTACTGACTTTTAGGCATTTGGAGGCAATCAGCTGCCAATTCTGTAACAGATCAGCAGTAAAAACATCTTGTTAGGAAGGCAGAGAAACCATAAAAGACGGAGTAGAGCTTTTGCCAGTACATATTCATCTTTTGCCAAGTCCTCCCTATCTTTCTGCAAAAGTTTGGGGGAGGGAGGGAGAGGGGAATGTTCCAGAGTATTATTTCTACTAAGAAGTTTATTTTGAAATTTCCTGAATGCCTCTATTAATAACTTCACAGATACAACCACTAAGCAATGTGCTTTTACAGAAAAAACTATTTCTGCATCTTGCGGTATATAAAGCAAGCAAACAAAGCCCCAAATGGAGAAGGATATACACAAGGGAGAACTCCGAAGGAAAAAAATAAAACTGCTAGTGTACACAAACTGTCTGCAGCAAAGCAGAGTTATTTACACAGAAGATTTTGATAGAAAAGCAGGTCAACACTATGAACCTTTCCATATTCTTGGCAACTTTTAATGCTTTTCTTGAGGAAGGGCAATTTGAAAAATGACAACTTGCTCTTCCAGGTGAAGGTAATGTTTTTCACTGCACAAGTGATTTTACAACCCACAGCAGGAAACACACCACCACCTCCAGCTTTGGAAATCCATTTAAGACTGTCTCTGAGAGCAGAATTTAAACTCACGAGCCCTTGATTTTTGCAACGGAAACAATATAAAGCAGAATGATTCACAGTGGATAATGAGAGCTACCTGTGAAGGGACAGGAGAAGCTGTATACTTAGTTAGGTCTATAAAACAAGAGAAGAGGCTAGAAACAGGAAGGGGAAAACAGTTTTTCAAAGCCCCTTTTTTGTTACCAGACATCGGAGTGCGTTGTGAAGACTCCATCTTTCAGTGATTCTGGGGACATCCAGCGGACTGGCAGCAAACCTTTCCCTCCTTTACGGTAATAATCTGTCTCGTAGATATCTCTTGTCATGCCAAAATCTAGAAGGTACAAGTTTTGTGAGCTCAAATAATGAAATACTGAACATTTCCCCTTACTACAAGCCCCTGTAGCCAGCAGACAATCATAGTTTGGTGCAAAGAGCCTTCAATCTGTTACCACAGGATTTTGCTTTGCAGAGCCTTTACTTGCCTTCGTAGGGCTGGTTAGCTTCTCTCCCAATGAAACTAACAAGTATTTTTACCACTGATTTCAGTGGGTCAGAACTGGATCCAGATCAAGTCTCAATGATTTAAATATATTAATAAGAAAAGTTCCAGGACCTATGTTCAAGCCTTGCAGCAAGCTAAGTCTTCTGAAGCTCACATCATTCACTACTCTATTCTCTAAATTCTATGATTATCTTTTCTTTTAGATTAAGGAGTGCAAATATGTCCATTAGTACTTAAATTGTCTTTAATTAAAGAACCTTACATTTTGAGGGAAATGATTCTTTTACTCTTTTCCTCTCTTGAAAGTTAATTCTCTTTTCTGATGTAATTTTCTATCTCAAATGCTATAGAGGATGAGGCTATTCATTTATGACTAATACAGATCAATATTAAAGCCACACTTCTGGCTATACATGTGTCCTTAGCTGTAAATACGTAAGTGTTTGCAAGACCTGCGCCTAACAAGGGCCCATCTCCTGTTACTCAGACTCATTCCAGGTTTGTTTTTTCCTATGTTATCAGCTTGACGCAAGCAAAACTGCTGGGCCTTGGACTAGCCAATTTAAAGCAGGAACTACATTTTCAGATACCAACAAAAAGTTAACAAATCACGTGGAATCAACAAATCTCTTACTAAGATTAAATGCTATCTGCTGACACAAAACAGCTAGGGTAATATCCTTTTTATCTTTTTTTCTTGCAAAAATGGAGTGACAAGTTAACAATTCCTCTAGCCTAAGGGGTTCTCACAGTCATTATAACTCATCTGTGGCTGGAGAGACTGACCGCTGATCCTTCTCATTCTAGTGTCTGCTAGGGACACTGCTACCCTCAGCGATTATGACTAAAAGCCCCATTTGTACAACTATCCCACCACTCCCACACACCAGGGAGATTTTGCCCCAACAACATGGAAAACTCTTAAAACATAATGCAAATAAGAAACAGATACACAGTGAGCACAGGACAGTATAACGTAAAGCTCTTCCTTTGAGATCAAAACAGGCTAAGTTGGCGTGCTCCAGTCAATATGTTCGTAAACTGTTTCTACGTGAAGGGATTTTCAATACAGGCACACAAACGAGAGCAGCACAGCACATTTCATGAAATGCTTTTGGGATAACCATGTACCATGTTAAAGGGAAGAAACGCACCATCTCCAGTTCAAAGAATTAAAAAACAAAAAACATGCTGGATTAGGAAAAGTGGAATGGAAGGGATTCAGGCTGACTTCCCCAAACCTGCACAAAATGTACAAAATCCCCCAAAGATCTTATTTCCTAATTAACTGACTCAAAATGAAATCATATTTTCTTTCTCCCAAATGACAGGATTACTTACACAAATCATCAAAATAGCTGAGTTAAGCTCAGAGAAAAAGAATTAGTTTCCTAGAGCAGAAGGCTGTTACCATACATACTATTTTAATATGCACAACTCAAAAACAGCCAAAAGCTTAAAATCACTCTCTGGAGAGAAGTATGAAAAAGCTCATCTGACACTATTTTGGAGGGATGGTGAAGGGGGAAAAGAAGTGGTGTTCTAACAGCAGAGCAGGAAAAAACCGTTCTGTTTGCTGGAAAGCAGAGCTCCAGTTCAGGCTGGAAAGCATCCAGCTGAAATCAAGCCTTACATTCCACTTTCAAATCAGATATGCTTTAAAATAATCCTACAATTCTTATTCTTGAATCAATAAACAGGAGGTACAATTATTTTTGCGCATTAACAGCAAAGCAAATGACACACCAGTGTTAACTATGCCATCCACCCAGATGTCTGCAGCATCTGCATCTCAAATCACTGCTCCACCAGCTCCTTCTAAGCCCACATGCTACTCTATTTCCTCACTGGAATGACAGCAAGTAGAGGTATTCCAAGAGTTTCAATTCAATGTTGACTGGTCACAGGTCTTAAATCACAGCTAGCCTTCATAAGGCACATATTTCATTCTGCAGAAATTTAAACTACAGCTAAGTTTTAAAAGATCTTAAAAACAGTTTTCAAAAAAACTAAAATGCTTTCTAACATACTGATTTTTCAGGGTGATTTTTTTAATTTCTGTAAAAGTCAAAAAGCACACCTCCGATTTTCACCGTGAAATCTTCTGCCACCATGCAGTTTCTCGCAGCAAGATCTCTGTGAACAAACTTGTTGGCGTTGAGGTATGCCATCCCGTCAGCAATCTCTCCTGCCATTTGAATCATCTTCTTTAGAGTTGGAGGTGTCTGGCCAGGATTATTCTGAGGAAGATTAAGAAGATCAAACAAGTAAGGGGAAATGAATAAATAATTTCTAAACCAAATTGCAATCTACTTGTTTTTTGTTGTTGTTTTCTTCTGTTTTGTTTCAAATCACACCATCACAATTCAGTCTGACTTGAAACAGGCTAAATGAACTCATGATTATGTAAACTGCAGCACCTGCTTGGTGGGAAAAACTGGTCATATCAAGCTGGTTTACAAACAACTCCTAAATAGCTCTTTTCTAACAGGCCATTCTATTTTAGGGAATACAAGCAAGAAAAGACTTTAGTGTAACAATGTTATACCTTATACCTCAGGAGTTTAAATAGTTTAATCAGCATGGATATTTTCCACATCCAATCATGCCCTCTGCTACTTTCAAGTTCTCTGTTTATATGGCATACACTCTCTGTTGCACATACTATATCAGAAGTTCTGGATCATGAATCTAATGGCAAAAGACAACCGTGGGCTCATTTTCTACATAGTCTACTATAATTTCAGTGGCAAGTGTCATCTTTCAGACCCTATAGCACATGGGGCAATTTTAGCTGTTAGACTGATGGCCTACATATTAAAGAATGCATATTAGCAAAGATACTGGATTTTTATCATAAAGCCCTCATTTGTATTTATTTTCCAACAGAGGAAATAGGAAGGATGTACAACATGAAATCATTATCCTAACGTGCATGCTTCAACTAGCCAATTTTTCTTCAACATCTTGACAAGAATTAGGTTAGGCAAGAGATTTAATTCAAAACTGGAAAACAGGACTCTAACACAAGATGGGGTACAGCACACTGGGCTATTTGCAGTAACTACCTCATAAAAAAAAAGAAAGTGCTGCAGATCACAGAGCAGCATGTTTTGTTCTTAGATCTTAAGGAGAGGGCAAGAAAGGCTAATTGGCTGCTGCTTCCAACACGATTCCTATTTGCTCAGGATGATTCTAACAGAAGGAAAAAAAACATCCAACAGCTCATGACTCACCTCTGTGTCTGGCCTCAATGATCTCAGGTAACTTTTGAGGTCCCCACGTGTCATCAGCTCCATGATAACTAGGGTAGGCTGGCCCTGAGAAACAACACCAAGCAACCGAACCTGCAAGGAGAAAAACAAATGCTCAGCTTCGAATACAGCTAACTGAACTGCAGTAATTGTTTATTCATGTTGATATGGAGCCCCCAGCACCCATGACCCTGTGGGAGACTTCTGGAAGTAGACTTGTTTTCATGCTGACTCCTGTTTAACAGCATCCTAATGCTGCAGAACTGAAGCTAGAATCCCAAGTCCCCACTTCAGTCAGTGAAGATGTGCCCTGAGCACTCTCCTGCCAGTAAACCATCAGAGCCATATAAATCACAGCCTTATTACATATTCAGAACTTACCACATGGTGACAATTGAACTCCTTCATTACTGAGGCCTCATTTAAGAACTCTATCCTCTCACGCATGCTTGCAGACTCATTGACAGTTTTGATGGCCACCCTGGTCTCTGGCTCATCCTTCACCACTCCCTTGGCTATCCCCTCATACACCATCCCAAAGGAGCCTTGCCCAAGCTCCCGACACATGGTGATCTTCTCGCGAGGCACCTCCCACTCATCTGGAACATACACTGTGGGGAGAGAGAGAGAAGAGGCCATCATGTTCCATTTCTGTAAGCGGTGGGATCACTTGTGGGTTTACAATACCAACCGCCCAAATAGTTTTACTCTAAGCAACAACAGACGTAATGCTGAGAACTGCCAGGGGATGTGCATATATTCCAATCTTTCTCATACAGAGATAGGCAGGTATTTGGCATAGAAATAAATCTTAAAGGAATGAGTAGATGGACTTGAAGGGGCCTCACTATGGTACTAGTATAAAAGAACAGAAATACGGAACTTTGATGTACAACATCCTGGTGGCAAGAACCTTCATTCAGTACTTGAGGCTTGAGCTTTTCTCGGTACCATCGGTTTTCTAGTTCTTCCAAGGCAGCATCAAACATACTCGATCATCTGTACCAGTTTAGCATCTGCTGTATTCTCTATGAACTGATTGATTTTATGACTAAAGGGAAAGAGATTCTCTGATCTAACAGGTTCTTTGCATGAAGCTATTGTGCTTACTTGCACACCCACTGCTGCACCAGTAAAGGCAGAACTCGCTGCTGCTGCAAGTCTTTGATCTGAGGCAGAAGAGAGACCTCAGAAGGTGAATGCTAGGAGGGATGACTGCCTCAGGCAAGAAGACATCTGAGCTCTCAGTAGTCACTGATGCTGCTGCCCATCAGTCACCAAAGGAGGGTACAGTTGTGTCACATGCTTGGGATGGGTGAAATGACAGGATGCAAAAATAGAGGATTATAGCATGAACATCAACAGATCTTAACTCTAATGGTGCTGCTCCAAGAAACAACGGTAAAAGAAAGTCAGCTCCCACTCTAGCTAAACCCATTAGCCTCCAGAGGGCTTTTGGAAACATCATTTTGGCAAAACGTCTAACGCAGCAGCACCAAACTAACCCATAAACTACAGCGCTGATGCCTCAAGCAAATTCTTCTCATGTTCTGATTTCCTCCTGTGCTTGAAGAGCTCCGCAAATAAATAATCTGCACAGTATGGGCATATGCTTGTTAAATACGCCCGTACCTCTATGTTGCAAAAAAAAATTATTTAGTAAATAGGTTTCCAGTGGGAACCTAACTGCCTTTATTTATTATTATTTTTTTTCCAAGCAACTCATTTAGCCAGAAAGCTGGGATTCTAGGGCTCTCCTTTCCACAGCCATAAGCTTTCTGGAGATTCTGAGCCAAGGATACCGGGATTCTGGGGTCATTCAGCTCCTGCTACTGCCCAGGGTCAGCCAGCATGGGAACTGGCAAGGAGATTATCTACAGTAGGGTATGTCTGCTAATACTCTCCTGCAATAGTGAAGTGCAGGAAAATAATAGAGATATACAAAAAGCAAAACGCACACAAAAAAACCCCACACAGTTCTAGGAACAGTGCGGTGGTTTGTTTTGTTGTTTTTTTTTGGGGGTGGTGGTGATGGTGGTGCTTTCTGTTTTTTCTTCCTTCCCCAATGGTTTTAAGGAATTTAATCTTGTTCCAGATCAGGTAAAATAAATTTCATTTTTCCAAGGTCCAGAATCCTGGCAGACTTACTGAGACTTGCACACAAACAAGAAATTAAAACCAAACAATCCTAATGAACCATAAAACTTAATCATCCTGAAATCAAACTTTAACTCTTGGTTTTTATTTGGCGCTGGACACTTTCTCCATTGTCCAGCTGAAAATTATCTGCAACATCTTCCAATCACTAAGCACTGTTGGATTTTCTCAGTCTTGTTGCTGGTCATGCAAACCTGTCATCTCATCTACTGGGTAATAAAGTACCGAGCCAGCTCCCAGCCAGCACCCCCACACTCTCAAAACATGCTGCAGACTATGCAAGTATCTCTTCTTATACTATTTCCCTCAAGCTTTCAATGGCCACATTAGATGCTTTTTGTTTCTTTGCTCGAAGTGGAATAAAGGATGAAGGAGGAGTCATTTTTTGCTACAAGTGGCAAACAATCTAATTTTGAGGCAACAAGAACTTCTATTTTAAGCAAAACTTTCCAATTTACTAGCTAAGCAATAAAAGGGCCCATTAGCTGCCACTTCCAGCAAGTGCTTCTCTTTTTATCTTGTCAAAGAACGTTATTCACATTGCATCTCCATAGAAAACAGTAGGAAAATAAAGAATTAAAATCTGAAACTAGCTTTAAAAAACTTTTTTGTCAGTCCAAGAACAACTGGCATACCCATACTCTAGATACTAAAAGTGTAGCTTACATAAAACATCCCTGCTCATTTTAACACAGAATTACTGTATGTGATATGGCTGGAAGTTCACAGCATTGCCTTTTCCCTTTCCAACAACTTTTCACATTTGGAAAGAATTTTATGGGGGTGGGAAGTGAGGAGACTTTTTGTTTAATTGGTAAACATTATTGTTTTCCACATGAGAAATACACAGAAACAAGCAGTGAGATTATTCCATTAGGTCAGAAAAAGGCTTAAAAGGGCAAACATGAAAGACGATGAATTCATGAATTCTTCTTTCATTCTAGTAACAAAATCACCGGATAAGTAGACAATACTTTGAAAAGAAAACTAACCTATCCAAATTCATTTCAGCTGAATAAACTACAGGAGAAATTTCAGAAACCCCTCTGTTTCAATAGACAGGTAACATTTACATATGATTGATAATGGATTAACTATGGATGTGCTAATTAAATAAAAAGAGAAGGAGGTTTTACTACATCCCTTTACAAGAATTTCACACTTTCCAAAGTCTGACATGAGCAGAGTATATAAAAGTAAATGCATCAAAAGCACATGGCCACACTTACCGTCTGAAGCACTGAAGTACTCGGGGTTCACAGAAGCATAAAGTACCCCATTGCCCAGTCTGTCACTGTTCCTGTTGAAATATTTTTTTCCTTATTAATCTTTAAACTTAAGTAAATTTCAGACTGCTTCTTCTACGACTATTCCACTGTTTGCTCAACCACAAAATATTGTTTACTGTATGTGGAGAGCTTTTCAGAGAAAGGGGACAAATCAAGTTCTTATTCTACCACATATAATCAATGAGAAGAACAGCCCAGAAGAGTTTTCCCAGGAAACCTGCAGTCTTCTCTATACCAAATCAGCACTAGAGAAGTGTAAACACAAAGTACTTCTAGCTGCTAGGCAAACTTCAAGAAAGGCAGCTGCATGGTGATACATCCAGGAGACTTGTGGCTGAGAGCATTAATCACCTGCTCTACTGCGAGAGAGAAGTGACCTGGCAAAGAACAAGATTGTTTTTATTTGGAATTCCATTCAACTACTTTATAAATTGCTTCTGTTATTTTATTTTACCCTCATCCTTCTCCCTTGATTTTACTGGGGTGATTTTCAGAGTAAGACTTTTATTCAGCATTGTGAGAGCTCTTGCAGAAGGCAGGCTGTACAAATCAAGTTATTAATCAGACCTCAGAAAACCAAAGAGAAAACAGTTTTGTGTGCTAGAACAACAGCTTAAAGAAGGATGAATTCTCAGGCATTCAAGCCCAGAATGCTCATGGGAAGGTCAGGCAGGTACTTTACTTCACTAGATGCAAAGCCCTTTCTGGAGTGCTTGAGGAGAATTAGTACTATAGTCTGTACACAAATGAATTAGAGCTGGAAATAATGGGATATTCAAGGAGCATAATTTATATGAGAGTAATAAAAAAGCTCAATACCTAAAAAGTTGCAAGCCCAAATGTTTGCACCGACTTCTATTAAATTCTCATTATGTATTTCAATTAAATAAAAAAGAGCACTAGTTATAAAGAGATAAAACTAAGGAAAACAAATCAATCGAGCAGTCCCCCAAGACTGCTCTGTCCAGCACATAATTTTGTAAGTGGATGTAGAGACTTCAAAAAACCTTCAGAATTTGCAAGGAATCAAATTAACCTGACTTGAACTAAGTTTTCATGATTTATAGAGCAACCCATATTTCAAAGCTTCTGATTATAAAGGCTCAGTGTCTGTCATCATTGTCCCAGTGGATATGTTCCTGACAATCCTTCCTCTTTCCCTTTCAAACATGATACTGTAATAAAAAGCCTCTTCATATCGCAAGCAGCAGGCAGATTCTCACTGGTAACTCTAGACCACCTCCTTGTACACACCAATAAGGCAGAATCTTCTTTAGCTTCTCAAGTGCTCTGAATGCCATTTCACTTCTTAATTTCTAACATGCTCCACGGATACAGACTTGAAACCAAACAAGCCCCTTTTACAGTTCAGCATTAACCACAAGCATAAACAACTCACCTCTTTTTGTTAAAGACGTACAGCATTATTAGTAAACCCCCAATGATGAGCAGGAAAGCAATGGGAAGCACAATTATCAAGTGCAGGAAGTTTCCATAGTTTGCTGCTGCAACCAACAAGAAAACAACTGTATCAGGGTTTCTATAAAATCTCCATTAACAAAGAAACATTCAAAACCCACTCAGTGTATTTCCATACAGGAGAGAAATCAAAGTACTCATTTTCTTGTCTGATGTGGAAAAATGTACTCAGAAACACTCCCTGACTGCAGATGAGTGGAACAAGAAAAGAGACACTGAAAAGCATTAATTTTGTACAGAACAGTGTCTGTCTGGAGTTTGGTTTCACATGTTATGCTTAAGGACTTACATTCCTCAGGGAACAATACGCAATTGTTCGCTTGCATATTAACCTTTCTTTTCCTCCACCTTTTGTTCACCTTGCAATTTCTTGTACTTCAGAACATATTCACACTGGTCTTTACCTCAAGTTCATCAAATGCCAGGAATTAGAAAAACAAGAATGAATAAGAAGACAAAATTCCAGTTTTCTGTGGATACAAGTGCTCTTCAGCTAAACACAGAAGTTCTTGAGAGGGTCTCTGTATACCCTTCACAGTGCTATTCTTCCTAAACCTACATCACTCCCGTAGTCAAGACCCTTTCATCAGTCTTATCTCTGTTAAAATGTTATTCTGAACAAGTCACGTGAAAAAACATATTGACATTTAAAAAAAAACCTGCCAGCCAAAGTCTTAACAAATGACCTGTTTCTTATAGAACTTTGCAACTGAAAGTAGGTTTGTTTAATTGCCACGGGTTTTGTACAACCCAGCTCCACGTTGATACTTCTAACACTGAATTCCCAACTGTGAGCTGGGCACCCCAGGGAGCCACAGTAGTGTGTTCTACACACCCATCACCTGATTGCACCTCTTACATGCATACAATCTATGAAAAAAAGCACTGTGTCTCCAATACACCTCCTGCTTGTCAACACTTCTCAAAAAAAATGGAACAGATGAATTCCCAAAAAAAACCATCAGCAAGTAAGAGTATTCAGAGCACAGGCAAGAGGTTCATACACCCAATTACAAATGTAAACATTAAGAATTATTAAAAAGGCCAAGTCCCCCAGTTTGACACAGCCTGCAAACATTCGTCTTACATTTGGGTTGTACATAGAAAGAGACTGGCTCGGTCCATGACCCATTTCCAGCTAACGAAGTGGCCTGAACTCTAGCAGAATAGTTTCCAGGGTTCAGGTGAGTTAGTTTAGCTCCCCCGAGCTTTTTGTATTCCTGTCTGGAAACACATTCCCGCTTCTCCTGAAAGACAAAAGCAATTTGCAGTTAGTATCGTCACATTTCCTCCTTGAGAAGATGATGTAGCTGTAAGATAAGCTTGTCTTTATAATTAAAAGGCCCATCTGATAATTTTTTTCTTCCAACAGCTTAAAGAGATGCATGGAATCCAAAAACTGACAAAAGGAAACAAAGGAATGAGATGTTGATTGGTGCTAGGTATTTGAAGTCACCGTTTCTATCACTGGTATGTAGAGGCCCACAGAAACATGTTAAGAAAGATCCCATTTTGTATCTTAGTTGGCCCAAATGTAAAAGGGGATTAAATCAAACACTATTCAATGATTTAAGTCTGAGTTATCTACAAATGTCTGAATGAAGACCACTACCATAAACACCATGCAAAAAGTTACTTAAGAATACAGAAACAGGTACATTTTAAAGATGACATTGCAGGTGAAAGTCAGAAAGGTAACTTTCTCAGTAGTAGCTGATCTCCAAGCTTTCTGTTACAGCCTGCACTGTACTGCAACTTAAAAAAATTAACAAAAAAATCCTTAAGCTATTAATTTTAAAGACTGAATATATCCCAACATTAGATTCCCCTTCCTCAGTTTTGAGTTACATTTGGTAGTTTTTTGAAGCATAATAAAGGTCTCTAATTTGAACGTATTTCAAATTCTTGTTTAGAAACTGCAGGTAACCCCTGTGAGCAGAAACATCTAATCTAACAGGGTAATAATTTAATTTATAATATGTCCAATGTCCAATAATAATTTGGACAGTAGACTAGCTGCTAATTCACCCTCTATATCAAAGTGCTACATGAGCCTCAGCAAGCTCAAATGTGGTGATGTTAGCTTTAAGTCACCAAATCTCTTCGTATAGCACTATGTCTTTTGCAACATACAAAGTCAAAGCAATGGAAGCATACTACAGTTGTACTCAAACCTGGATTCTCCAAGACTGAGAATACACTTAGCCCAGTCTTGCTTAGCTAGTCAAAAGTGACAAGATCAAAGTATAAAATACAAATTAGAGTTACAATTAATTCTGAACAGAGAAATATCAGATCCTCACCTCTCCATGCTGCCCATATTTGATTTCATACATTAGTATCAGCCCATTTGGATTGGTAGGCTCTAACCACCTCAGGTAGACGGTGTTTTCTTCTTTTGCTTCCCATGCTACTGTTCCTGGAATGTTATCTGCTCCCTCTGTAAAATATTTACAAGTGATGTGAGAAGAACACCTACTGCTTGAACAGGAACTTATAGAACAATTGATGGGAATAAAAAACAAAACAAAAGGTTCATACTGTTCTTTAGGTATCAAAGCATTGTGTTAAGCGCTATTTGAAGATCCAGAGAAGAAAACGCAGTTACCAGGGGCTTGTTGGAGAGAAGTATTGCCTGAACTGCTGATTGCCAGAAATTGCAGCATAATGCAGCTTCACAAAGTATATTGGTGCTGTTTTAGTAACTGTGCTCTCTTTGTGTGACAAAGAACAGTTTATCAGCACCTGGTTGTTCTTTTGAAACTTTCCGCTACACCAAAACTATGCAGACACTGCTATTCCCACCAAATGGCTGTAAACAACAGCCTGTTTGCACATGGCTGCAAAAACAGTAAAATCTGCCCCACTAACATCCCTTTGCTGTAGGCAATCTCATGAAACTTGTCACAGTTTAAAACAGAGTCCCATCAGTAATTCAGCAATTGCTTTATCCCTAGTCATTTTCACTCCTGATGATTTCATGATTTTTACTCAAATCCTAAGAGGAGTATAAAGATAGTTTCAAAGAGAAAAAAAAAAGAAAAAAAAGGCTACTTTTCCAAAGATACAGTGTCTGAGTTTATGAGAAAATTATTTAGTTTTTAATTTTCAGAGCTATACACTAAAAACTAGGAATGCTTTTTTCCTTTTCCCCCAACTAACAGATTTCCTTATTTCCTTGAAATAGGCAACACTTTTTGCTTTTTACTGACACAGCTGAATCTGCATTATGACAGAAACAAAGCAAAATTGCTACCACTCTGCATCAAATATTCCCAGACATCTGCTGGAGTCAGAAGCTCTTTGCTGGATGCATATGAGCTTACACTAAAATCATCTCTATTCTTCTCAGATGAAGTACAATCTGTGTAAGTCCCAAACATGAGTAGAACATTCAATTTCTCTTATTTGAAATATTCTAGATGCCCATGATTGGGCACAATGCAATACAGTACTCTTCCTGTTTCCAGGCTGGACAAATGCTTGGTCATTCTGTCACAGAAGAAACATTTGGCAAATATGCCCACCAGCAAACCTCTAACATCTGTAAACAGTTCAGCACAAGCATAGCAAAACTAAACATGAGCAGGGAAATGTTCCCGTCCTATTCAGCACACAGGGAATTGAAGAATAAAACCTTTAAAGCCATCATGTCTGTGGCTCTCATCTACACAGCCAGGAAACTGATTCTCTCATAACCATGTAGGTACTAAAGGCACATATGCACTTCTCCAGATCACAGGAAAAACTTAATACAGATCACTCGGTACACAGGAGAGACCAGAGAAGGCCATTAAACTACTGTAACAAAGCTTCATATAGTTCCAATTTATCTTCTTGCATTCACTGTTTACATTAAACCCCAATGCTTTCCTAACTGCTTTTGGAAGATTTGTCCCTTCTGAGATTGATCTGTTCCTGGAAAATAAAATAAAGCTTTATACTTGTGCGAGTGTACCTGAAGGCATGGTTCTTGCAAAGACAAAGTTGGAAGCGCTGCAGCCAAGTGTGTCAGCTTCATGGTTGCAGCTGTGAATATCAATGCGGTACAGAGTAAAAGGCTGGAGGTGGGAGATGACAGTTCTCTCCTTGCCATCCACTTTGGTCTCGAAGAACGGGTATTCCACCTCACTCTCCTCTGTGTCAGAAACATTGGTGAAGTGATCTGTCCCAGTCGTGTTCCTGTTTCGAGTGGCCAAAGTGGCATTTGCAATTCGGAACACGTCCCTCCGCTTCCGATCAGGTCTGTGGAGCAAACAGACATATAGAAAAAGCATCTCTTAAGAGAAATTCATTTTTCCTCTAGCTCCAGAATAAGTGTGGGAAGAAAAAAAATACAACAGTAAAATAGGTAACTATGCTATTAAGAAAATAGCTAAACAAAGGAAACTGCAAAACAAGAAGAAAGCTTTCTCTTAAGCTGAACCTGCAGCATGTCAGCACATCCTATTGCACTTTCTTGGTTGGAAACCTATCTAAATTCCAAGGCTCACATCAAGCCTCAAGATAAACGTACAAACTTCTGACCACCCTGGTGCTGGCACAATAAACTGAATAGCAAGAAGAGTTTCACTGTTATTTAATAAGCAAACTGGATCTGTATTTAATGACAGTGATGTTGAAGCTTAAAATAAAATCAGATGTTAAAGGTTTAAAAAGTTAGGAGAAAAAACTTCTCTGAAGTTTACTTGATTAGCAAAACTAACTCTCAATAGGTTTAACTTATTTCTTTGCAGCTGCAATGGAATTGTAGAACACTGAATGCATGGCACTGAGAAAAGAAACCTTGGACGGCAGCTGAAAACCATGAAACTTAACAGCCACCAATGTACAGCAATTTGTATCTCTAATTCTCACACCTGAACAATATCTCTGCAAAGGAACAATCTCCCTATATTATAAAACAGAGCCCTAACATTTTGTAGAGCAAAGATTTCACCAAGCAACTTTGCTTTACCTTACAGGCAGCCGTATGACATTTAAGAACTGAATTAAACCTGAGGATTTACAGCAACACTGCTACTGTCCCAGGTCTAAAAAACTGCTATAATGGACAGGCCTGAGCGTCAGAACAAACATCAATACAGAAATACTCTATAAACATTTGGCTGGTATGAGCTAACTAACACATGATTGCTACATAACAGACATGTCACTTGGTCGTGTGTCAGATCCACATCTGTTTTGCACCAAAGCACTGACTGCATAGGCAAGCTGGCTTTTCTACCTCCTGCTCTCTTTGTCACTAAAGTCAGCTGGACTGCTCACACCTGGAAAGTAACACACCACAGGAATTAAAGTAAAAAATAAAGAGTGACAGTGGTCACAAAAACATTTTTGGCTTGAATGCTATCCCACCTGCAATCACTTAGCCAGTGCCCATTTAGCACCTGATCAACGCAATGGTTATCAACAAGGGTGAAATCTAATACACATGTACTAGAGTGAGTTGCAGATCAGGTAAGTAAGGACTGCCCAAAACACACAACAGCAAAAAGCTGATGCAACAGGAGAAGTTAATTCACCATCAAATATACTGCCTTACCACACTCAGCCACAAAGCAGCATGTTGCAGAGCAAGCCAGAAAAGGCTGACTTGGTTTTGAAATCTTCTGGCACAGATTGGATGAATTTTTATTTTTATTTTTTAGGATTTCGCTACAATTTTTTCCAAATTCTTTTACTGCATCAAGTAGTCATTTTGACATTCTCAGTTGCATATAAACCACAGCACAAAAATAAATGAAGACAAGAGAAGGCCACATGGCAAACATGATTAAAATGTCAAGACATTTGACACCATTGCTTGTGTGTCAAGCAGTTTCCTGCTTTGGTGGAAAGGCACAGATAGAAACAAAAAAGCAAGCATCTAAGAAAATAAGGAAAAGTCTAGAGATAAACATATGAAAATTCATCTGTTCTATTGAAAGAGAGGAAGGAAGAAAAATGTAAGAGATACTGAAGGAAACAACACTATGTACATGTAAAAATAAAATCAAATTGACATTAGGAAGAAAAAAATATAAGCCACTTAATATAAAAGCTAACCGTTCTTAAATTCAGTGTCAATTTTTACATTAATTCCCATATACTTTCCATTGTAAACAGCACCCATCTTATCCTGCTTGTTAGAGACCCAAACATGAAGAATAACTTGTCCTCCTGTGGTCAAGAGTGTCTGCCTAAGACTAACCACAGCCGTAATGTTTGAAATCTACCTCATGACTACAGTAATAGATATGGGGTCATCCAGAAACTGCACACAAGATTAGATCAACAGTCATTTTAAACAACCTTAAAACCACACAGTTAAATATTTTCATGCTGTATTACATGCTGCATTTTGTTCATAATATCCTGAAGACAGGTACAACACTGGAAACAAATACTTCTATTGATGCTTGCATTAACGCATTAACTAACTTCTCCCTTGGGAATGAAAAATAAAAAATAAAAAATTGACACCAGCAAGTAACAAGCTGCTTAGGTTTGTCCCATAGAGACATTTCACTAGCTCATAATCTCTAATTTTCCTGACATACAGTCTCTTTAAAGTTGCTTAGCTATGCAGCTATTTCTGAGCATTACACCTTATCTGCCCTTGCTGTTACAAAACACACCCTTATGACAGTAAGTTAAGCAAAAGGGGAAACTGTCAAGCTTTCAGGAAATCCTTTGTGAACTGATCAGTTTATTTGTTACTTAGTTCAAGGTTCTATGATTTTCCTTTTGTTTTGGGGAATGAAAGAAAATTTTGGAGAAAATAAATGACAATAAAGGCCCAGAAAATCATGATTGAGAGTGATATAACCTAGTTCTAATAAGCAACAGAGGCACACTTCAGAGCTCTCAAACACAGGACTTCACCATAAACTTTACCTGCCAACAGAGATGATGAGGTAGAATGCATGACTGAAACGTGATTGCTTACAGACTGTAACGTAGCAGCTATACACTGTGTGCTAGGTCCCAAGATCCAATTATCTGAAGTAAGACCAGCTTACATAAAGGATAAATTAGAAACTCAAGGATCAAAATCATCAAGTAATTCAGTAGTATCTACTCTATGAAGCGTTATTATTCCACTTAATGTGTGTGCAGTAGTATTCATCACGGAAGAGTGAGTCTATTTACTATTTCTCTTCAGGATAGACCCAGGTAACCAATATGCCCTCTGCAATTAGTGCAGTGAAGGTATACCAGTTTCTATTCTGCAAGGTGAATGCACCTTCAAAGGCAAATAAATCTTCTGATTAGGAACATAAGCACTTAAATGGCTATTTAGAGAAAGATCTCATTTGAAAACCTTTGTCTGACACATGTTGCTCATCTCTGAGACCCTTATAGACAAAGAGCTGCTTAAGTGACTCTTGACTCTGAAAAGAAACCATCATGAAAGTCCTTGAACAATACAGGCAAGAAACCTTACTAATAGCTAAAATTGAGAGTAGGGTGAAAATTAGTGAATAAGAGAAGGTGCAAAGTAAGAAGACCACTGATTGTCTCACACAAATGAAAAGGCAATGTGTGTATGTTCCAGGTGTTATCTACATATGCTCTAGCATTCAGGAAGCCTTAGCTCCAGGAAATGTTGTTTTTTTTTTTTAAAAAAAAAAGGCAATTATTAGCCAAAGTTCATTACCTGGGGACAAAGATGGAGTTGTGAAGGAAGTTCTCAAAGACCTTCCGGTACTCTGCTTCCTCCTTCTCAGCTTGCTTTTCTGCCTCTGTCTTGGGACAAGCACAACAAGGTCCTTTTTCTCCCCCACAGCCCTCTGGCTTGGTGGGCTCAGTAGCTTCTTCTGTATCAATGGTCCCATCAGCATATCTTCGAATAGGGACTTTATCTTAAGAGAACAGAGGCAGCTTATTTCTTTCCCTCTCCCTGTTATGAACATGGCAACAATACACCCATCCCTTTGTACTTGCTGCTATTCCCAAAAGCATTGTGAAGCAGGGCTCAGGCTTTAGCGCTTGTCAATAATGTGCCCTGGCAGGTAAGAGTCCCAGGCATTTCAACACAACTGCGTTTAGTTTTCCTACCTTTGGAGCAGTAATTGTGTCTGTAAAGATAACTGTCCTGAGGTTGCTGCTGCCATCGTACAATATAGTATGAGAGATTGCCATTGGGAAGAGAGGGAGGATTCCATTTCACAATCAGTTGGGAAGAGGAGTTGGATGCTGAAATAACATCCAAGGGAATGGATGGCACTGGGGAAAAAAAAAGAAAAAGGAAAAAAAGCAAATGAAGGTATTTTAAACCTGGCATGTTCCACAGTATATTTGCATGCAAGCATTCACAGTGAATCCTAATAAACTGCAACAAAAACCACCATCCTGTCTTAAAGAAAAAACTTCCTATATGTATGCCCCACTAACAATGGTTATGAAGGGTTCAACTGTAGCCATGTACAGCCCAAACTGAAACTGCATTAAAATTTATCTTCACCAGTGAGACAAAGCCTGATACCCTACGGTATCAGAAAACCTCATACAAATTTTAATGCTGCTTTAAAATTATTGACTTCTAGCATTGCATACATTTGCCCCAAAATTCTGTTTCTGAACTTGCACATTAATGTAATGAGCATATCTGCAGTATTATCAACCTCTTAGCTAAGAGGCCAGGAACTTACCTGCAGCATTGGTTCGTATATAAACAATTTCACTTTTTGCTCCATGAATATGATGGTTTTCCATCATTGTGAGGGTAACAGCCTTGACATAAATGGCATACTGAGTCCAAGGTTTCAATCCCTGTAGTAAAATTCCAGGGTTGTTCTCTTTGTTTGGTGGCAGGTCAACATCAACCATGTTCCAGCTATTGGAGCCACATGCATCTTGACCATCGTACTCCGTTACATTTTTAAATGGCCTGAAATATTCAAGTAAAAAAAATGTACAAAATATTTACTTGCTCCTAAAACTGTCATGCATTTACGAGAGCACCTCGCTTCTACACTGCTCAGTGAAACAAATAAAGCTTACTTGTTTTCAACAGCAGAATACAACAAAATAAAACTTGCTTTTATTTCCAAGCATTATAAAACTCAAAGTTCAGCTTTAGCTGCAGGTCTTATCTTTAGTCACTAGCAATAAGGCAAGGTCCTGCACAGAAATACTAATCCAGGATGTCTTTTGTTATCAGAAACAAACAGTGAAAAACTTCAGACATATTTAGACTTCACCTAAGCATATATGAAACAGAAGCGACTTAAAATACTTACTGACAGTTACTTAACAAGTTCTGCTTCTGTGTCTCACAGTCTTGCTCTGTATGTCATTATAACTGTTTTGAACCTACCTTTCAAACCCTCCAAACTACTTGTACAATTACTGGACTCATTCGTATTTTGTAGCTACTTTAAATCTGAGATCATACAAGGATATGCAGAAGCAGATAAACCTCCCAAGAAATTATGCTTTCTCCAGCAACTGTGCCACTTCATTATCAAGAGGTATTAATGCAGAAAACTACTGAGGTTGGATAACCTAAATAACCCTAAACCCAAAGTAAGGCAAGTCATCAAGGTAATACCACTGATTTGTGACACCCTGTTAGTACTATGACTCGAGAAGTAAAAGATCTCATTAGCTATAACAACATGACTTACAGAGAGCTCCAAAGTAGTGCCCTGAGAATACCCAAGCCATCCATCTCAGTTTTTCAAATTTGAAACTACCACATGGATTTGGAACCCATTTGTAGTCATCAGTCAAAACAATCCTTGTTTTAACTGGGGCGTTTGCTCCATCAAGAAAAGCATTCGAATGAAAGCAGGACTTGAAAATGAAATTTGTAAACAGGATGGAATCAATAAACTGCATGAAATAGGAACTACCTGAACAACTTAGCTAACTAACTGCTCTCAGCAAAACAGCAGTCAGAATAAAATTGTCTACCATCCCTTTACTGTCTCCATTAGTCTCTGAAAATATCTACTCACGCTTCTTTGTAGTAAACAGTGAAGCTAATGAGATCTCTGTAATCCGGAGGCCGATACCGTTCCCACGTTAGTTTAATCCGATTCTTCAGTGTAGTGTTGGAAACAAAACGCAGAATGTGGCTTTCGCCTGCAAGACAGAAGGACATCACAGGGCAGAGTTAGCAGTGCATCACCTAATAGTTTTTGCTCTTTCTTACATGTCACTTTTAGCTAATTAGCCTTTCCGGTAATGCCTATGATACCACAATATGCCAACTATTATTCCTGAGCTTTTCATACTCATTTCATACTCATTCAATATATATTTGAGTGCTTAAGGGTAAGCACTGTCCTCAGCAATCATTATAGTGTATGTTAGAGCTATCTGTTTATTACTTTTTTCTTTCCGAATAACATTTTCTTTTAATGCATCATCATAAAACTCCTGAAAACTACTTCAGGCTTTCCCTGGGTGAGAAATGGAAGTCCTGTTTATTCACAGGACTGGTTTAGTAGCCCTAAATTGATCAGCCAACTCCAATGTACAGGCAGTACCTGGCCACTCCATTCTCACTTTCCAAGACCATTTTTGATGATTACAATCTGTTTTTCTGGAGAATGGACAAGATAGAAAGGATAAAGGAGTTGACATTCCTATTCATTGCAGGCTGGACCAAGAACTCCAAAACTCACTTCATATACTGCACAGCCATTTGATGGCAGCAGCTTCCAGCTACTCTACTGAACAGAGCTGAATGAAAGCTGCCAGCTTGGAAACGAACAGCTTCCTACTACCAACTCACTGAGTTTTCCAATCCAAAACAAAATAGCATTTTAAAAATTTAATTCTTGGATGAAAAAATAGTGTTCTAAGTGTCAACTGTGAGTTTCTAATGTTCCATAGACGCCTCTGAAAAAATAAAGGACGTTTCACCCTCATGTACACTGGCACTATTGGTGCTATCTTTTCAAAGGCAGTTTAGCTTTTGTTGATTCTTTTCCCCTTTTCAGAGTCAGAAAGCTTTCTGTAATGTTTTTTTTTTTAAAAAAACAGGCAGCGGCTGGCACTAGCCTCAGTGGTAGTAAGGACTGGCTGTGTGTCTGTAACTCCTCCAGGACTGCAAGCCTTTACTCTATTGAATGTGCAAAGAATGGAGTGTGCTTACAACAAGGATCTATGCCATCTGCATTTCTGCATCATGCCTAAAGAGACATTCAGCAGAGTACGTGTCCTAGTTTTGTAAACACCATCCAGAACAAGGGGACTTGACTTATACGCAAGATACATTTTAATTTACTCAGCTCCAAGAACACCACAAATAGACCAAAGAAAAATGCACTGTCAGTTCTAAGAGTCTGAGGTCCAATTTGTAAGTGTTCTGTCTTCTTAATTCCTACATGAGAGACTGCTTTTAAATGTGTTGGTTACACCTGGACACCTGATGTGAAGACCACCAAAGTCTACAGAAGACTTTCAAATAATTTTGGCTACTGCAGAATCCAAAATTAAATGGAGAGACACTGAAGTTTAAGCATACTGTAGAACACTACAAACAATTCTCAAATAAAAAGCAAATAATTTGAAAATACAGCACAGAAAACTGAGTTTACAGCAAGCATTTCTAACAACATGATGCAATATTTGACCAGAGCTGAAAAGAAGCTTCAATGTAATGTAAATGGTTTATTTTGGAGTCTGTGGAGTTGTTATTTCAGCAGCCTCCTTAATATCAAGAAAGAATAGGTATCTGAGCAAGGAAAATACCAACAATGATGTAAATCTGCAAAGGAAACAGAAAAAAACATGTTCTTCATTGGCTATATCAAAAACAAGATTTTATTTCTCATATCCCAAGTATGTTCCTATTGTTATAGGATGCTGCTGTCACCAAAAAAAAAAAAAAGTGATTCTGAAAGTCGTTTTCTTCAAACATTTGTTACAGAAAGCCCACTGTAGTGTCTAACCTCTACATGTTGTAACCATCAGCAACATGGCCATGTGGTGTGGGTGGCTGTTTGAACTTACAAGAGGCTCTCTCCCCATTGTTCCTTGGATTTATATCTCCTTTGCTCTGTCGCCCTTTGGTTCCTGAAACTTCCTCCATACGGTAGATCTCAGAAACACACAGTTTAGGATTAAATGCAAAGTACATTTTCCCCTCCTTGATCGTCAAGTTATGATGGTTCCAGTCCCACAGCTGCTGAAGATTGTGGTTATCAAGCACATAAAAAGAATAATTCCTAGAAGGAAGTTTTTGAAGGAAAAATATTAGTTTTAATTCATAGCCAATTCCCACCAAGAATACCTTAATAAAAGCAAACTTTAAAAGACTTTATTTCCTCTCATTACTTTAAATTGCTATTCAGCAGAGTAAATGTTTTCTTCTCTCCCATGGAGCAAGATTTCTCTGAACGCTCACTTTGGTCAGAGGGCAGGGAAATGACTTCCACAGGACTCCAAAGCTGACACCACACCGTGTAAATCCCATTCCAACATGTGTTTTAATAATGAATAAATATGGAAGCCGCTACAAAGAATATAAATTCACTTCCCCTGGACAGCAGATCTCTACAATAGATTTTCCATTTTGTGGCAAATGGGAAGCAGTAACTGCGTATACCTTATGGGAGGAAAAGCATGCTGCAGTCCTGATGACAAAATAGTGAACACAGCTGTCTTGCTTATGTTTACAAAAGCAACTGTAAGAGTTTGCATAGCGAGGCTTCCTTGCCTCTGTGTCTTAGTTTACCTTTTGGCCCAATAAAGATTTCCTACGTTGTGCCAAGTACAGTTGCGCCTATACATCAAAACCTGACAGTGAACAGTTGCATGGACTGCACAGTGCAGGAGCCACACTTCAAAGTACAGAACTAACAACACAGGCGGCAGCAGCATGTGCTGAGCCCGCTCCCTAGACACAGCTGTAGAAGAATCTGAACATGCTTTACTTCCACAGACATTAAATGCAAAGTTACGTGTGTTAATCGTATCATACAGGAATTCCTGGTGCCACTTCACTGTGCTGAATGCAAAAACAAACAAACAAAAAAAAAAAACAGGTACAGTAAAAACAAGAGAAGAGACTCTACATCAGCAGTAAGACAACACCTGCAAAAACACATTTTCAGATAGCAGGACCAGGAATGCACAATCAGGAAATGAGTTAAAGGTTTGCGTAGCTGATGAACCTATATCAAAACAACCTATCACGGCAGTGTTTGTTATTCTGTTGGAAGTCCTACCAACACAATTTATAAACACAAAATCCATTACTAGTAAAATAAATACTTGCAATCCGTGTAAGCCATTTTGCACTGGTAAGTCCGTATCAACACACTTATAGTGCGTAGTTAAAACTACACTTTCTGTGCATCATTTTAACTAGAGAGTTACAGTCAGGGTAACATGGCAGACAAACCATGGGGTTCATAAGAAGCTGACTACTCATTTATTGTTTTCCTTCCACTGTTCCAAATAAAATCCAGCATTAATTCCTTCCTCGTACAACCTGACATGAAAACTGCATTCTGGTTGCTATTTACACGCAACACAGTTTTTGCACAGTTGCAGTTTTCTTGTAACATACCAAAACGCTCAGTGTGTTTTCAGAACATGAGAAGGAAGAGGTTTATCCTATTTCCAAGTGTCCCCTAAATATCCATGACATGATTACTAATAAAGTTGATACACCTGGTACCACTGCAGTCAGAAGCTGAGAAGAATGTGCTCCAGTGACTAACGCAGTTGAAAAGGGAGCACATAGATATAGGTGTTAAATGCATCTTGCCAGGAGAGAACGATGATGCTACACCGCATGTGGGATTCAACAGATAGCACCAAAAAGCGTGTTTATTTCAGACACCTATTACTTTGTTACAGATGACTAAAATCCCTGCAGCTCTTTGTGTGCTGCTGAAAAGATGACACTTCACTATAATTAGCGTGTGATTAAGCGATGGCAACTAAGCTTTTCAGCAAAGACCCAAAAAGCTGGACTTGGATTTAATGCAATAAACAGAGGTGTGGCTCCACGACTACAGAAACCATCTTAAATATTTAATAACAGCCTAGCTTGTCTCCTGCTCACAACTGTGGCAATTATGCTTTAGACACTAGAGATAATTCCTGTATTAAAGCAATGTGGCTAAGCTTTCAAGAGAGGCGAATAAACAGGGCAAATCGAGCACACGCTGGTGCTTCACACAACTGCACACTGAGTGGGCCATGGCCTGGAATTTCTGTGGATCATACTTTTAAAGCTTTACAGCATTTAAAGCACAAGTTTGAGCAACAGTCAGGGAAGGCAAACAAGTCCTAAGAGCTCCTATATACACTGAAAGTATAAATTAGGGGAAGTTATTCTGGCACCAATCAAAGCACCAGGGAAACCACACTTGGAATGCTACACCCAGTGCCAGTCACAGGAGATGTGCAATGCTGCGTGGCTCGAAAGGTGGAACAGAGGGCAACTGGAGTGCACTTAGGGCTTAGGTTATAAATAAAGTTATAAATAAAGATTATATCAGACTTTGGCTCCAGCAGCTGTGGAAAAAAATAGGGATGCCAAGGAAGATAGGATGGAAAGAATAGAAGATTCAGTGTAGGAAAACAAAGCACTGCCAGTCAAACCCTAGAGACTGTACCTATGTGAATGACTGGAGAGCATGGCCTGAAGGACAGGCTAAACCTCCGAACAGAAGTAGGAAGCACAGCTGTTTGCAGGCTGTGCCACAAAAAAGCCTCAAGGCAACCTGCACACCCACAGGAGAGCATTCCCACAACAGGACATGTATTCCCAATTGCAGAGCACCCACAGCTACTTAATTATTGACTGCATACATTAAAAACCTGCTCCACGCTCCGTATCTGCACGCAATGCTCCATCTGTCCACATGCACGCATCGTAAAGCAATGATGCGGAACACTACATCCACCCCAAAAGGAGAGAGGGGTAGTAAGTGTTAAAACAAGCTTTTACTCACCCTTTATCCCCCTCCACAGCTTGCATTAATGACACAAAAAGTTCCTGAAAGGGGTACCGAACATACAAGTTGGCTGCTAAAAAAAAAAGTGGCAGTGTGTGATCTGTGAAGGCAAGGGACTTGCACCAAAAAGGGAAAAAGAACCGGCAGAGGACTAGTAACTGCAGTGGATGAGCTGGCTACAGAAAACCAGGTTTACAGCAGACAGAGCCTGACAGGCCTGGAACAAGACAAGCAACCTGTGGGACATCCAGAAGAGAAGCTGTCCATTTCTGTGCTACAATGAAGAGAGAGAAGGAAATCCCACTGCAGAGCTGGAACATCAACCAGTGTAAGACATGCAAAAAGGAAAATGCTGATCACTTTACACACACAAAACACTGCCTAAGCAGCTGCCTGTGAACTTGGGACATGTTCCATACCTGTGGCACAGTGCGACCCATGAAGGGCTGATGAGAACAGAGCCAATGTGTATACAATAGCACGGCAGGGAACAGTCATGCCTTGGCAATCATCTCCTTACTTGTTCCTGAAGCCCAACAATTGCTTGTTTTCCAGGTACCCAGCCTGGAGACACTGGGAGACGTGCTGTCCATGTGCCATCTACTCGCAGGGCAGCTGACATCGGAGATGGCAACGAGCACACAGCACCTTGGCAGAGCACAGAACTGCCAGGCAGAGCGAGCACCAGACCAGGAATCCAAATCCTACAGTGGACACCGAGACCCTTCCAGCACATCTCCGTTTCAGCTTCCCAATCTGTAAAGGGGAATTCTTTCCTTGCAGTGGGAGCACATTCACTACTGATGCGTTGTTCCAAAGAGGTAATGAATACCCTGGAAACAACTGAAGAAATTAAATTCCCTCTAAGCTTCTCATGTTCTGTGACAAACAAGGCAGGCACCAGTAACTGAATAAGGAAGAAATACTGAAGCAGTGTTTTTTTCAGTCCTGTTCAATAAAAAAGTGATGGTGCAGCGGGGGACAGTCATGTAATGAACAACTACAGTAATGGTTCTTAATTTAACCTCTTTCTCACCCCCCAAGGCAACACTGGCATAAACAACTATTGTTCAAGCAGACCAGTACTTCCTAGGTTAAGATCCATTCCCTGCTGTTCATGGCTATGCCAAAGTTCTTGTTCAAGCTCACTTCCTTCTTGCCAGGTATCTACTTTCATCTAAACATTTTTGGAAATGTTATTTAGGTTGTGGTAATGCCTAAATTATGCTAGGCATCTTCCACAGAAAGCGAAAGAGGCATGTAACTGCAGTCATTTCCAAGCACGGGCAAAATTTAGCTCAGGTAATCCCACTCAGCCCCATTTTCCTCTTCAAAGCTGCACCACTTCCTTTTCTGTTTGGGAATCAGATTTAAAAACCTGCCACTTCTCTTCCTATCAGCTCTGCTTGCCAACATACAAGGTACCAGAAACATAATTACTACTTAAAACCCAAAGCTGAACTCAAATTTAAGGAGCGCAAGAGAGAGAGAGAGCGAGAGGTACAGAAGAAAAGACAAACGTGTAATTGGAGTATCTGTTAGAGCACACCACATCGTAAGTGGGCTGAATGAGCCTTGTGCTCAGCAGTGACAAGCCTCTAGGATTTGCAATTAGAAACAAGCTTTTCCATAGAGCCAATGTTCTTACTGAAAAAGACAGTGTGCTTTTCAAGTGCAGGATGAAGAGCTGCCCTTTAACTTGCTCTGTCAGATGGTGGAATTTGAAGAATTCAAGGCTGACCAAAGACTAGCCTGAGAGAAAGAGGGAGGTTGCGATGAATCCCTCATGCTGTAACTTTATCCTGTCGGGGCAGATAAATCAGACACAAGCAACCTTTCCCATGACCTTCCCACCACCTTTTCCTATACGGTTTCCCAAAATTCTTCATTTAATAGCACTCTCATTACTGACAGAGACTTACTTCTCCCACAGAATACCATTTTAAGCTTGGGTTGCTACTTGATTCTCGTACTTGAGAACGAGCGAGGCAGTTTGTTGCAGGAACATCAGCACACCTCAGTGCCGCAAGTTCTGAGGAGATAAAAACTGTTGTCTCTGCTACCAACTACCATCATGGGAAAACAGGAGTTATATAGAATGTGAAGTACCAGAAGTATCACACATTATATATACATTACAGCAGCAAAATAACCCACAGCGACCATTTCAGGGGATCAACTTTACTCTTCCTGAACAAGCTATTTTCTGCTTGATAGATAATTAATTTCATATTAGTATTTTAAGGAATTGCAAACAACTGCAACTTGCAAACTATTTCATACTAGTCTGGTCGCTTTCAATTGCACACCCTGGTTAGTGAAGTTCAGATTTCTTTTCGGCTGACATTCTCCATAAAACTCTGCTAAAAGCCAACCGTAACAAATTGTGAAGAAATTCAATTGTTTCTGAAGCTGCTCCTTTCTCAATGAAATAGAGCAAAAAAGAAAAAAAGGAAACTCTTGATCAATGTGAAGAATCTCCCTAGGAAAAGTGCTTGCTAAAGTGAAAAGCAACAGCAAAGTTATCATGAAAATACTCCTAATACGCTCAATTTAATATGCTGGCTTGGATAGTAATCCAAACAAGCAAAGGCTGTGCAATGGTGTTCACTGGGAGAAAAACACTGCTTATTAGTGGAAGAGAAGATTCTATAAATGGTACATGAATGTTCGTTAGGAGAATTAGTCTGTGGTTTTCTGCTGAAGTAAAATTACATCTACAAATATCTGAATACTTACCCGTCCACTTGTTCCTCTCCCAGAATATACCGCAGGTTCTTCAAGAAAGACAGGGAGACTAATGCATGGGAATGGCGAATCTTCACGTACCCTGTTACTGTCTCAATCAGGCCCATAAAATTCTCCAGTTCTGAAGCGATGTTATCTATATTAAGAAAAACGTAGCTTTATTATTCCAGAGCTCATAGCTTTTATCAGCATTCTACTTAACTATCAGTTCAGTAAAATATGTTCAAAAGCAACAAATGCAAACGAGTAGTAGTATTGCTCCTACAGTAGCAGTTATCTGCGCAGACAGACTGTTGAAAGGCCAAAAGAAAGACAGAGCAACGCTGGAAAACCACTCTTACCTTTTGCATACCAGGATACCTGTTTTTTCCCATGGATACTGTGCTCTAAAGCCAGCACCAAGTATTGAGCCTATGTTCTGGCAGGGCATAAAAGACCCTGGTATAAATGTGTACATCCATACGACTGGAATTGCTCTTCAGCTTCAGAGCAAGACTAGGACAGAAAGCTCCAATGGAAAATGGAGAGTAAGACTGAAGATAAAGACCTAGAGGTACGCTACTGGTCTCCAGGGCGGCATAAAGCACTTATTTCAATGACCTAGAAAGCTTTGGCTACAAAACTGGGAACTCTATGAAACAAACACAAAACCATGAGGATGTCCTCATGCCACAGAACATTTTCCACGCAGCATACTGAAGGTGATTGTCTCTAATAAGTTGTTAAAACCTCTTCAGAGCAAGCTCCACTCTGCAGTAGTGCCTTCTCCCTCGGACCTGTACTGTCCTTTCCTAGGTCTGCAACACCGCATCCTTCACCAAGTTCAAGGTCTGTAGTCCTTGCCTGCTGTTATCATGCTGCTGAGTTATGCTGCAGTTGTAAGGGGATGTTTTTAAGAAGCACTCAGGATGGGAGATGCTGCTGTGGGGTAAGTCTGCTATCATGAATTGAGGTCTTACCACATCACTGGGAAGTACAAATACCAATGGCTGGTTCCTACACCAAATGGGCTGGGACAAAGTAGATGCTCTTCAACGCTCTTAGATAATACTTAAATAACTCTCCCACTTTGCTCCACCTAACTTGAAAATCTCTCATAGTGAAGAATTCACTAGCATCAGTGGGACCATGAGTGAAATAATCCACGCACTGCTGTTTCTAAACCACAGTTTTTATTCAGCAAGAGGAAGGGAATCATGCGTATCTGAGTCTTTCAACCATATTCATGAAACCAAAAAGCACCTTCCATAGGGAGATACGTTTCCAACAAAAACTAACAATGTTTTTCACATTTTTTGCGTTGGTTTGGTTTTTCTTTTCATTTGTTTTTAAAACTCATCAACTGTCAACACTTCCCTGGCTGATGAATCACCTGACAAATGGAATCTGAACTTGTTCAGGACATGCAGCCCAGATGGCCAGCTCACCAACAACAACCATCCAGAGGCGCCGTGCTAGGCTCCATACAAGTTTTCAGAGCCGTTGATTACATGTTTTAGCAAGACACCACACCTTGCTTTACAAACTAAGGCTATTCCCTGTCTCACAGGGCCATGCCCTACTTGCAGAGAACTTTTGTTTACTTACCCAGCTGCAAGGCTTTTCCACTTTTCCACCTTCTCAGGCCTTTATTATTCCTTGGGGACTATTGCTCATCTCCCTGCCTAATCCCAGCTCTCTGCCTTTCCAAAAATAATAATAATAATTAAAAAAATGCCAGCTTTCCCTACTTCATAGTTGGTAGTCGAATACCTATTCCATTAGCATGTTGGAGAATGGTGCTATAATAGGCCAAACCAAACAGGAGCACTGCTATGGGATGGAAACCAAAGAGTTCAGAGTTTTTAATGTTCCTATCATTATGCTGACAAAAGGAAAATATTAAAAGCAGCCTTATCAGAGGTTCATAAAGACAGGGCAATCACTTACTTCCACGACGGATGTTAATCAGCAAATTCCCCTTGAGAATTGTGCATCCCTGCAACATTTGTGCTGATGTGACAGAGTCAATGGTCTTCGTTTTCCCGTCCTCACAAATTTTGGGGCATGGCCCTTCACAGGGACTGCAGAACATACTGTTAGGAAAGAAAAGGAGACTGAAAATAAGTACATGCAGCTCTGAGTCCTCAGACAGTTTTAAATTCCGTTTTGAAAAACAGTTCCATCTGAAGTTTAAGAAAATACTTTAAACTAGAATGAAAGTTACTGTACTTCTGCAGAGGCCTGCAGATAAATGTAATACGCCTGGGGGACTCCAGAGAGGCTGGAACATTATACCTCCTGTTTACAGTGAAGTAGACTCGTACCTGCTGTCTGCCAGTTCTAAAAGGCTTTGTTATCCTTCTGAGCAAAAGGCACTTCAGGTTAAAAACAAACAAACAAACAAACAAACAAAAACCACTGCCACTGCATTTACTCCAATTACAACGAGAAAGGCCACCCTTCGAATTCACCCAGACAGCACTGAGTGCTAGTGAAGTCTGGTGCTAATTCTGGCTCTACCTCCAAAACCAGGCCAGCTAAGAACCAGAGATATGCAAGTACTGTTACAGATTTTAGGAAATTTTCTGCCTTTGTGCCCTTAACTCAGTGTATCAATGATCCAAGATCAGTGCTAGTGAATTCCATGCTCCTGGCTGTTGTAACTTGGAAAAGACAACTGCAGGAGCATACGGTCCTGAGTGACGTGGAGAAAGCGAGCAGCCGGTTAGTCACTATTTCTCATAACATAAGAGGTATTAAAGCTGCAAGTTTAAACAAACAAAGGGATGCATCTTCATGCGAGGCAAAACTAATTTGTGTAACTCACTGCAACAAGAATTGGGAGAGGCAGACGAGAAGCCTAAACAGATCGAAAATGGATTACACAGATTAAAAGAGAATAGGTCCACCAATGACTAGAAAACATGAAGACAGGTACTGCCCCCAACTCAAAGAAATCCGACTGCCAGGCTTACTTGTGCCACTTCTTTTATTCACAGACATTTATAAGCACTTCTTAAAGACCAAATTCAAGGAGCAAGAATTCGGGCTAGTCTAGGCTTTGGCTAGAACAGCTTTTTAAAGGCTGTTACACTGTTGGCACACTCTTCTCAAAGTTAAACACTTCATGTGTGGACAAAATTTGCCCTCTGATCACTCCTTCTGGTAAATGTCTTTCCTGATTCAAGCTTGTTTTTATCTTACAAATCAAAGTGCTAGAATAAATATTTCATTATCACTTATTCTATATTATTGCTTTAGACAGAAAAAATGAAAGAAAAAAACAAACCCAGCTCTGAAGTTTTTGATGCCAACACTGATGAACATGGACTCGCTATTATATTTAAAAGAAATTGAAACCACTCTCTTCTAAGGCTTAAAGAAACATGTAAATTGATAACAACAGTTTTTCATGCACAAACAATAAAAGAAAGAAGCTTCCTTGTCTTAGTAGTAAGATCCTGTTTCAAAATCCTGCACTGTAACATGCCACAAACCACTAAAAGCTGCAGACACAAGCAAGAGGCATTCAGCTACATGTACAAAGAATGCTGGAAATGCTTTCCATTTGCAACTATTTGTTAACACCACCTCTGGGGAACAAAACGCTCACTGGCCTTGGGTTACAGCTCCTTTCAATCTCTGCAGCTGAGCACAACACTGAGATAAGATAGGATGGCCGTGCACTTCAGTGTAAGCACTTCCAACAGCTGGTACTGCAACCTCAGGTAGATAACAAGTGAAAGATTTCTCAGGTGAGTATTGGGATTTGAGCAAACACGGTGTTAAGTTGCTTACATCCAAACGTAAACCAGAGACTGCCTTAGTACTTGACTGAGTGGATGAATGGCATAGACATACAGCAAGTGCAGGAATCATCACAACCACTCTCCAAAAAGCCCAACATCTCAGATCTTGAAGACATCTTTTTAGCATTGTACTGAAGCACTAAGAATTTTAGCACCTTGACTTTCCCCTTACTTATTGAGGTCTGTAACTTCCAAGGGTCAGCAGGCAGCTGAGGCTGTTTGCTTAACCACAGGTGTTAAAACACCATTGTTATCTTCTGGAAACAGTGAAAAAAAAGAGAAATAGAAATAAATATACTAAGGAACACATGTGCCTAAAATGCAAGTACAGATAAAGCAAATAATATGTGATGCAAGGTGACTCCCAGCATTTGCTCTGTATGTGATAATGATCATCTGCTGCTGGTCACCACTCCTGTCTTCCTTGGCTTGCCTTTTTTTTTTTTTTTTTACTGTCTACTTGTATTGATCTGATCTCCTCAAGTCCTTCAGAAGAATTAGTAGGAACTGACAATGCACAGGACCACACACAACTGGACAATCAGACCTTTAAATGGTGTCTAAGCAAGCCTTTACTGGGAAGCCATGCAATTCCCAATCATATCTTCTACTGAACGCAATTTGTATCACAAGGCTGCTGCAGAAAAAAAGGGGGGAAAACAAACAAACAAACAAACAAGCATGCTAACAGATTTCCAGAAGCTGCATTACCTTTGGCTCCCGTTGCGTATGAATCCAGAGGGGCACTCTGCCATGCACTCATCATTGTGAATCACAAACCTCTCATATTCACTTGTTTCGGTGGCAGGGACTTTGGAGCAAAACTCCTTAGTCACGCAGCGCCAGCCCTCAAATTTGTAGGTGTTGGGAGGGCAGGTGGGCATGCAGACTCCTTCATAGTAGTAATTGCGGCAGGCCACGCAAGCGGTGTTGTTGTCAGGCGCTGTGCAGCTCCCCAAGCACTCGGGATGGCAACACTCATTTTGGTCTGTACAGGCTCGCTTGCCACATGAGCTGGGGCACACTGCAAGACAGAAGGCAAGGTAGCGTGAGTAAGAGCTGTTAAACACAGGGAGTGGTATGAAAGAAAAGTTCTGATCTGTATAAATCTGTGCTTTCATTCCCTTGGCTCTGGAGCAGCTCTGCAAAAGAACCAATTCCTGTAAAATTAACAAACTTGTTTTTTTCCAGTTTCAGTTTCCTGAAAATATATTTTTCTACAACCAAATTTATAACATGAACCAATGCAAAAAAATATTTTTTTTGAAAGCAAGATCACCATAAAGATAATGGAAACAACCAAGTACTGTAACCCATTCCACAGACCTAATATTATGGTGTGTTTTTGTGTGTGTGTGTGTGTTGTGTTTTTTTTTAAGTGCTGACTTATTGTCTTTCTAAGCATTTATCATCTTTCCCGTTTGTACTTCAAATTGGTCTTTTACTGGCAAGAAAGCAAGCTTCCTTTAAACAACTTAATTACACTTGTACAATAAAGCATTGCTATACTGCAGCACACATGGTTAGGTTGACCCCAATGTAGCATCCCAATGTTGCTTATGTATGCAAAATGAGGTTTAATAAAGTACAGATGGTACACATCAAATACTGTGCAATCAGGGAGCTGCTATTTTCCCCTGAAGAGCGTAACAGAACTCTGCCTTATCCCCAAATTCCAGGTTCAGAGAACAAAATATGTAAGGGAGGAAAAAAATGGGGTGCAAATTTATTGAGACATTCATTTTACATGAAAGCCTTTTGGCTTGGAAGAAGCGAACAAAGAGCAGAGTCGCCACCAGACAATCTCACTATTGTTGCATCAAACGAAGTGGCAGCATTATATTTATGTAACAACAACATTTTGATTACAGCGTTGTATGGCCTTTTAGCCATCCGAGTGGTGTGCCAGAGGCTCTGTAAACAAACACAGATAGGAAATCTGGTTTGCATTAAGTGACTGTTTTCCACTTTCTAACTTCGCTAAAAAACAGTACCAATAATAACAACGTAAAACAAAATTTCAGTAGTACAACTCCAGCACGATCCAAGCAAAGCACCACAAGATACTGAAACTGAGCTATCCGAGCAAAAAGCACACAACCACTGAAGAAGTCCCTGTCCCAAAGCGAACAGGGAAGCAACAGAGCACAGCCTGCAGGGAAAGACAAGGTTTTTAAGGAAGCATAAAAATCCCACAGAAGTCCTGCACTGCAATTTCTCTTTTCTGACCCTCACAAACCTGAAAAGCAGCAAAGCAGTAGCATTTTAGAGGAAGTTTCATTAAATTCATGCAAGACACCGCTTCATCCCGCAGCTTTCTTGTACTGCCATTGCAACCCAGCTGCATGTCTGCTGCCCCCGCTGCTCCGCAGCTGCTTATTTGCTTTTTGGGGCGGAAAAGGAGAAGGGAGATGTGAGAGCAAGGGAACAGAGCAAAGAGGTGGCTGCTGTGCATCCTGCTAGCCATGCTCTGGCAGACACCAGCGCAGGCAACACAAACACTGCATGCACTGAAAGAGGCCAAACTGAGATGATTTCTGCAGAGCCAGTTATTTGTAAAACCCAGAGCAGCAATGAGGAAATTACTGCTAAATAATGCACAGCGTTAATATGCTGTTGTTTTTTTCTTCTTTAAGAAGAAAAAATTATACCTACCACATCTGACCAAAAATAAATTTACAGGTGTAAAATCTTTTACTGATGGTCACTTTCACCAGTGTAAAAGCAGGGACGCATGCCCAGCTGCCACCTCAGCCAGGCACGTTAAGGTACACAGTACTACTCCCATTGCCAACTACTAAGGGATTTAAGAGGAAAAAAAAAGCAGCGTGTCTTGCTAGCAGATGGACTGCTGTTCTGAGTGGGTGCCAGAACTCAGATTTAGTGTGGTAGCTACATTTCCAGTTCAAAGCCCTACTAAGAAAAAACACACACCCCCATGCCTCCACAAAGTTCATTACCAGATTTATGGAGAAGCTCTACATGATTTTTGTTTTCATCTGGACAGACATTTGCTAAAAACAAAGGCTGCTGCATTAAGTGTTCAGATGAATGTAGTAGGAAAAGAGCGGGTTTATTTCATTCTTGGGAAACACTTTCATATTGCTTTAATGCCTCTGCAACTCATGAATAGTCTGGTATATAAATAGGATTCCCTGCATCTCTTCATAAATCTGCTGACTGTCGTCTGCAGAAATATAAATTGAAGCAAAGAAGGATATACAAGTTCATATGAAAAAGGTAATCAGTGAACTAGATTTTCCAAACTACAGTAATATTTTAATCACAGCCATTTTAACAAGAACTCTTGAAAACATTTTAAAGATAATTTTTTAAAAGCTCAGCAACCTCATTTTTCTCTCAGTCCCGTTCTTGCTAACGTTGGCAAAGCATTCAGCCTGGAGACAATACGGGTATCCTGTTTCTTTGAAGAGCCATAACAAGAGCTTGTGTGTGTAAGATATGTTATGAACAACAAAAACTCTTATCTGCCTTAACTGCCAGCTCTCCAAGTTACCCCTGTTAAAAAGCCTTACTAAATAACAGTGGCTGGTCCTACAACCCAGCCCCATCCAGCCTTCTCCCCCACCCACGCAGATTGTGCTCCTTGGGCTGCTGCATCTGTACCCAAACATTTCAAATGCAGGTTCCAAAACACTTCTGCAAAAAACCCAACCAACTGCATTATGCTTGAATACTTGTTGACTTCAGTCTGCAAGAACATTAGAGACAAACATAAGCAAAGGGTGGGCTGACATTTCGGGATGGAATTTATAAGCTAGGTACAATAGTGCCTTGAATCGTGAAGGCTGATGACTGTACACAAGGGGGGGGGGAAATCCTTGCTGACAACCACAAGGGCAAGAAATACTGAATTGTCATCACGTGGAGCTACCGAGATAATGGAAAATTTCAGAGACCTTGGAGTGCAGCCATGGAAGAAGGAAGTCAAAGCAAGACCTCAAGAAGAGCAGACCCTTACGCAGCTTCATGATCTTACTGAAGAGATGAAGGAGGCTTGACCAGACCAGAGAGCCCAATTATTTACATTTGGGAGTGAAAATACTGAACAATCATCAGCTGTTCAAGGAATGACACAACAAGAATACCGGTAGCCACAAATCAAATTCACTGGAGCAAAAGTAACAGCAGTAGTGTCTTTGACCTTCTGTGCTTCATCTCCTCTCTGACTTCTTCACAAGGAAAGTTTTCCTTGTCAACAAAATTCAGATTTTCCAAATACTATTAAGATACTATAATCACTCATAAAAAATGCGAAATATTTCAAGATACCTGCTTACTGAGCAGCTCAGATGCAGACCTGCCACACAGAAGAGAGAGATTTAAAACTAAATGCAATGATCTTACAAACGAGCAAGAAGACTTCCAAGAGAATCTGACTCAGAGACTCATCATTCTCAATTAAAATCCCCAAGATGCTGAACCGAACTTGCAAACACGAAGCAAGCTTGAGAAACCCTCACATACAATTCTCCAAAAGCAAGAAACAAATCATCTCTTTGTATTTACGGCAGTTCCTTTTGGAACACTCCAACACTAAGGAGGTGGTAGTAAGTTTTTCTGACATTTAATATCTCAGCGCCGTTTGAAGCGTGCACAGAGCTCGAGCCCTCTGAAAGGACTCCGTGGTGACATCACGGCTATTGTACAGTTTGGACAGACAAAGTGCTCTTATCTCCAAGACGCCATGACTTCAGCAGCGCTGAAACAGAAAAATCAGGTGAACAAACAATCAGTCACAGGGAAGGAGAGTGCAGCCAGAAGAGGAAGACTTCTGGCAGGCCGAGGCATCCGCCTCTGCCAAGGATGGCACCGGGCCAGTCACATGCGGGCAAGCAGAAGGTTGCCAAGTGTGGGATAAATATTTTTTTAAAAAAAGATTCTTTCTCTCCTTGTAAAACGATATTCAATCCTTCCTTTTTTAATGTATTTTTTTCTTCTTTTTTAGAGCATCTTTCGCATAAAATACCGTTTCTGAAAGACAAGGAGAAAAGCCTAGCTTTGAGCAGAAACCAGAGGAGGAAGGGAGCATTTTCTCCGAGCCAACTACTGAAAAAATTAGCTGTCTAAATTTATCCACAAAGACAGAAAAAACGGTCATTTTTGGAATGTTAATCCCTCTACATGACAGATTTTTAAAAATATTGCGTTTTAATGGTCTAAACTTTGGTACGGACTTTCGAACAGCTGACTTCTAATGCTCAAGCAGCCTATACAAGACCTGGCTTCTTTTGCCCAGTATACCGTAAGAATGGAGAGACCGGAGAGACATTACTCAGAAAATCCAGTTCCAGTGATTCATGGCCAGGCCTGGAATTAAATAACTACAGAATAAAGGTTACAATAAGGAAAAACATGTATGAAATACATGCAGTAACGTGTTCCGATCACAGAAATATGGGTACAAGTCATCTCCAAAGAACTGAAGAAGCCGCTTATTTTGATCACTTGTGCGAAATCTTCATACTGCTATAGAAACAGGAATTAGGGACACATTAACAATGGTGTATTTTTTCCCCCAGTTTTCCCCTTCAGTCTTAAAATTGGTATCTCATCTTTGGCAAAAATCCTGAAGGGGAAACAAAAAACAGAAAACCCACTCTACCATATCAAAAAGCTTCCTTACTTTCCTGCAGTTAAGACAGAAGATGTGGCAGATTTTGAAATTACCCAGCAGATCCCATTTAAATGTCCACTTTCAAACAGCACTGATACTATGAATTGAAAGTGATCGGTTTCTTTCCCTGTAACCTTCCAGTAGGCATACAATCATGCCCATCAGTAAAATGTTTGGTTTGGTCTACACAAACTTACACCAAGAGGCAAGACAATGGCATTAAGCTGACAGCCTGCAGGCTGTGTCGGACTTGAGATCATTTCACTAGAGCCTTGTTTCCCTGTTTACACCCTTCTTGTTACCAGCCCGTTTTTATGTGGATCTTGAAATTAGTCTGAAGTTGTTCTATGAATTATTTTCTTCCCCCATACATATCTAGTGGAAGT